TTAAATACATTTCTCAAAAACTTGCAACAGTTTTTAATCAGAGTATACCATCAAGTCAGTTAGGTTGCAGAGGGAGTTATTAATCAGTTCCAGCTGCTTTGGTGTCAAAACAGGTGCACTAGAGAGGCAACAGTGAGCGGACCCCCAAACAGGAATGGTTTTACAGGTAGAAGCCACTGACAATTTCCCCCTACTCATCTTTTCTGACCTCTTTTTCACTGGTTTTGCATTTGGTTAAGGTCAGTGTCACTAGTGGTAGCATAAGAATGGCTCATCAATATGTGCTGTGGCCAGAAGGTTTGCTGTGTTTCTCAATCCCCCCCAAGACAGAATCACTTGTCTGATCAGGACCATACCATTACATTTTTTTTGTTCTCAAAGATATTTTTATCAGATTAAAACGACAAACAAAAAGAGATACACAAAAAATTCTTATACAATATGTGAGTAGGTAGGCTTCACGATGATTGCTTAAGCTGACATAATAAAATACAGCTTAATAACACAATCACATTAGGGCTGGGCTATATCATACCGTTCACGGTAATACCGGTGTAATGTTGGGCAACGATAGGAAAATGACATATCGCGATAGAATATGGGTAAAACGCGCATGCGCAGTGCCTTTGTTTACATACGCACATGGCGGCGATGCAGAATGAGAAGAACGAAAGCGGATCGTTGAATGAAACGGATGAACCAGAACTGGTTTGTAAAAATGCTGCAACTTCAGTGGTGTGGAACTGGTTTAGCTTTCGTCTGTCAGATATACAACAAAGCACTATTTTTGGTAGAGCAGGCTAGCAGGCCGTCGTTATTACCGTGTTTTTTGGAAAATACGGCGCACTTAAAACCAATCCTTTAATTTTTCAGAAAATCGACAGTGCCCCTTATAATCCCGTGTGCCTTATGTATGAATTCTGGTTGTGTTTACTGACCTCGAAACGATTTTATGTACACGGCGCTCGAAAATCTGTCAAATGTTTCAGTACGACTTTGCTAAGCTACGAAGCCGCACCGCTTGATGGATTGTTGGAGCGTTACGGCTATCGTAGGCGGAGCCTCGCGGAGTGATACGTACTGTGCTTCAACATAATATTACAGTACTGTGTGTGTATAACCTCTTTTTAAGTTTTGTGGATATTATACATTGTTATGCTGAGGATATGTCGGCCAATTTCCACTGGAAATGTCTTTCGGTTAAACTGTCAGCAAGGATTTGCATTTGCACTGTAAACTTTTTATATAACTTTAATGCACATAAAAAATGGTAAATGGCCTGTATTTATATAGCGCTTTACTAGTCCCTAAGGACCCCAAAGCGCTTTACATATCCAGTCATCCACCCATTCACACACACATTCACACACTGGTGATGGCAAGCTACATTGTAGCCACAGCCACCCTGGGGCGCACTGACAGAGGCGAGGCTGCCGGACACTGGCGCCACCGGGCCCTCTGACCACCACCAGTAGGCAACGGGTGAAGTGTCTTGCCCAAGGACACAACGACCGAGACTGTCCGAGCCGGGGCTCGAACCGGCAACCTTCCGATTACAAGGCGAAAAAACAGCTGCTTGTTTAAGTGTAAATACATTGATGGGGTTTTTGCACTAATACAGTTGTGGAGTTGTAAAGTATTTTGTCTAGTGTCAATTATATCGTCAGTTATATTGTTATTGCAAATTTTCAAATGTATATCGTGATAAATATTTTTGGTCATATCGCCCTGCTCTAAATCACATATCTTTTAATTGTTGTTTACCCCCTACCCATCCCACACAATAACTCTGTCCCTCGATCCAGGTTAAAAAAAAAACCCAAAAAACCCCCAACAACAACAAAAAAACAGAGGAAAAACAGAGGATTTGCTGAGCAGCCGAAGGCTGGAAAAATATTTCAGGAATTGCCTCCACACCTTGTAAAACTTTCCGGTGGTGTTACTAATCGAATAACAGATCTTTTCAAGGCTTAAATAACACATAAGGCGCCTCAGCCCCGTCCATCTTAGTAGGACTGCACATTTCGCTACAAGGGAAGCAAAAGACACTGACAAGGTCAGCCGTGCATCAGCCTCCCCATTAGTGCCAAAAATAGAAACTAATGGATTAGGATCCATATGATATTCAAGAATTAGAGACAAAGGTTGAAATATGTCCATCCAGAATGTTTTGAGTTTAGGACATGCCTAGAACATATGGATAAGAGAAGCATCCTCACTCTCACATTTATCACAAGAGGGGTCCACATTCAGAAAAATACAAGCTAATTTGACTTTTTACCAGAACGGTTGAGTCTAACGGGCAGTTATCTTTGCTTTGGAAATAGACCCAAGATATAATGCAGCGTGTATTTGCTGCCCAATAGTAATACTGGAAATTAGGCATTGCCAGGTAGGGATGGGTATTGATAAGATTTTCACGATTCCGATTCCATTTTCGATTCTGTTTAACGATTCGATTCTTTATCGATTCTCTTATCGATTCTTTTTAAAAAAGGAGAACACTAAGTTCGATTAGCTTAGAACTTCGTTTTATATCTTCTCTTTGAACAAGATAGAAATTTAGGAGTAACATGGTCTTACAAACCCAACAGTGAGATCTTAAGAGATCCAGCCTACGGCTCTTCAATGGGGTGTCACAGGGTGCCCAGGAAAAAAAATTGTAAATGTAAAATAATAAAATAAATATTCTTCTGTAGCAATAACAAAGCATAACATAAATTATTCAGTAGCAATTACACAAGAATATCCAGTAATGTCCCTGCCTACAATTAAACACATTCACTTACCTAAAATTGGGGGCATCTGCTGTGGCAAATGGGTTCAAGCCAGTGTTGCCAACTTAGCAACTTTGTCGCTATATTTAGCGAGTTTTCAGACCCCTTAGCGACTTTTTTTTTAGAAAAAAAGTCGCTAAAAAAAGACGTGAAAGCGCGTATCGCTTTTACTCTCAACAAGCAGTGGGTGCTGTAACGCAGTCAGTTCTTCTTTTACTCTTTTACTCTTATGCTGTTTTGTGGATGACAAGGTTTAAAACTACTTATAAACACACACACAAAGTAACTCCACCAGAGTGCCTATTTCAGGTCACTTTTGCCGGTCCAAGCCCGGGTAAAGGAGCAGGGTTGGAATTGTGACATTAAAAAAAACAATAATTGCTAAAATAAATTTAATTTGTAGTTCTAAATAAACTCTAAATGCATTTAGGACGTTTTTTTACTCACTGTATGTCTCTTCCACGATGTTATTTCTCTCTCCAACAACATAGGTTACAATTAGATTAGCATGACCAATTATGCAAATTAGGCGATGACGTCATTTAGCGACTTCTAGCGACTTTTAGGACAACCAATAGCGATTTTCCTTACTGAGGAGTTGGCAACACTGGTTCAAGCCTTTTACCACAAACTTAGTCACTGCTCGTGACATTCGTCAATCATGGCCTGAAAGGAGACGCTACCGGTAGACTGCAGCGAGAACTGCCAGCATCTGAGCCAGACTCTGTCTGTCTCTCTCATCATGGTCACCTAAATGCACAGTAACGGCAGGTTTTGTAATAAGGCAGATCGTGCTAACATAATATGCACTGTTAGTTGATTATTTACCTGCCGCATTAACGGGAGAGGATGTGCAAACGTTACCGCTGCTGCTGGGTTGAGATTCACGAGTCCGGAGCGGAATTAAAAACATGACATTCATTTAAGGTCATCGTGTGTTTTGTGAGAAAATGCTTTTGCATATTCGTAGTGTTTCCTCCCTTAAATTAAGTATCTACTTTGCAAGTATTGCAAGTTGCCCTGTTGTCATCCGTTCTCGTAAACTTTTGAGCCGCTTACGCGCCGTGTTTCCTGCCAGGTAAATGACGCTCCGCAACGTGGTGACGTCATTCGGGGCGACTGGAATCGATAAGGGAATCGTTTGCAAAAATGTCAAACAATTCCAAGGAATTGAAACAGTGGGAACCGGTTCTCAACAAGAACCGGTTTCGATACCCATCCCTATTGCCAGGCCTCCATTACTCCTGGGCTTTTGAAGATGGGCTTTAGTCAATCAGGGGCATTTGGCTCTCCATATATAAAATGATATAGTTGAATCTAAAGAATCAAAGAAAGATTTGGGGATAAAAATTGGTATTTATTGGAAGAAAGAGAAAAATTAAGGGAGTACATTTTGATTGAGTTAATTCTTCCCACCAGAGAAGTAGAGAGAGGGGACCATTGTGCCAGGTGCTGTTCTGTATTATTTAATAAATAAAGGAAGTTCACTTTGAAGAGACAGTTATGCTTCCTTGTAACTTTTATACCTAGATATGTAAATTGATTTTGTGCTATTTTAAAGGGGAGAGTAGAATAGTCATACACTGGTGCTCCTCCATCCACAGGAAATAACTCACTTTTATGCAGGCTAAGTTTTTATCCTGAAAACTGACCAAACTGATTAGTTTCCCTCTTCTCTGGGCTTCTCAGTTAAGAAGGTTCTTTATCTGGTACCAATGAAGGTGTATGGTTTCGGGGTGCAGTCTCTGTCCTGGGGCCGGCTGGGAGAGACGAGAGAAGTTGCATGTGGCAGCATTGATGAAAAATAATTAGAGTCTTTATTGTTGTAATTACTCCATGTGCTGAAGTGAATGTAACACCTGCAGCATCAGCCTCATATATAAAGCCACAATAAGCAACAAATCAAATCTCGGCTATGTGCCTGGGATGACCTTCATAATAGGCAGTTAGACACGCAGTTAGGCACGCACGCAGGCAGGCAGGCAGGCAGGCAGCTGAGATGACACCAACTAGAGCAGCATGTGTGGTTGAGCAGTGGGGCAAGTGATTGAACTGTGGCAATGGTTGGGGGAGTGAATGGCAGAGCTGTCTAGAAGACTGGAAGGCCGGGGCTCCTATTTTTACCTTTTAGCAGCCTCCTATCACAACAGCTGTCCCCGTCAACTCTTGTCTGTACACCAACAGGAATAGCCAGCCTATCATAGTGCTCCCTCTCTTGTCAGCCCTGCCGTTTCACTCTCTACTTTGTATGTCTCTGGCTGGTCTTTCAGATCTATTCCTCTTTACCCAGTTACTGATTTGGTCTGTTGTTTGAGGACTACTATAATACAGAAGTTGTGGGACTGCTTCATTTACAGGTAGAATTATTTATACTAACTTTTTTTTTTTTTTTTTTACAACAAGTGGTTTCTCCTGCTGAATATATATGACAAGAATGGGGCCTTGAGGCTCTACAGCCATTGCCACTATTTATGGCTAGAGATGGACAAGGGGGGGCTTTGCCAACTGAAAGTAGCATTACACAATACAACTTCCTTGGTTCTTGTTGTAGTCCACATTTTTCTGCTCAGATGTTGGTCAGTAAGTGGTCCCAGTTAACTTACTTTACATTTATGTTTTCTTGGAAAGAATGGAAACTTATCAGCTTGTGGCAGATATGGTGTATACATTATGAAAATAATGTTATGATAGATTTTTACATTCACATTGATTCACATTGTCTATAAATTATACAGGATGAATGAAGCTGTGATGTTCTCACCTCCAAACTTCACTGTTGGTATAGTGTTTTTGGTGTCATCTGCAATTTTTTTTGACCTCCAATCATGGTTGCATTATGGCATCCAAATATTCAGTTTTGGTCTCATCTGACCAAACCATATTCTCCCAGTATTTCACAGGCTTGATGAAATGTTGTTTAGCAGATTTTAAACGTGTTTCAACATGCTTTTTCTTGAGCAATGGAATCTGACCACAAGTGATTTTTGGCCCTTTGACAACCCTTCTAATAATTCCTTTCACTCCTCTGTCTGAAATCTTGTGGGGAGCACCTGGCCATGGCCAGTTTATGGTGGTTTATGGTTTATGGAAACGTTTTTTTTATGCATTTTCCATCAAGCTAGCGGATCATCTTCTCCGTCTATGACCCCCTTGCTGAGATAACAGTCCATTTCTATCTGCACCTTCTCCTCCAGTGTGCAATTTAACAATTAGTTCGCCCATGTTTGGACTTCTTCTGTGTTCTAAACGCGGAAATCAGTCCGTGGATGATTACATTGCTCTGCCCATCAAAAAGTCTGCGCATGCCTATCGTTAGTTATTGGACTGACGATTGTCCGTTGGAAAATATTTACATATTGCCCAACCTTAGCCCCAACAGTGCTCACTGGAATCGTCCAGTGCCAATAGTATGCTTGGAAACAATAAGGTTGTGAAGGTCTTGCGAGAGCTCATTGGTTTTACAATCATGAAAAGTTTCTTGTGCGGCACCTTGGTTTTCATAGGCCATCAGTTGAGACTGAACCAGCTGATATTAATTTGCACAAAATGGCAGGATTGCTTTCTAATTACCGATGAATTTTAATGCCTTTTTGCACCTCTCTTTCTTGATGTGTTCAGTACTATGTAATAATAGATTGGATGGGTCGTTACCAACATCTGGTGATAATTTCATATCAATAGCACCTTGATTAGTGACATAGTCAGTACTTATTTTTACCTGCTGTGTATGTTACAATCATTATAGTAGTATAGTACTATGATACGTGACATTGTGATACACCATTCTAATTTGATATTTTATATTATGACACAGTGCTCAATTTAACTGTCAAATGTATATGATTGTGAGATTTACATAAAACATTTGTATACACCACATAGATGTTGGCACTCACAATGTCCTTGGCAATGCTTATGGAAACTTTATCAAGATTAGCCCACTTGTGTAGGATGAGTTACTTTTGATTTTGTATAGTTGTTTTTACAAAAAATGTTTACATTTCTTAGAATAAGCTCTAATTTTGTGCTCATTCTTTGTTTTTCTCAGTGCTTTGTCATTAAAAACAAAACGTTACTTGCGCTGAAAATTCAGTGCGTCCTGGTGTGTGAAGAAGTTTCTCTTAACTGTGTGTAATCTTCCTTTCCTAGCTTTCCTCCACCTCCTTCACCTGCTTTCATCTCACCCATCACAGCCCATGACAGCAGATCAGCCAACATGGCATTTTCATCTCGTTTTTCGTTCTGGGAACAAAAGGGAAGTCTTGTTTAGATGTTTAGTAGAGCACATTAGTGTGATGGGACTACTATGGTGTACTAACATCTCTATGTTTGGATTTGTGTGGCATTTGGTGTGGCACCCCACTTCAGATTTTAATGGCTTTCACTTATTTTATGTTATACTTAACTAACGCAATTTAAATGCAGTAAGTGCATTGGTTTCAGCTCTTGAAATAGTAAGACAATTTTTACAGCACATTATTGCACATTTTATTACACTGAAATAAAAATATTTTCATGCAAAAGATGGCTCTCAGAATATGTGCATGTTTTGTAATTAGCATGGTGTGCAATGGATCTAAGCTATAAGATTTTGATTTGGTTTCCTGTTCAACACATTTAGATTAAAGAAGAGAACAAGCCAGCAAACAAAAGTGTAAGTAAACAATGGCATTAATTAGAGTTTCTGGGTCTCATTTTAGAATCGTCTTGGTTCTTGACATTTAAAATCCAGGGTTTTAGCATGGTCTTTGTATTTATATTTCAGTTTGAAGTGTTAGGATGACACATTTTATGGCAAATACCCTGTATATATTGCCATCATCTATTTCTTTGTTGTTTTTTAGGTTAAATCTGTGAATATATATTAAAAACAAAATGTTTTGTTTATAGCACTATTCCTGAAATATTTGTGGCAATATATTTTAAAGCAAATGTAAAGCTTTCTGAATTATTTAAACTACAATTAAAGATAGTAAAAAATGTAATTAGTGAATAAAAAAGTGAGAAAAGAAATAAACACATTTAAAAAATTTAAAATTAAAATTAAAAAATTCTAAGTTTGTTGTTGCATTAGTTAGTTGTAATAACAATATGCAAAGGTTCTTTTCAAAAGTATAGAATGTTCAAAACAGTGTAAAACACAGAAATGCTACAGATTGTTAATAAAAAATATATAAAACATTTCCATAAATAACTACTTTGACTTTAATCTGTCACTGACTGTGGCAGACATGGCATGTCTGGAACACATCACTCAAGAGGTGCCTAGGAACCATCCTAGTGAGATGCCCAAATTCTTCAGCTGGCTCCTTTTGATGTAAAATGGCTCTACTCTGAGTGTATACATATTCTCATTCTTTCAGTTATTACCTAAAGCTTGTGGCCATAGGTGAGTGTAGGGATGTAGAGCTCATGTAGATCTACTGGTCAATCACACAGCTTTGGTTTCCTGTCAACAGTACAGACCAGTTCATTGTCTGTATCACTGTGATTGTGGCCCAGATCCGTTTCCCCTTCCCCCCGCTTGTGAACATGTCCCTAAGAGACTTAAACAACTATACTTGGGTCAACAACTGTCTGAGGCCCTTTTGAAAACCATGGTCTCAGACTTAAAAGTGTTTCATCAGGCCACCCCTGATGAAGTCGACAGAAAATCATATCATCTGCAGAAAGATGGAAGAACCTGAGACCACTAAATTGGAGGCATACCACCACTTGGCTATGCCTACAAATTCTATCCATAAACATCTCCAGAAAACATCTGTCTTGAATATCCTCAAGAGGATAAGAGCTCGCCCAGAATTCCGTGCAAAATGCATTGTTCCTCATGAAACTTCTCCCACACCTGAATTTTATATCAGCCACTGCAAGAGCCACACTCCACATGGACTGCTGGTACCTGTCAGCTGCTTCCCGAGTACTACAGGAAAACCAAATTCGACAAGACTCCTGCTTCAGCTTGACGCCACCTTGGTGTCCAGCATGTAGTTCAGGGATTACTACTTTGACAGGCAACAACCACCTTGTAGCTGCAGGTCTATGCATCTGCCTCAGTAATGGGTACTCGGTATGCCAGGTCTGTCCAGTGTCCAAGACATGCACCTGCGTGCTACACTTTCTAATACCCCACCCTGTGACTCCAAGAAGGCTGGGTATTTTGAAAACTTGTTTGGCACATAAAGGGCAGTGATAGTCAGGACACTTTCCCCATCATCTACCAGGATGAGAAAGTCTTGACCAGGAACAAACCCTAACTTACATGCACCAAATTGTGAGATACAAGTATCCTGACCCCTGCTCTCAGCCTCACCACGGCTTCTCATATAGTGCTTTTTTTACTCTACTTCAGTAGAAGTAGAGTAAAAAAACTCAAAGCACTTCACTCAAAGCACTTCATAGACACACTTTTTTTCTACATCTAAGTGCTTTCCAGCCACCCCCGGTCTCCAGAAGACTGGTTCAAGAGCCCACACTGTGTGTTGAGACAAACTCGACTATATCTACCTAGTATCTCTCAAACCCAACCACTCAGGCTTCTTTCCTAACAGACAAGTGATGTTCCATGCCCCAAGTGGTAGTTTCAACAGCTGGGGGTTAGACCACCAGGGTCTCTTCTCTTTCATGATGCTTGACACACATTGCAGTTGAAAACGTTCTTAATTATTATCATTATCTAAACATCTAGGCTTATCTCTTTCCTAATATATAATAACTGGAATACTCATTCGCATCAGCATATATTTGAACTTAATGCCACAAAGTTTTGGTTTTAACTCATTCCATAGTAGGTAAATCCCTGTAGTGTACTGGATTAATCATGCTAACATGCTTTAACTGATAGTTGGCAACTAGCACTTTCCCAAAACCTTGAGGTGGACGGCTAGACACCTTGTTCCAGGAGAGCAAATATGTCATTATAGATAGACCTTTGGACCTGATGGAGCATGCTAACTTATTTTATATAGAACAGAAACTCTCAAACTGATTGCTTTGGGATGATTACATGTTCTTATACACCCTTTTAGTGTTAAAATTAGTACCATGTCTAGCAAAATGGAGCTGTGATGTTTGCTGAACCTGTCCTGAAAGCCTTTGATTTCTTAGGGATATTCTGGTTGGTAGCCTGCTTTTAGGCATTGGATTTCTAGGCTAAATTCAAAGTCATTGGAAGCTCCAATATTGCATTACGTTGTAGGGTTAAAGGAATATCTGTTCTTCTCTGTTACTAGTCTTCATAAAATTCATTGTAACACACCAACATTTTTATTCTTTGACAGAATAAGACATAATGCTTGGATTTTCATTACTTGTCTACATTCATGTAATTGCTTTCTTTTCTCTGTGAGTAGTCAGACAGTGATGGGATTCCCGGCCGAGCCAAGTCAGTACCAGCTCTAGATCCTGGCAGGGGTTTATTGAGGGCAAAAAGTCCTACTGCAGAGTCAGTTGCCAGGATCAGGAGTCCTTCCCCACCAAAAGTCAGGACACCCATAAAAGTCCAAGGGCACTTCAAAAGTCCTGAGCCACCATCAACGACGGCAGCACAACTTAAAAGTCCTGAACCTCCACAAATTCCTCGGAAGCTTGAACCAGATTTGAGTGAGCAAGAACAAAATGGCGTGGTGGGAAAAAGCACAGTCAATGGTACTGCCAATGGTATCATCAGCCTTCCAGGCACCAGCACCAACCAAATGGCTACCACTGATGACCAGGGTTACACACGTAAGAAAGTAGTAAAGGTTGTTCGTCGTGTTGTCAGGAAGGTTTTACCCTCAGAAGATGAGATCAATGTACCAGCAAAGAAATCTGACAAAGTTACAGAAGTAGGCAAGCCTGCTACTGACACAATCAAAGTAGCAGCAGCAGCAACCTCAGTGTCCCAAACCCAAGTGATGCCAGGATTCTCGTTTAAACATGATGTCATTAAAACAGAAGACAAAGATGATATTTCAAGAGGCTTAACAAGCCTTATGGTCAGAGGCAGAACAAGGGAGCGCTTTCCAAGAATATTTCAGGATAACCGACCAGAAAAAATGGAGTTAGACAAGATAAGTGAGAAGATGGATGAAAAACTTGACTTGAAGGAGACAACAAAGGAGCAGAATGAAGTTAAAGCCAAGCCAGAGTTGCAGGATGTTAAACACAAATCCAGCAGCTCTTCTCCAGTTACAAAGGAAACAACATCTTCTCTGGTTTCTGTTAACCCTGCTAACAAAGCAACTGTGGGCTCAGCTTCAGATTCTTCCAAATCTCCTCATTCCCGGCCTTTATCTTTCACACCAGTTATGGGCTTCATCCCAGCTCCTGACTTTATACCTGAACCCCAATCATGTTTCACTGCATCAACTTCTGTGAACCCTAATCCTCCCCAGCCCAGTGTTGGTCCACTGTCTTCTACACCTATAGGAATTGTTTCTATCCAGAAACCTACTGTTAGTCAAAAAGAGGTACAGTCTAACACTTGGCATGTCGTCTTGACTTTTGGGACATGGTGTTGTTGATGTTGGGTGCATAGCATTTAAAATGCATGTTTGGAGTGAAAGAGCACTGTAGTGTTTGCTAATAGTGTTTGCACCACATTTATGTGTAATGTTAGTGTTCACAGTGGCTAGACTCAGCCACTTTTAAAAAGCTGTGGAAGACAAATGAGCAGAAGAAATTGCAACACACAAGGAAATGGTTTACTTGGAGTCTCTTGAGCTAATTGCCAGTAGATGATGAAGTCACTAATTAGTAATTAGTCAATTGACTTAATGTACAGTTGTTCAGTTGTTTGACATTTTATATTGAAAAACTGTTGGTCATTTACTTTGTACCTTTTGTTTTTGGGCATTCAACAAGGGCTCTTTTATGAATACCCTGCTTCTAATCAGCTTAGCAACAGGTGGTGTTATATTTGGAAATATTAATATTATATCCAACCAGTATTTCTCATTCTTGTAATCATTAAACCACAAGCACTTGTGTACGTCCTCAGCTTAGTCATTTCTACAGAATGCTGGGGTTGCTGTCAGAATTGTATGTTCTTTAGTGGCTATGTAAACTCCTATGGTTTTAAATACACTTGCTAGTTTTGAGGTTTATGACTCTTGAATCATTTTTGTGATTAAGTCTGCCAATGAACAAGGAGGACAGTTTCAGTTTTTAACCTTTAACATATCACATAGCAGAATGTATTTGATAATAAGCCTTGTTTGCAAAGATGGAGTGTCAGCAAAGACATTTTTCAAACAGGGAACTTTGGTAGCCTGACATGACTAGCATCACCAGGTAGAGCCAGTTACTGCAATGCTGCTTTGTGGAAAAGCAACTGAAAGAAAAAACATTATATTTGAAAACGATGCTGCCACAGACAAGTACACTAACTGGTCTGCTGCCTGTTTCTCTCTTTATTTTCTCTTTAGCGCTCTTAATGTTTTTCACACATTCTGTTTGGTTTGTTCCAGATTGTGTACTGCCAATTTTAGTAATACACTGTGTTACTCTGTTACACTGTTTTTACACAGTTTTTTTAACCTCCTAAGACCCGAACTCTTTCATGGCACGCAATTTTAATTTCCTCTTTGCTATTTGGGATGATTGGGACCTCATGAATGTAAAAACAAAGAATTTTCTTTTTACCTGATTTTGCTCTACAAGGGCTGGATATCCACATATGACATTTGTTTTAAATTTCGATAGAACAGTGGCAGTATAATGTCCTCATAAGAGATAGCAGGCCCTTATGGAGCAGCATGTTTTATTGTGGTCTAGACAACCCAAAATGTGATGTCCACATATGTGGATGCTCAGTCCTAGGAGGTTAAAGCATACGTACTGTTTGAAGCAGAAGCTATTTATATATTACTACTACTACTACTACTACCTATTTAGTGCTACTACAGAACTACTAAACATGGTGTTTTTGAAATGGATTCCATGGTAACCCAAACTGCTTATGCTGTTGATACAATCAGTGTATGTGTTTGAGTCTCCTGTGGGAAACATTAGTGAAGTCAGTGAGGATATCTGATGTACTTGTTTATTTTTTAAAGATGACTAAACATAACTAAAATACATATCCATCTGCTGAGGACATTTCTGTTTGTGTCTAATTGTGGGCTTTGCTTCATCTGTGTCAGTGTGCTCAGATTCAGTATTTTGCTGCTTTGACCTGTAGGAGGCACCGGTCAGTCCAACTGAGGAAGCTCAGCGACGCCTGATGAAGATCTTTGGCGTCCCTGTAAATAAACAGATAATATTGCCTTTGAATTTTCCGTGTTTGTACATGTACACATCAAAAAAATCTAACCAGCATTATTCACTTCCCCCATGGTCTAAAGCAGTTTGACGATTAGGCAAGTTAAAGCACCGATGTAAAGGGGTGGCTCTTTTTACACTTCACATTTGTGCATGTGGCAATAACACAGTGTGCTGGTATGAAGCAACTGGTGGTGAAAACTGTCATGCCATGTAAAGTAAGGGACGGTTAACCCTGTAGCAAAAAAGTAAAGAGCCCATTATTGCTGTCATAATTTCGTAAATGCCAGGTGTTACCTCTACATATAGTGTGCTGGCACAGGAGTACAGCAGTTTTCTTGAGAAAGTCTCAAGCTGTTGCAACATCTCCTTCTTTATAATCTGAAGCCCTGTGATCCTCTGCACTGATATCTCATTGAAATGGCAGTAAAAACTGACACAATCATGTCTTCAGCCTGGCTGTGCAACCGGTAAAAGGCTCCAAAAAAAGCATAGAGATGCTTCAAGTGGTGCTCCCATTGATTATTGATTATTTACTGCTTTGCCAGTGGCGTCATTGAGTCAGTGGTGTTAAAGAGAAAAACTGTTTCACCAAAGGGAATTCAGAATAGCTGAAATGGTTGATTTAAAGTCATGAAACAGCTTAGTTTAAAAACAGCTGTTTTTAAAAGTTGCTCTCTGAAAGCTGCTAAATTTATTCAGTTAAATTCTGTTTTTTTTATTTATCACCAAAAACTATGATGCAACGGTTGTTGTGATTAACTGGTCTAATGTTACATAGTCTTGCATCTCCACACCCTGCCCACTCAGTCACTTTGGTAAACTCCACTTATGTGCCAGCTAATAGAAAATATTCCCCTAAAGACAACGAGACAGTACCATGACGACATGGAAGTTTTTTTTATCTCTCCTGTTCATATTGAATTCTGGATCTTTGATGAAATGTTAATTAACCTTCAAATACACTCTTGCAGTTATAACGATCTGTGTTGCACAAGGTCAGGTTAAGTTAAGCAATGGAAACTAAGTCTGTCAGCAGGGTTTGGAAAAAATCAGCAAATTCTGAGCTTTAGCTAACTAGTTCTGTTTTTTCTTGTGCTGTAGTCTTTTTTAACATCTCAGAAATGTTCCCCTTCCTTTCTAATTTAATAATAACTTCACCAAAGCTGTTAGCATACATCACTATGTATCACATTGATCATCATTCCACTCTCACAATTTTTTTTGCAGCAGTTTCCCTTACTACTGTGTTGCTCATTACCCTGACAATAAAAACTTGTACTTTATTAAAATTATATTTCAGAACTGGAAAAATTACTGGAAACCTTGAAAATTGGGCTGCCCTGATGAACATGAATTGGGCCCACATTTCTTCTTGACTTCTGATGCAATGTCAAATTCTGTTACCTTTAAATTCAGTCATTTTGCTGGAGCTGCTAGAGCTGTGGACACTACAGAAACACCCACTTATGGATTTTGTTATAGACTTGACAGGTTTCAGAGAGAGTTCTGCTTAAGACATTCCTGTGGAATGAAGCTCAAATTATATCTCGCTAGTTAGTTTTGTAGCACATTCCCTTTCATGAGTGATATAACCAACTTCTCACAATTAGCCAATAACTGGATATGTTTGAACTGACTACATTCTCATTAGATAGGGGAATTATTTCAATGCCATGGTTACTCATTGTAAAGCCATTTTCCCTTTTCCATTGCCACTCAAATGTTCATGCACTTCTTGTTGCTTTCATGGGCTGTATCCCAATTCAGGGTCTGCAGCCTTAAAGTACGCAGCCTCAACGATCCTCAAGGGCCGCGTACTCAAAGGCCGCTAAGGCCGGAAGTGCGAGGCTTGTGAAATGGGACGGTCTAGCCTCCGTTGCGCTGCCCAGGTTGCCTAGCAACCATGATACTAACAGCTGGAAACGTTTCATACAGCTTTGTTTGACAGAAACGAAGGAGAAAATCTTTTGTTCATTTGTTTGTTTGTTTCTACATGAGCTTTGATCATTCTCTATAAGATGAAGCTCAGCTTTTGAACGGCGTATATTTTAAAGTAAAGGCTTTAAAACCAAGTTAGTACAAACTTCACTAATGTCACATAACTTTGCCGACATGTGGCCAACAGTCATGTTTTAATGTTCTTCGTTATTAAGCATTTCCACATAAATAAGTGACATAATATTCATCACTTAGTTTACTAAGTTACTCTTCGGGCGCCCCTCAGCTGCCGTTTTTTTTCGGCAAAGTTATCCACACCCACCGCCGCGCTATGCATTCTGGGATATGTTGGGCCATGAAGTCCACACCGCCACATCCTTAAAATTCAGGGAAATGAAGGATGCATTTGAGGGCCGCATTTCGAGCAGCCTCGAATTGGGACAGCCTTCGTCGCGTCGCTGTGACGTAATCGGCCTTTAAGGCTGCAGACCCTGAATTGGGATACAGCCATGTTCTGCAATATTTTCATCTGAATTTCCATGTTGACTGTGTCTTCTGTGTTTTTCCCCTCATTCCCTGTCTTTCTCTCCATGCTTTACTCACACTGCTTTTGCTGGTTGTCTCTGTGGCTAGCTGGAGCCAGCAGTCAGTGTTTCATCTTCTGTTGAGGCGCTCGTGTCTGCACCCCTGCAGGCTCAGGGCACCCTCCATGCACCACAGACCTGCATTTCCCTGGGGCTCCTATCTGGAATTTGTACTCATTTGACATGTGAGAATGTAAGGCCCAAAATCCTTTTAATTTCCTCAATTTCCCCCATTTGAAGTATTGTATTGAACTAAATTGAATTGAATTTTATTTCTGTAGTGCCAAATCACAACAACAGTTGCTTCAAGGTGCTGTTGACAGTTAAACTCCACGAAACTCCACATACGCTTAATATGTTTGGTTTGTTAGAGCCCACCCCCCCCACCCCCTCCCTCCCTCTCTGTCTCTTATATTAAAAAGAAGGCAAACCCAAATTATAACATGTTAAGAAACAAATAAGGCCATTTTGAAGAACAATAGGCTGGAAAAGTGAGTGGTACTAAATACAAAAATCCAATAACTGGTCTCCTCAGTTTGCAGACACTTGTAGAATGAGCCTGTAAACAGTGGTAACCTTTACCCTGTCCTACATTTTTTTTGACCTATTGCGATCAAGTTCAAAATGACCTCAATTCTTTCCTTAAAAGAGTAGATTTTCTCAGTTTCAACATGTGATGTGTTTTCTGTGTTCTGCTGTACTTCTGCTATTGTACAGCATCCCAACATTTTTGGAATCAGAGTTGTATTTCAGGCTTTCAAGGACTTTTTCTTACAATATAGTGTTAGTCCTTCAATTCAGGCATGCTAAACTGGATAAAGTCTTTCTAAAGATGAGAGCAGCTAAGACATTATACAGGGATGCTAAAGTGATATAATAACCTGCAGATAGTTGGATATTAGGTTGGGTTATTAAATTAATAATTTCCAGAATTGTCAACATATTCACAGAGTGGTATGTGTGGCACATGGGGGTTGGGCAGGGAGTTCCTACTTGGCACGTGTTTTTTAGTAAATGCAATCATGAAAGAGCTTGTTATGAAAATAAGTTCTAATCATCTATTTGGGATTTTTTGGTTTTAAGCAGATAAAAAAGTTAATTTAAATACATGAAGCAGTGAGGAGGCTGTCACTTGCAGCCTTCATCACAGATTGTTTGACAACTGTGTTCACTAATTTGTCATGAGCACAGAACTCCAGGGCTTTCTCATTGATGGCTGGCTGAAGTGGCCAGTAGCCTATAACCTATTGCTCAGCCTTCATATACTAATCAAATTTCCTTGTTCTTTATCGGTATAAAAAGTCTGAACTTCACTGTTGGCATTTTCAGTTTTCTTCCCATTGTATTGTCATGACGTACACCGTGGGTGCGTCTACTAAAAATCTCAGATGAGTTTGAATATCGGTCAAGTTTTCTAAACATCTTGCGAATGCAATAACTCAAGAAGGAATTCATCTAGGATTTTCAGATTGATACCATAGGTGCATCAACAAAATCATGGACGAGGTTGAATCTCAGTGATCTCAACCTAAAGGTCAGAGTAAGTTTTCTGTGAATGTGGTAACTTGAGAACAAGGTGATGTAGGATTATGAAATTGGTAAATGGATCGGATCTTGATAGTGTTTTTTTTTTGCTCTGAGCACTCAAAGCACTTTACACTACTTTCATCATTCACCTATTCCCACCCATTCACACAAGCACTTTTTTCTTCGCTCTTTCTATGGAAGTGCTTTCTATCAAAGGCAATGTCTTTAGAGTCTTTATGAATGAAGCTTTTTTGCTGTCATATAATCATCATGTTTTAGTGACCTGTGAAACTTTCAAAATGTAACATTCAAGCAGTACTTTTAATCGATGATCATGCATAGTGAGTAGACTTAATTTCTCTTTCTCATATATTCTGGATATGTAGAGCATCTGTTGCAGTGACATTGTCTACAGCTGAGCAGATGATGTTTCATTATATCTGTGTATTTGTTTGTATATGTCTGTCTGTTTTAACATATATTGCTTATGTATAACTGTGACCTTTAACCTTCTCATGCTGGCAAAATCACCAGGGATCAGTAGAAGAGGATCTTATTGCTCTCCAAGCATCTCATGCTGCAGCTAAGCAATCCCAGGTGTGGACTGCACTATGCCTGAGTGTGACAAAATCACCAGCTCATCCCTTGTGTTGTGCTGCATTGTGCTCGTGCTTGCAAAGTGCAGTGTTCCCTATTCATGTTTCCTGTTAAAATGTAGTAAAATGTAAGAAGTCATCAATAGGAACACCCTAGTTTTTTTTGTGCTTGTTTCCAGTTTACTTTGTTTTACACTTTCATTCTTGGTTCCTTATGTGTTTGTGTTCTTTTATGTTGTTATGAATATTGGGCTGAACCAAGCTGCTCTCTGGCATTTTAGATACCAGGGGTTGCTACTGAACTGCCGTTTGACAAACGCAAATGTCCTCACACATTCTTCATACAAGCCTGATCAGTCAATCACATGATCATTATTTTGAAAAGCTTTAATTGCATCCTTTCAGCATGTCCTGATATCTCACTGGAAATTCAAATGGTTTAAAAAAAAAAACACATGTTGCTGTGAGTGGTCCACAGGTATAATTTCCCCTGCTGTCCTCTAATTCTGACCTTTGTCCTTTTTAGGTGAAGACTGAGGAACAGATTGCAGCAGAGCAGGCCTGGTATGAATCAGATAAAGTATGGCTTGTCCACAAGGATGGCTTTTCCCTGGGTGAGTCTGGCTTATCTTTTTGAAAATGTTCTTACGGTGGCATCACATTTTTCCCCATTCCATTGCCTTTTATTGGTCTTTTATAAAAAGCTACATAGTTACTTGCTACTAAATGTGTTTTTTAATATATCTACACGAGGTGTGTACGTAATATTTTACTGCAAAAAATCTGTTATTTTGCATTAACTTAATTTGTCCGGTTACTTTAGAGCCCCTGAAATGAAGGGATTGTGTTAAAAATGCTCTAGTTCCTCACATTTTTATGCAATCTTATCCAAAATTAGAAAAAGTTGTCTCTGTCCAAATATTTATGGACCTAACTGTGTCATTGGATGGTGAAAAGAGTACTTAAATTACTTAAGTAGCTCCTGAATCCCCTTTAAATGCATCCTATAGTGGAAGAAGAAGCTGGAAAAAAAGGGGGCATCTCTCACATGCTTGTGGCTGTCACTGAGGGAGTTAAATAACTCTCTGACTGCACGACATCTGGGGTGATTGAGATTTACCCTAGGTTTGAATGCTCGTGATCAGGGGTGTCAAACATGTGGCCCACGGGCCACATCTAGCCTGCAATAAAAATATATTCGGCCCACAAGATAATTTCATGTGTAAGTTAATAATGACATGTTGGTATGTGGAGCTGAATCTTCAGCTGTGCTGGGAATCCATGCAGGCAGAGGCGCGACTTTACTTTGATTGGCACATCAAGCAGTCAATCACATGCAAAGACAAACTGGGATCATACCATTATGTGAAAGAAGGAAGAGGGGAAGACGTCCTGAAGACAGCAAGTGTAGTGGTACAGGCCAGGTAGAGAAAAAGTGAAGAAAAGGAGCAAAAACATAAAATAAGCAGCAACTGGCTGCATTTCAATGATACTGGAGACTGCAAAGCTGAGTGCAGAATTTATCACATCTTTCCATTGCACATGACAAACGGTGTCCAGGCTTTAAACCTCATATCCTCCCTAGTAGTATCAAATCCATGAAAATAAGGCTTTTACGCTGAATAAAAAACACTGAAAAAATTGCTAAATTGAAGAAGACTAAATTTACAGTTCAGTTTCAAATTCTACATAAAATAAACTACACACAGTGTCTTTGAATGGCAGAAATGGACAAATGTGTGCATGTAGTACAGAGCCATGGCTCAGTGTCTGAGTTTTGCTGACCGATTTTTTTCTTCTTCTTTGTAACAGCAGTTTTTTTCTTTATCATGTAGAAAAACTGTTAAATATGTAATTTCTTTACACTGACAGAATGATGAGTTAAGGTCAAAGTGGGCCGTAGGTGCTCCACGATGTAAAATGAGTTCGACACCCCTGCTGTAGATGTTTTGGGGCTGTCAGCCTGCTTTTGCAACATTATGTTGAAGTCATAGAAAGTGCCTGTGGAGTAGTTGTGATGATGTGGTTTTGTTGGCTTCACTGAGCAATGATTTTCAGTTTGCACTGAGAAAAGTGTGTTGTTCTTATCCCCATCTGTTTGCAGCAGCTCAGCATATGCATTCTACAGCTTAACACTTAACACTGCACATATTTGCATATTTGAAATTAAAATTTTAGAACCTCCTAGCTGTGAAGTGTTTTTCATTGGGATTAAATGTGTTAATTAGCTATAAAAATAATTTTATTGGATGATAAAGTCTTTAAAATGGAAATAAAAAAATCCACACTGCTGGTCTTTAGAGTTTTAGATGGCAAAGTCATGCATTTTTCCTTTTGTTATTCTCTTTAATTATCCACTTAAACTATAGAGATCAGTAGAGTTGAGCACTTCAGTCAGGCAAAAACTAAAGTGTTTACTGTCTTATCTCTGGCCAGCCACCGTGATAAAGACAGAAACTGGCTCTCTGCCAGAGGGCAAGGTAAGAATCAAAATGGAGCATGACGGGACTGTACTGGATGTGGATGAAGACGACATTGAAAAGGTGAGTAGGTGACTTCCGACCCTGTTCATCTAAATTCAATTCAATTCAATTTAATTCAATCCAGCTTTATTTATATAGTGCCAAATCACAACATTTGCCTCAAGGTGCTTTATATGTTAAGGTAAAGACGCTACAATAATACAGAGAAAACCCCAACAATCAGATGGGCCTCTATGATCAAGCGCTTTTGCAACAGTGGGAAGGAAAAACTCCCTTTTATAGGGTGGAACCAGGCTCAGGGAGGGGCGACCATCTCCTGCGACCGGTTGGGGTGAGGGGAGGACGATGAACTAGGTTTTCAGTATCTCTCTGAGACAGGTTGTTCCTAATTTTAGAGATATTGTACAAATGGAAGAAATCAGTCCTCCATGTTTTGTTCTGTTTTCATGTGCATTGAAGGACACATCCTGGTCAAAAATGCCTACCCCAGGGAGGCAAGTATAATGTAAAGAGAAATGGTCCTAGCACAGAATTCTGTGGAACTTCATAATTAACCTTAATGTATGAAGAGGACTGATGTTCTAGCTTTATAGAGGGCTTTTTTCTTTCAAAAAGAACAACAAACTATGTTTTTTAAATTAGTAGGACACCTTTTCCTTTTAGACTTTTACCAGGGAGTCAATTACTTCTGATTTGAGGCTTTCTTTGTCAGAGGAGCTACAATCTCAAGAATCGTACGCAGTGAAGATGTAAAACTATTAGGAAGATAATTGACCTCTGTGGGAGTAGAGTTCAGGGGGCTACTTTGCCTTGGCTTATGGCACTAAAGAAGATAACAGTGCAGGATTTGTATTGTAGTTAAACTTAATTATAGCACTTTCAGATATACATTTACTGCAATGCATATAAAGGTCTAAGTTTGTCACTTTCACTTCTGGGATATTATAAACAATAATACCCATAAATTAAAGTAGATTATTAGATTAGATTGTTATGATCGCATCGAAGGATCCACAGTACAAAACTTTCATATCAAATCACACTGTATCACAGAACAACAATGTGCATATTAATTATGTAAGCCTGTGGTAAACTGATGGCTAAAACATTTTTTTTGTTGCTGACACATTAAATTCGGACATTCAAGCACGTTTGTTGTTGTGACTTAGCGCTGTATAAATGAAATTGAACTGAATTTAATAAACGATTCATATTCCAAGTAAAACATTGTTATATAAATTATTATTTATATAGCATAAAGTTTTTTTTAAGTCCAATAAAGCAAAAAAAGCTAGCTTGAAGCTAGCTATCATTAGCAGCCCATGCACATGATGAAGGAGGTCCACTCAGTGTGTACGAGAGACTCAGAGGCAGAGAATCAGTTTGTCACAGACGGCCACAGAGGATACTACCAGCTCACGGGAATGCTGGAATAGGTGTAGGTAAGGTCAGATGGGACTGTTGGGAAGTTTGGCAGACGCACACTACTGGCTGTCTAAAGTTACTTTCTTGCTCACAGCACTTATAGTACTTCTAAAATCTATACAAATAATTTCAGTGGAGCACAGTAGCTTTGTTATTACCGTAATTCTGAGAGCAAGGATCTAAACATCAGTGCCCTGAAGAAAAAAAGACAGTTATTTATTTATTTATGCATTATTTTTATAAGTATACTTTGAGAAAGGAAGGAAATCGAACATCTGCCAGTTCATACTGATTGTTTAGACATTTCATGAGCAACTTACGGCAGGTGCTTGAGACCAGATGTAACTGACTAAATAGTTTATTAGAATACGAAACTATCACATTTGGTAAATTTGATTTTAAAATGACTGTGTAATAAAATAGGATGGGAAGTGATTAATCAATGAATGAGTACAGCTCTTCTGTCATTTTATGATTGCTCTCTCTATGTGTAGGCCAACCCTCCATCATACGACAGATCAGAAGACCTAGCTTCACTACTCTATTTGAATGAATCCAGTGTAATGCACTGCCTGAGGCAACGCTATGGAGGGAACCTCATCCATACCTATGCTGGACCCAACATGGTGGTCATCAACCCTCTCAGCATGCCCTCCATGTACTCGGAGAAGGTAAGCTCAAGACTAATGAGCAAGGCCAGCCAAATTAATGGATTGCATTTATATATAGTGCATTAATGCCGGTTGTTTGTGAAAGAAAGTGTAGCTGTTTAGTTTAGTGTAGCAGTGTAATGATCACTTCGAGGGTTTGGAGGTGCTTTATGCTACAGCTAACTCTTCATTAGTCTCTCTTTATTTTTGTGCTTGTACATGTTTTAATCTCATATTCTGTTCCTGCTCACAAGGTGATGAACATGTTTAAAGGCTGCCGGCGTGAGGATTCAGCTCCTCACATTTACTCTGTGGCCCAGTCGGCCTACCGCAACCTGCTCACCACCCGACAGGATCAGTCCATTGTGCTGCTGGGCAGGTCTGGTAGCGGCAAAACCACCAACTGTCAGCATCTTGTCCAGTACCTGGTCTGCATTGCTGGCAGCACAGGAAAAATCTTCTCTGGTGAGTTTGTCCACAAAAGACAGGGGTAGGTGGACTACAAACCTCAAATATCTTATATTGGAATTTTACATGGTTTCTCAGGATTCTCAACCTAGTTAGAAAGAATTAAATAATAATTCATAATAATTAATAAACAAAATCATCATCTGATAAGTTCTCTTTTTTCAGTTAAACTTAAAAAAGAGAACTTATCACATGATGATTTTGTTTTTTAAGAATAAATGCTCAGGTTTGAATTTGAGCACAGGATAGCTTACACTGTCCAAGCCAGAACATCACAGCTGTACTGGTTTCAGTCTTTTGTTTTGCACAATCCTTATTCTCTACAACTTTTGAAATTAAGTATTACAGATGATAAAATCAGATAATTTTTAAGTGCTTTTTCTTCAATTACTAAATAGAAATAATTAACTAAACACAAGTAGGCTCAAATCCTGTTACTGACAGTGTGAGCCAGAGGTTTTTACACCAACAAGGATATGTAAGACAGACAGGCTGCGGTTTGAGTCAGGGCCTGGTTTGAGGACATATATAACATGTATAACAGTTATACACTGAAATGTCAGTATTGTCAGTGTCAGTGTAGCCAGTCCACACAATTTTCATCAGGTCTTTGTTTATAAAAGTATAATAAGATTTGGACAATGAGAATTATTAACAGGTAGAACAGAATTATGGGTTCTTTGTGAAACATTGATTGCTAGTTTGCAATGAATCATCAAATGATGGGACATCTTATCGTTTTGGTGACACAGCTGAGAAGTGGCAGGCAGTCTACACCATACTGGAGGCCTTTGGGAACAGCTCTACCACCATAAACACAAATGCCAGCCACTTCTCTCATGTTGTTTCCTTGGACTTCGACCAAGCTGGGCAGGTGGCCTCTGCCTCCATCCAGGTAACAAACACAAGTGCGCGCACACAGCTGATTAGCTTGTACTGTACCCTTTTTACAAAACTCTCTTTACTTCTTAGACAATGTTGTTGGAGAAACTGAGGGTGAGCAGACGACCTGAGGGGGAATCCACCTTCAACGTTTTTTACTACATGATGGCTGGAGCCGACAGCAGTCTCAGGTGACTAGTTGAGCCCTTTTTTGTACTGTTTAGTAACGTAGAGATTTTCTTTTGTTTTTTAAAAATAAAAAAATGATTTGATTTGGAAGAATTGTAGCGTTACAATAGGTTTTTCACAGTCTTTGTCATATTATTTCTTGATGTTTGCTTTCTTGACAAGTTTTCGTCACCTATTCTCTGTTTGCTATGGATAGGCATGTCTGGAAATTTCTGGACAGTGGCATAATATTCACTGTTTCACTGCTGTATGGCAGTGCAGTTGCATTGAAACGAAATTGTCAACAATCAGTATCACTGATTTTTTCAGTCATTGTATCATGGGAGCATATGTTACTTTAAAACCTGTATATACCTTACAGCATGAATGTACAGGCTCTTAATTCTATAGGCCACCCATTCCCAAAGTCAACAATCCTGTGGCCCACTTAAAACCCAGAAAATCCCTTGTGGTCCACCCACAATAACCAAAATACAAGAGGATGTGATGTATTTCCTTGAAATTTTTAGTCAAAACACAAACAATGCATGCTGTTGATTAAACTTTCTAATGCTTTGCAGCGTGTTAGGGCCTCCCACTGGGACCAAAACCTAGATACAGTGTCTGAAGAAACAAAACATAATAGCAATTTAACATTTTATGGTAATCAGGTGCCAATCAGGCAGCAGCATTGGTAGAGAAGATTTGGCAGGTTTTTCATGGGGGTAACCCATATACTCGATGCACAAATGCATTTTTCTTACAAATGTGGCAATGCTTACGGGGAAATAAACAGACTTTCCAGTGGTGTAATATTTATAGCTTTTTTTCTTTGTTACAACAAAGAAAAGAATCGACCAAACACTGATTTCGTTACTTTTTTAGGTAGCAAGTGTACATTCTGTGCTCGAAGTCTAAAAATGGGCAAGCTTAAGGATTTGAGTAAATTGTTGTCACTAGACGACTGCAGTTCTTGTGAGGTGTTCCTGGTTGACAGTCGTCAGTATCTATCAAATGTAGTACTTGGAAGGAACTGTAGTGAACATTGATCCTGTGATTTGCGTCATTGCGTTCTGTTTTTAATTACATTTAACAAATCTTCTCAACTTTTTTAGAATTGGGGTTTTACACTAAATATCTTTGCTAAGTCAGCAATTAAATTAGAAAGCTGTCTTAAAAGAAAATCATTGTCACATAATATGGATATTCTTCTGATATAACAAAAATACAACTACTCACATCAAGCTTACACATTTGTCTGGCACTGAGGAGCTTATGTTTCTAGTGTCTTTCCTCTCCTCCAGGACGGAGCTGCACTTTAACCACCTGGCTGAGAACAGTGCTTTTGGGATCCTGCCACAGACTAAGGTAATCACAGTAGATGGTAGATGTTAATAAAATGTGTGGATGAAAGCAACTGTTTATTGCAAAATTCCAGACTCCCTGCAGGGTTCAGTAAAGTTTGATTTGATCTGCTTCAGCCTGAAGACAAGCAGCGATCCTTGCAGCAGTTCACCAAGCTGCAGGCAGCCATGAAGGTGCTGGGCATCTCCAGTGAAGAGCAGAAAGCCCTCTGGCTTATCCTCGGTGCCATTTACCACTTGGGGGCAGCGGGCGCGACTAAAGGTAGGAACTCCCTTCCTCGTTGATTTTAAGTACATCAGATCTTGACTAGGGAGATGGTGTGATTATAGGGGAATAGGAGAAGATGTAATAAAAGGATAGCGTACAAATAGAAATCTACAGTGTATCACCAACTGCCACACCCGTCAAAAAAACAACCATACAGCAACTAGAACCCAAAAAATAAAAAAATGCACAGATATATTCTTCTTGTAGGGGTTGTGCAGTGTGTGAGTGTGAGAGAGAGTGTCCAGTGTGAGTGTAAGTGTTTAAGTGTCTTTGTCACAAAATGAACTTGAAAATGAGGGTAGGGGAAAATGGGCTCCAGGTGCCCAAGAACTGGCCGGCAGAGACCCCCCCAACACGGAAGACGTGTAAGCCATTCCAGACCACCAAGGGAGTGGGTCAACGACCATGTCAGAACAGCGAACCACACGCCCTGGAACCAACAAGTATGCCCAGGGAGGGGCAGCAGCATCCAGCAAGGAGCACTAGGGAGGGTGAACCTCTTTCCTCCAAGACCATATCTCACAGGGGCCAAGCCCCAGCAAGCCCCAGACCCAGCCATGCACACACACACACAAACACATGGACCAGATTGTCATGGTCAAAGATCTGACCACCCTCATAACGTCTGGGTACTGACCAGTAAAATAAGGTTGTGAATACAAGCAGCTAAAAGGAATTTCCTCTGTAGGGAGGCTCGGCTGTATCTTAGACTTAAAGTTAGGAGCTTAGACATCTGGAGAAAGATTGTAGTAGAGCCACTGGCAGTGTTGGGGAGTAATGGAATACATGTGCCGCCGTTACGTATTTAAAATACAAAATATGAGTAACTGTATTCTGTTACAATTACCGTTTAAAAAGGTGGTATTCAGAATACAGTTACTTTGTTGAAATAAAGGGATTACACGGCGGCCTTTTCCTGTTCCATATGTTAGGCTGTCCCCTCTCTATTTTTGGTAATTCCACGCCGGTGGAAACCCAAACAAAACACGCATTAAGAGGCTCAAATGCCTGGGTCTCAAGCCCATGTCACCTCTACTTGCGTCCCGCAAAATGACGTGACGAAATATTTAAATAAATTATTGTTCAAAAAATTATTTAATATGAAGGCAATACAGGCATAGCCCTAAAGAATGTAGCCTCATGGGCAGTGTAGCCCAGCTGTAAGTACACTGTGTTCGTGTTTTCCTCTGAAACAATAAGTTCCATTGGAGCAGCCTTTCAACGCCTCTCTCTGTCTCTCGCTAGCAAACTTGACCCAGGCAACAAAGTAAAGTTTTCAGCTATGAGCCCGACACGAACCCGACGTATTAGCCAGAGGTCGCTTTACTATGGTTCGGAGCTGTGGACCTGTTTTATATATGCACAGAATAGTTTTCTATACGAGATCACTGCAAAAAGTGCAGCCTTACCTAATGTCCACCTACTGTTACTCATTTATATTAAGATTTAAAAATGTAGCTGGTATTGGTATGATGAGTAACCTTCAGTAATAGTAATAAATCACACAGCTATAGTACATTCATGTAGTTGTAAAAAGCTTGATAATATATTAAATAATCCAAAGTATTCAGAATACGTTACTCTCATTGAGTAATGTAACGGAATACGTTACAAAATACATTTTGGGGCATGTAATCTGTAATCTGTAGTGGAATACACTTTAAAAGTAACCTTCCCAACACTGGCTATGTCCATGGTGCTGATGTAAGCTATAGGTGACGGTTTCTCTTTGTGTATAATATACACAATATATATGACAACATATATATACACTGTATATATATGTTGTCATATATATGATAACCATGTTCAGTGGAATCATAACAAAACACCCACATTTCTGTTTTGTAACGCAAAACAATTATAAATCTGAACAGAGACGGCGTCTGAGGTTGTGTTGATGCCCAAATTCTTTCATATTTATTCCTCTAAAGTAAGACAACTGTAGCCCTTTATAAGATTTATTTAATTAAACCCTTTATTAATGTTCTGGCTTGTGCGGCTCCCGTTACAAGCATGAAAGACACGTGCATATGAGAGGTGTCATCATCTCCTGTGAGACAAATTTAACAAAGATCTGTGACAAAACTCAGCGAGAAAACAATAAACTGGAAGTGTAAAAACACCTTTTTACTGTTCTTTGAGGTAAATCCCAACATTTATGATTTTCTGCAGCCTGTCCTGGTAGCTGCCATTCATAAGGATTATTTCTGCAGAAAAAGAATGACATGATGCATTAAATGCCCTCTTTTATGTGAGCAGAAGCAGATGCAGAAGAAGTTAACCACCGATGTGATAGCCATCTCTGTCATGGCCAGCTCTGACTGAGGTTTTAGGTTTTGTCGAAACCCTTAATGAAAACAAAAGCCAGTCTGTGCTGATCTTCCTATATACGCAAAAACTTTATTCTCAGTCAGAATAAAGAATAAAATTTACAGTAAGAGTAAACAGTCGACTTTTCAAAAGAAGTTAATGGTCTGTAGAAACGTCTGTGTTTGTTTGTGTGTCAATAAAAAAAGCGTGTAAATACATAAAGTGTTAAATACCGTTTTCACTGCTCCATTTTCACGGGAGAGAGTTCGGTAAGGGGATCCCACACTAAATCAGCTGTGAAAGTGTGCATATGCGTTCCACAAGCAGCTTGAGCTTTGTTCTGTCTTAGATAATCCACAAAGAATTTCATTCTATTTCACATTTTAGTCTGGATTATTAAAATGCAATGTCTTGTATAATCATTTTCAAAAGAAACTGATATGTGCAAAATCCATCATTTTACGCGCGACTCCTTACATCGCCATGATTAGTTACATGGTCACAACAAAATTACGGCCTGTTTTGCACAACAAACAAACAAACAACAACAAAAAACTGAAGTGTCATCGTGTCCGTACTGCTGAATAAAATGCATATTTTCCTTTACATTTGTTTTACTTCTCATAGTTGGGTTTCATTTGGAATTTCCTTTGGAACTCCAAGCGCTTTAGAAAGACTGGAAAGTGGGAAGTTTGCATGGATCACATCACGGTCTTCCTCGCCTCTCAGTCAAAGGTCCTGATGAACTCTAGCTATGCCCACTGGTCTGTGCCGAAAGTCACTAGTTGAGGCAGTTTGGGCATCTTCTTAGTAAGCCTATTGGCCACCAACCTTTGAAGGTTTGTTGGGCACACCGAACTGGTAGGAGACAGCAGGGTAGACCCAGAACTTGTGTAAAGTGAACTGGAAAGTTTTGCTTGGGAGAAATTTGGTTGAAATATCCCGCTTACCCTGCTGCCACTAGAGTGAGCACTGATCCACTCCAAATAAAGTAAGACCTGAAACTTGCAATGTCATCCTGCTTAATAGGGAAAAGGTATATGGAAAAAAGAGGCCATGGATGACAATATGTTAACAACAAACTGGCAAAAAGTCTAAAATGAATTTGTACCAAATGGGCAGTCTAAAATCTATATGCCATATTTGACTTGTCCCTTTAACATGATCCTCCTACGTATGTAATTTTAGTTGTTTTAGATTGTAAGGACGACTTGAAATGAAGATGTGCATATCCTGCATTTGGTTTTATACTTATATGCAAGTTTCCCAACAACTGATTTATTGATTTTCCCAGCTTCTCTGCACTGCACTTACCTGATTACTTAATGCCAGCATGTCTCTGTTCAAATTACAATCAACTGTAAGGCATCAAATGTGAATTCTTCTTGCAGAAGTGGGAGAAAAATTGTTTTTAAGTCAAATTTACTTTCTACCACCAGCCACTAGGTGTCATGTTTGACATATGAATGTACTGCTCTCAGTCAGAGGCACGCTGACTACAGAGGCAAAAGGGAATGCAGATTTTTTCCATTAGATGCCGTCTAATGTGGCTTTTTCCAAAATGTTTCAGCAGTCCACAGTTAATTCCCCTAGAACTTTTAGAAGTCCAGGTATGTTGATCAAATCCTACATTGTGTTCTGTTTTTATGTATGACATCCAAACAGTTTTTGAAGTTGAGTTTTAGTTTAATCACTAGTCATATATTTGAGGTTTTACTGTATATAAGTAGAAGGTCCCTTAACTTTAAAATTGTGCCGTCTGAAAAAGAAAGCATACCTGCACAGGAAATAAGATGGAGCGCAACAGAATACATTTATTTTATATTTGGATGTGACTACTTTACAATCACTACCAATTTAAGTGCCAACTTTAATTTATTTGCAAAATTGTGTCTCCATAACTGGAAGTGATTACCCTTGCACGTATTTATTGATTTTTCTCCTCATTGCAGCAATCTCAATGTGGTGGCTGTGTGAAGTGTTTCCTTCTGTTTTTTGGGTCGTATGGGTTCAATGTCAGGTGGCGATGGATGCTCCAACATAAAACTGGGGACAGTAAAAGTCATCTTTTTACATGTTTTTGCTGAAATGCACACTTACTTCAAAGTGACATCAGTCATAGTATAGAAAGTCTTTTGTGACTTGAATAATTTTTAACGTCAATAGTCTGCACTGACAGTGACTTTACTTGAAGGACATTCTTTATGCTTGGACCGTTTTCTTTTAGTCCTGAGTATCATTTCCTCTCCACTGGTGTGAAACAGGGGTTTGGGGTGCTATCAGTCACATTTCTCAGCCAGCTGTTCCAAAGCATAATGATGTGTTGTCAGTGTTGTTGAATGCTAATGTTCATGTTTTCCTGTGTCTGTGATGATGTGATGAATCCTTAAACTATTATCTCTAACACCCCCCCCCCCCTCTCTTTTTACTTGCATGTTTGCATGCTGCGCCATATCAAACACAGATGGAGATGAAGGTAATGGGAAAAAAACAACACACGACTTGTTGACCCTTTTTTTTAACCTAAAAAACCTTATGTCAGAGCCTCTCCTGTTTGTTTTCTGTCTGTATGCCTTTATCATTCTCTTCAGCCATTAGCATTTTTATTGTTTCTGCTCCTCCTCTTTCTCTCTTGTGTTTTTTGTGTTTTCTTCATTACGGCTCTCCCATCTCCTTGCATCGCCTTTTCCTTTTCTCTAAGATGAAAATCAGAACTTCACTGTTTCTTTAAACCGCCCTCTCTCATACCTCCCCTGTCACCTCATTCGACTTCTGTCACACTACTACAATTCTGAAACAAACAAAGTAAAACTTGTACATTTTCAAATCTCTTGTTTGTGTTTTAGCTCTCTACCACAGACCTTGTATTTCCCAGATTAACCTGGACCCTGTTGGGTTCTCTGGTTCTGTGTCGCTTTGATTGGCTGTATGTCGCTGGTGTTGTCATGATTCTTTGGTTTATTCTAACACACTGGCTTTGATTGAGGTTCCGACCAAGTGGAGATGCTCTCCTCTTGCAGATAATTGTGCAAAAACAGATTGAGAGTTAGGATTAAACATGATTAGCTGTCATCTCCATCACATATCTAAGAACACACCAGCCTCACACAGCTTTTCCGTTTCTCACAGTAGAGATTTCCATATTTATGTTTGGAGTCGTGGGGACAGAACACAAACATGATGTGCTAAAACCCACACAGCAGAGGACTCTTGGTGTTTAAGGTGGGATCATAACTGGATCCTACTTAAATATTTTAAAGATTTTTAAAACATTGATTTCATTTATTGACATTAAAATATTTAAGTGTCTCTAATTTTTACTGTCAGTGTATGTGCTGCAAAGTGTCAACATGAAACTATTCTGTACTGACTTTAAGTATTTTAGTAAAAATAATTTACATCACGTCAACTGCAAGATATTCACCAGTTGACTTTTAGAGCCACCAGTGTTCAGCATTAATTCAGCATTACACATTGCACAAAGAAATGCTGCCTTTCTCTCTTTGTCTATGCCGTTGACAGCATATAATACAGTATAGTTGTGGTATTATAATAATACATTCTTCAGGAGTCTGCTGTCGTGTTTTGGATGGGGTAAAGTGATATTATACAGTAAATCAGTACTAGACTGTACTGTACACCTCATGACATCTTTCATTAAGAGAATAGATACTTTTTAGTCCTTCTAGTGAGTCCATCACAAAATTTGCCTTTGTTGATGGCAGTAGTTGGGGTCTGGAAAATTTCTCATTCACTCTGCCACTTTCAGGAGATGAATTATCATTATGCAGTTAAATCTTGATATAAGAGATATCCCACTCAAGTATAAGAATCAAGTCAACATTCATTTCCTTTTAGGGAACTCCTCTAAATCATAGATGCTGATATGACTGCGTTACTGCGTTAGAGAAGCGCTAAATGTTCCATTACTGCAGAATCTCAAGCTCAGTTGTCGTTTCATTTCAACTGACAGTTTTTGCACTTTTCAGCATTGTTTTTTCACATCTGGGACAACTCCTGTCAAAGGCAGAGAACATCTCTTTTGGTTAAATAGAGGTGCCAAGCGAAGTGTTTACCAGGTAGAAGGCCAGGACCATCGTTGAAATTGAATTTGTATTTTAACAGTTACAGTCTGAGGTCTTGTCAGCTGTACTGAACCTCAGCAGAGCTGATAGTTGTACTGGATTTGGATACTGGAGTGTCACAGAAATGAAATCTTGCCTAAATTTGCAACAGACGGTAGAAATAGTAGTTTTGATCTACAGTAATTGTATACTTACACTTGCTCTTCATTTTTACTGTACATGTTATCTTCGTTGCCTTTCTTCTTCTAGCTCTTTGTTTTAGAATTTGAACTCATTCATGCTTTACTTGTAGTGGGACGTCGGCAGTTTGCTCGTCATGAATGGGCTCAGAAAGCAGCCTACCTGTTGGGCTGCACCTTGGAGGAGCTATCTTCATCTATTTTTAAGCATCAGGCCAAAGGACTGCAGCATTCTACCTCATTCAGAGGACCACCAGATGAGGCTAGCCATGGTGATGGCTTAGGTAAAAATACTGCAAACGTTGGAATTTCCATTTATGTTGAATTATTGCTAAAAGGGTTACCATTGTTGATATGATCATTTTTTCTTAGATGCAGACCACATTTTGCTTGTTTTCAGCTGCTGTTTAAAAACTGAGTCTCATGAAAAAAACATAAAACGTGCATCTCATCTGTCTCTCAGGCCCTAAAGTCACAGCTCTGGAGTGTTTGGAGGCCATGGCATCAGGACTTTACTCTGAGCTTTTCACACTTGTCATCTCCCTTATTAACAGGTTAGCTGTCAGCATTTACCTCAAATTCTAGTACTACAATATTCATATTCAATTTGGACTTATATAAAATAGCTAGATCATTCATGAATTCATCTTGCCAGATAAGCGCTGCACTTTAGATTTTTTTTGTAAAATATTTCAAACATTCATCTTCAAATATTGTAAGAATGAATTGGTATATAAATATAATTTTGACACTGGGAAGCTGCAGACTGCTTGATTAGTCAAAGCTTCTTCACTAAAGCCTGCTGATGCATCTGTGTCCCTCAGGGCCCTGAAGTCTAGTCAGCACTCTCTGTGTTCTCTGCTGATCGTTGACACTCCGGGTTTCCAGAACCCTCGGCTGGCTCATCAGCAGAGGGGAGCCACTTTTGAAGAGCTCTGTCACAACTACACCCAGGAGAGGCTACAGACTCTGTTTCATGAACGGACCTTTGTCAAGGAATTGGAGAGATACAAGGAGGTGCAGCTGGAACAACAGAGCTTAACACTTGGGAGGGACAGAACATATACATATTTCATGCACTGATTTTAAGGACGACTTAATAATTACATGTAGTCAAACACAGATGTATATTTTTTCTGGCGTCTGCCTGTACCGATAATTCTCAACTAATTCAAATTTTTAGGATTTTAGATGCACTGGAGATCAGTTCATTGGTGCTCCACAGCAGTAAAGAATTTGACCTCAGTACTCCAGATAATCCACAGGATACTCGGGGTTTAGAAAATTTCTACTTCTACTGTAGTTCCAATGCAAGTGGTTCACATCAAGATCTGTGGTTTCTACGAGTAATTGAGCTTCAAAACTTGAATAAATACACAAAAACTCAAATGTTGAGAAATTGGTGGTGTCAGTAAAAGCATTTCTATGTGTAGTTTACAGCCTCGCCCTGTGTTTGTGTGGGTTTCCTCCAGGTAAGCTTGCACAGACCAAAGACCCTACAATAATGCAGAGAAAACCCCCAACAATCAAATGTCCAGTTTAAGAAATTTCCAAAACTTTTTATGTACTCAACCCAATCTATAGCTTTAGTAACTGCTGATTTCAAGATTGAGATGAACAGCTGCACTTGATTTTCTGTTTTTTATTTTTTATGAGCTCATCTTCTGCTGGTACATGTCTTGTAGGTTACTAACCTGAGTTTCTGTCCCCTCCTGCATCTAGGAAAACATAGAACTTGCTTTAGATGACATAGAGTCCAACACCTCACTGTCTGTAGCAGTTATTGATCAAGCCTCAACCCAAGCTCTGGTAAGCAACCCTCACTACACTCTGCTTTGCTTTCACCTGGAATCAGTTGTGAGAAATATGCTGTGTTAACAGCACAGATTAAAGTTGTGTTTATGTTCAGTGGAGCATTGAGGTATTTAGGTCCAGATTCAAGGGCAGTTTATCTGGGCCTGAATTTCAGTCATTATTCAGGGAGACATTAATGCAAATGAAGCTGTAGCCAAATGAGCACCCCAGAGTACCACTGAGCCAGCAAATAGCTCTTTTCATCACTGCTGGCAAATGCAAATAGTTCTAGGTCCATGGCCAATCTAGCAAAGCAGGCATCAATATGTGCTGAAGCCAGAGGACCTGAGATCTGGGACAGAAAACTCCCCCTACTCTTCTTGAGACTGAAATTAGATGTAACATAAAAGAGTTTTCAAAGCATGCTTAGCCTAAATGCTTGTCAACTTGTTGTGATGGTTGGTTCCATATTTTCTTGCTGTTTCTTTCATTTCCTTTAGGATTTTGTCTGAGATCAGCACTATTGATTAGAATCAAATTTGTGATGTGTTTTCTCTTTGAAGCTTGAAAGAGTCTCCTTTTCTCTCCACTCGTTGGTTCCCTTTTTACTAAAAGTCTGTGTTGTTAGCAGTACAAGTATTTGCAGCATTTGGTCTGTGTAGATGGTCCTGCAGTCTTGATGGAGACAAGTACTAGATTCCAGCTTCCTTTTGTGTTGGACTGTGTTGAATGTATTAGATGATTTATATAATGGTGTGTATTTTTATTTGAAGTGAGAGTAGAACAACAAACCTGTAATTATGTAAGAGTAGCAAATGTCTGTTAACCATAATAACTGACATTTGATACCATCAGCAACGTTGTTTTTCATGCCAAACTGTTGATCGTTCTAGTTTTCAAGACACCTAGAGACAATCAAATCCCCCAAATATTAGCTGAAATGCTTTAAGCTGCATCTATATTGGAAGCAGTTCACAGCAACCAGAGGCCACACAACGTAAATGACATTCTGTGACTACAGGAAAAATAACAAAATAACCACTCGAGATACGTTTCTCCAGGCAAGTGGTTGACGCAGTTATCAGTGCGCGAGCAGGATCCTGTTGTTTGACATATGACTAGGTAGTAAATAAATTAGATGGTTACCCAGGCAACCCGTACCTGGAACATTAAGGAAACAGGTGTCAGCTTCAAAGCGAGTGTGGTGCTTTAGCAGCAAAGACTACAGAATGGATTCCTTTTTGCTGGCATGTGTGAATCTGAGGTCAGTTTCTAATGGTTCAACTGAATTCAAATGAACTCTTAGGACTAGATTGACATTGGATGTTCTGACCTACAATCACTAAAGATTTTAGAAGTTTCTGCAACTGATCCCCTTTATGATGGACTTACACATTATGTACACACATCCTCAGATAATACAGTGCTCAACCACAAACAAAATCACTCTGTCAAGCTGCCCTGGTCTTTCAAGGCAAGGAATCTGTAGACTGAAGGTGTTAGCGTCACAAGGCCTCTGTAGATCAAACTTTTATCTTGTTTCCAATCCTGAACAATCAGGTGGTACAGATATTACACCAACATAAACACCAAGGTCCTCTGCCTCTGGTGCCTTTTTTGTTCCATCTTCCACTGCTCTGTGGCACATTTCAGGCTCCCACATGTCCATCGTAGGCGTTTTGGCAAAGGTCATGGGTCTGCAAAGGCATTCTCACCACTGTGTGGCTAACAGCCCTCATATGCAGCGAGATGCATATGTGCATAATCTGGTACCTTTTTTCCTAATCGTAACCAGCTTGAAGGATTTTAAGCAACTACAGAAGACTTTCGGTGAGCTTGAACCACACAGCTTGTGCTCCACCAGGCCATCAGTGGAACTACACCACACTGCCACTGTCCTTTTGAGTGGAATCATAATAATTTTGTGTCTGTGTTTGTGTGTGATGTCAAGTAGTGACCAACAAATTATTTCAATGTATCTGAAGAGGAATTAAAATAATGTTGTTGATCTTTTTGAGGTAGCACCGCATCGTGTTACACAAATATGAGTCTGTCCAATACCTTTAGCTTTAGTTAATAGCTGCATTACTAATGACACCCAGAAGAACAGTAGACATGGAAACACACTGTGACTCAATTTTGATGAAACAATACAGGTGGTGCATTTGTATCTAGCTTGTGATCTCTGTTCAAATTACAGCAAACTCTTTTTAATCTCTGTAAGTGATTTGAATGACACTTTAGCAGATAATGTGTTTTCAGCAGCACAATCCTAAGCCTCTTCTTTGATTTGGAAAGCCTTTAAGAGTCAGCTAACTTTGTATTTTCATTATAAGCGGCCTGTCTGCACAGGTTTCATATTTTTATGTAGAAAGCCTCATCTCTGCTAGGTCCACAAATTCAACAATTTAACAAAACAGTGCAGGATTTAAACTTTGTACTGACAAGAGGAGTAGTTTTATAATCAGCTGTTAAGGTTGTGAAAGCCTATATCCAAGTAATCACTCAAGCTTTTGTGCTGCACTGTTTTCTTTTTATATTGTTAGATTTTGGGTGCTAATTTACTAGCATTAATTGAACATTGATTTCTAAGTAGAATGACAGGCATTCAGAAATGCTTGTGGAAGGCTTATTCTGCATTTGCACAGAATTCGTTTTATTTGCTTGCTTCTAACTTAAATATATGAGCTGTATGATTTTCAGTGCACAGTTGGAAAGCTCACTCAAGTCTGATTTGTGTGACTGACAATTTTTAAAAGATGGGAGGAAATCTTCTTAAAAGTAGAAAATTAAATGAAAGGGCCAATCCTTGCACTTTAGTTTAAATCAGTACTGTAGTGTTCAGCTTTGAAGGTTTGGGAGGACATTAGAATGCCCTTGATTGAGTCTTTATGAAAAATGCTGAACAAACCTTAAGGACAAATTTGTCTAGAGCAACAGCAGCTTACTGTAGGTGGAGATTTGCCATGTGGAAATTCACTGTCTCTAAGGTTTGAAGGAGTAACAGAAATTGGTCCAATCCATGCTACCCAAGGCCTCCATGTTTATATAGTGACATCAGATGATGGTGCTGACAGTCAACTCCACAGCTCCAAAGCAACCTTTAATCTTGAGAGCAAAAATAAAAAATGTTTTTACTTTCTTTATTTTGTTTTTGAAAAAAGAAAGCAAAACACAAACATCTCTTGTCAGGTATTTGGCTGCTTAGTACCCAGTCACTGTCCTCTGATGAAAGTGACAGATAACGATTTCTATATTGTCTTTCCTTGATCTGTCCAAATAAAAAAGACATTTTCACCTGCCTTTGTTCATCACAGGTTCGTACTCTAGCCAGGACAGATGAAGCTCGAGGCCTTCTGTGGCTCATGGAGGAGGAGGCTGTTCAGCCAGGAGGTTCAGAGGAAACCATGCTGGAGAGACTCTTCAGCTACTATGGCTCTGCACAGGGAGAAAACAAAGGTGAACACTCAAACACGTAGCTGTCCCTTAACGCAATCAGTCGAGGCTTTCTGAAGAAACAAATAGACAACACTGATACACCATGGCAGAATATTTCCATTCTGTTGCAGGAGCTAATCTACTTCTGCGAGGAGAGAAGCCCCACCTCTTCCTGCTGGGCCACAGCCATGGGACCAATTGGGTGGAGTATAACACCCAAGGCTGGTTGAACCATGCCAAGCACAACCCTGCTGCCCAGAATGCTGCAACCCTGCTGCAGGACTCCCAGAAGTATGATGCCTCTGTCTATACATGAACATCATCCAGTTTAATAGAACAATGTATGAAGTGATTGGTCATCACCGCTGTTGTTTTTAAGCTGCACGTGCCCTGATGGAGTTGCTAGTAGTGGATTTGAATTAACTGGTTACGTAAGAAGAAAATAAAACTATGTCCTGTACTAATAGAATTACATTTGTCCGATATAGAGAACATATAAATGTACATTACAGTACACTGCATGTGAACTTGTGAAAGAAATGCCCAATTTATTCTTGCATTGCCTGGATTTATCTCAGTTTCTGTCATGTTAGGCCTGCCTTTCCACCTCTGGGGGCTCTGTGTTCTCTTGTCTTTAGTTCATATGCACTCATTTCAGTCTGTCTGTAAATTTTATGGTTTCAGTCACTCAAAAAAACATAATATGCTTGACAAGGGGAAGAATGTAGAGTTTAATCAAATGTTTCCAGTATGATCTTACTGCTACAATCCACAGTTCAACCATGAATGAAGTCAATATATTTTGTACTGTAGGTTATGAAATCAATGGCTCTTTGTCTATAAAGTCTTGGGAACATTTGCCTTACTGTCTTGCAAAAGGGAATACACACTCTACTTAAGTATAGTCTAGCTAAAGCAATTAATTTGCTCTAAAAAGACAAAAATTGCAGGGACAATATCTAACTTAGCAGCTTTTCAAAATCTGTTTCAGACCTTTAGCAGTCATAAGGTGAGTGTTTGACACCATGAGGCAACAGAGTGAACCAAAGAGTGCAGCAAGGAGCCTGTCAACATATGGCTCTCAAAACTATAATATGGCACTAATGCTATCAGATTGATTTCTTTATATTGTCTTGTGAATTCTTGGATGCTAGTGATGTGGATTTGTACAAACCCTATCATCTTTCTGCCACTGCAGGAAGAACATCAGCGCGCTGTTCATGGGCCGGGCCAGTGGAGCCACCGTGTTGTCGGGCTCCATCGCCGGTCTGGAGGGCAGCTCCCAGCTTGCCCTGCGGCGAGCCACTAGTATGAGGAAAACCTTCACTACAGGTGTGGCTGCTGTCAAGAAGAAGAGTCTGTGTATCCAAGTGAAACTCCAAGTGGTAAGTGGATGAGAGTGTGGTTAAAAGGTACGAAAACACAACAGGCACCAACCACCTTGTGGCTGCAGCTCAGTGCAGCTGCTTTGGCAATGGAGCTGCACACCTATGGCACCTCTGCCATAGGTGTGCATTGAAGATCTTGTGGACCGGGGCCTCTGCCAGGCGTTCCCAGCGCACCCTCACTATATATGCACATTAAGGTCATGCAGTTCCCACCACCTGACCCAACTCACCACCTGGTGATTAGTTGACAGCTCAGCCCCTCTTTTTAGCCAATTGTCCAAAACATGTGGCCGCATCTCTGGTGAAACAATTATAAAATCTATCCTCGACCTCCGGCCTAGGGTGTACTGATGCCAAGTGCACTTATGGACACTCTTATGTTTGAACATGGTGTTCATTATGGACAAACTGTGGTTTGCACAGAAGTCCAACAACAAAACACGGCTCTGGTTCAGATCCGGGAGGCCGTTCCTCACAATCATTCCCCTCCAGGTCTCGCTGTCTACATGAACATTGAAGTTCTCCCAGTAGGACAACAGTCCCCCCTTCTGTTGCTTTTGTAATACTTGTTAAGGCAGTGACGCTTAACTCTCTACTATTTTCATAGCTTGTTGTTGCATGAAGTCTTAGAACTGGAAACTGATATCTGATATAATCTCTTTATTTTTAGGATGCTCTGATTGACATGGTGCGGCGTTCTAAGGTTCACTTCGTCCATTGCCTACTGCCCAAAGTAGAGGCAGTAGGAGGAGGTGATTACCGTATGGCTCATGGAGAGAGCCCTGACTCGGGTCTTATGACTCTGGACGTGAGCCTCCTGAGAGCTCAGCTCCGAGGATCCAAGCTGCTAGATGCTCTGCGCATCCACAGGCAAGGTAACTACTTTGCAGTGTTATATGTATGTAATTTCAACACTCTTTCCAGTCACTGTTATGCTGATGACAGAACCACGTTTCAGTTTAATTTGATCTGGGGTTAGGGGTTAAAGTACCCCAATGTAAGACTGTCCCATAGACATTCATACTATTGTCTGGCTGTTGATAAAGTTCTAGCCTTTCCACCAGCTGCAGATGCTACTTTAACTTTGGTGTTCTGAGTTTGTGTGCTCTCTTCTCTGTTCTGCCTCTCTGCCTCTAGGTTATCCTGACCACATGGTTTTCTCTGAGTTTCGAAGGCGCTTTGATGTTCTGGCACCTCATCTAACCAAGAAGTATGGCCGCCACTACATTGTCACAGATGAGAAGAGGGTGAGTGCAGAGTTAGCATGATACTTGCAGTTCTGCTGTGAGTAGTTGGACTGTGACTGCTGATATAACGAAAAGTGCTCTCTTGTCAACATCCTTAGCTGTTCGTATATTAAGATACAATGTAATCATTTGCCTTGGTTTAATCAGAATAAATCATTCACAAGGGGAAATTGTTTTGTAAAATTTGCTCAGGATTGTGGGAGATGTAAGGTTATTTAAGAGTACCTGAAATCCACTGTTAAAGTGATGTGGTGTAAATGTGGGATAAATAACAGGAAATGTTACTTTCAGATTGATCATTTATGTTCTTGTGAGTCTTTTGCCTGTAAGTGAAATACTTACTCATGGGGATATCTTTTGTCTTTTTTTCACACCACAAAATCACGTACAGTGTAGAAAGGATGAAGTCTGGACATGCGGTGTTTCCCTCTTTGCCCTCCACACTTGAGTCTGTGAACACAATCCATTTATTCTTCCTCTTCTCTTACCGCTGTCCTGGCTCTCCCGCTCTTGTGTATAATTAATTATAATTGTGGGGGATGGCAGCATCCAGCCACTGTACTGAATAATTACTGATGGTGGGAACAGTTCTTTGTTTCCTCTTCTCTCTGTCTTCCCATCCATTCCCTTGTGTCTTTTTTGTCTCGTTATCTTTCAATTTCTTTTGTATAGGTGGCAGAACAGTTTAGGAACATCCCCGGGCATATGATTAATGTCTTCCCTACATTTATTTAGCGAGTATATAGCATTTTTGCACTAAGGTGTGATTAGTCTTACGAGGATACTGTGAGAAAACATATCTACATTAAGATCCTCTGTACCTCATGTCTTGTCTCAAAAGGTGCAGAATCTGTTTTCTAAGAATCAACATTTTGTTTTGTTTTGTAAAAAGAAAAAAAAAACTTAAACAAGGACAGATGTGTAAAATCTCGTGCTCCTTTACACTGCTCTATACTACACTGGCAGTGAGGAGGCTCAAAGTTTCTTGAAGATGAGCTTAGAGAGGATATCCCACTCAAAGAGTACTAATGCTACGCAGGTCTCTTTATTTGAAAAGGAAGATGGATGGAAGGTGTTGGTGTGAGATAGATTACTTTAGCCAGATTTAATTGGACGATAATACAATTTTTTTTTTCACAGAGGGAGAAAGCAAGAGAGAGAGGGTTTGGTTTGCTGAGTCTGTCGGACGGTTTGTCTCTGCCAAACAAAAGCCCCCATTTTTCTCCTGCTATAGCCCAGTACTGTCTGCTCCTCTTAAGACAGCATGATGTAGCCATGTTGTCAGTGTCCATATGGTACGCCTGCCAAGAGCTTTTCAGACCAAACAGGCAAACAGCAGGGGAGAAATTTAATGCATCATCCCTGAGAAGCTTAATTCTCTCTAAAGTTTGTTACTATTGTTTTCCTCCTTTGAGAGGTTCCATGGTCTAGAATGCCTGGTATAAACATCTTTTACAATCAGATCCCAGTTTCATACCTGCCTGATAGATATATCTGTCTGTCAGCTTCTTGTGAAACACAAGAGGCAGCCAAAAAAAAAAAGGATGCTTCCAAAAAAGCTGAAAACTGAAGCTACAATATTAATAACAATATTGTTTTTCATGGCAGCTTAATTTTGTGGGTTGAAATTAAGTTTTCCTGCATTATAAAATGCAATGTGATTGTTCAAAGTCATGCTTACACACAGGATCTGAATAAACTAGGAATTTGAAAATTTTTGTACTTTTTTATACAACACTTCAAATCAAATTCAAGACTGTTGCAATAAAGGGACCGTATGCAATTGAAAAGCCTACGTTTCCAAAAGACCACTGTGTCTAGTTCCACTTCACGTCAGGGAAAATGTTCTGAGACTAAATTTGAGCATTTTTGGTTTTTGAACAAATTTTAATTCATCAACTCCAAAACATAATCATGATGATCTGAGATCTGAAGTTTTAGTCTGATGAGTAAATTAACAACAGAATGGTTGAAAAGAAGAGTTACTGAGGTGTTCAGTGAAGAAATCGCAAAAATACCGAGGACCTAAAACCCTTCTTTAAGAGGAACGCTTCTTCCTTAATTACTGCAAAAGTCCTGTAATTACATTAATCTTGTCTTGCAATTGTTCGGGAATTTCACAAAACAGATATGTGCATGAAATAAAGGTAGTTTTTCCAAGAGTTCTCAGAATAGATTCCCTCAAAGGCTCTTACAGTGGGGGAAACAGTTACTCGATGTTGAGCCCTTGCTGTTGCCTTACCAAAAAAACAGAGGAGAAAAACAAGAACAGTATCTAATTTTTATTGCAGTTTTATTTTAATGCAGCAATACAGAACTCCAACTATTTTATTTGTAAATGGAAGAAATCTAAAATGGACATCTTTCCAGATAGAGGAGGGATGATTATCGTATCTCATGGGGTGGGGATGATCATGAGAAAGGTGGTAGATCAGTCCAAAGCTTGGAGCTTGTTAGTGATCTAAGGCAGCTGGGAACACAGTGACCAAGAACCTTGTTGGTAACACACCATGCTGTAATGGATTGAAATCTTGCAACGCCAGCAAGGTCCCCTGCTCAAGAAGGTACATATACAGTTTAACAGTGAACATCTAGATCAGGGGTGTCAAACTGAAATACACAGTGGGCCAAAATTCAAAACTAGAACAAAGTCGCGGGCTAACGTTAATATTTATTGAAATATATTTATTCCTCCAGATATAAGAATGAATCTCTTCTTATGGACTCAAACACGTTTTGCTGAAAAACTGAATATGGAACAAGCAAAGCTTAATACTGAACAATATATATATTAGCTGTATAATACCAGTAGGCCAGCTCTGATAGTAATTTGGTATGGCTTCGCGGGCCAAATGTAATTAGGCCAGAGTTTGACACCTATGATCTAGATGATTCAGAGAACGCTTGTTAAAAAACGTGAAACCAAAATTGAACTCTATGGCATCAACTCAGCCGTTTTCTGACAGTGATCAAACACATACTGCAAAGACAATAAGAGAGTTGCCAAAGAAGCACATTAAGGTCATGCAGTACCCTATTCAGTTTCCAGACCTCAGTTGTTTAAAGAATCTGTGGATGGAGCTGAAGCAGGCTTTAAGTTGCTGAGTGGCAGCCAAGAAACCTAAAAGATTTAGCGAGTTCATGTGAAGTGGAGTGGTCCAATCAGTTTGTAACTTAAATGTAATTCCTTTTGTCTGGATTTTAGGTTGCTGTTCTGTGTTTTTCCCCTAAAATAAAAACCACCATAAAAGTTAGAAACTGATCATTTCTTTATAAGCAAACTTTCCAATTCAGCAGGGGATCAAACAATTATTTCCCCCACTGTACATTTAATGACACGTTTACCAAATGTAGTGTGTAGCATCACTTTTCAAACCTTGTAGTCTGTTTCCTTTTTAGGGACATCGAGGTATGTGTGTGCTTGTGTTAGCTGATTCCAGAGTGGATTGGTGTTTGTTGCTATGGCACGTAACTTGCATCATTTTTAGGAGCCAGGTCACATGACCAGACATAGGTAAGGCCCGGACACAGAGCGATTGGGTTGTTTATCTAATGAGTGTTCGTTCTGCTCGTTTCCAGGCAGTGGAGGAGTTACTGGAGTCTTTGGAGCTGGAGAAGAGTAACTACCACATGGGGCTAAGCAGGGTGAGTTTTCCCTAATGCATACACTTTTCATCTCAATGTACTTCTGCTTATGAGTTAATGCAGTTTTCCTGTTATTGCAAACTCAACATTTCCTTCACAGTACTAATTCTTTTTGTGGTGATCCTCAGACGCCCCTCTTTTTTATTGCAATCCTAAAATCCAGTTCTTTCTTCTTTGTTGTCTTTACATTTGTTGTTGAAAATGAGATTTTTGTGGGTTTTCATCATCACTTTCTACACTGATGTTGATCAGCTTGTCGTCTGGCTGTTGCTGCTTTGTGTTGCTGTGAAAGAGCAAGAAAAAGTATTCAAATTCAAAAACCTTTTTATGCTTTGGCCCTTGCAGTTAAACAGATAATTAGAACACATTTTCATTCTACTCACTAGCTTGTCGAGCAAAAGGGGCGACAGGCTCTCTGTTTCTTTTTTGTTCCTCTGCAGTGACAAAGTCTTCACACTTCCACATGTATCCTCACTAGTTCTAATTCTCTTTTTTTTTTCTTTTTGGGGGCAAGAGGTGATATTTTCTGCACTCTCTGTATCTTGCCAAGCAGCAGTCAAACACTGCCAGACTGTTGAGGATAAAGTGCAGCTAATCACAAGGAAAAGGGCAGGCAGTTTTTGCTAATTAGATCTGTGAATGTCTGCGGAATAAAGAACAGTCTGGGCCTTGAGCTGTCAATTATTGAAGTTTCTTGGCAGATATTGCAGAATGTTTGACCTTGCTTCAGAGTTTGACCACTACATTCCCAAAGTTAACTTTTTAGTACCAAAGTTTTCTTTTAATCTGTGGTTTTCATATCAGTAACATTGGTAATGCCTCTTGTTTTGTAATGTTTTTACTGACAGTTGAAACACAAAGGTGTCCAACCAGCTCATGTGGGAAAGTAAAGCACCAGCTTCCCATTTAGAGAGTAAGTGGCCCAGTCTGTGGGCCACTTACTCTCCAACCGGCCTACTCCTATAATACTTAACTAAACATCTGATAAATACTCTATATTACTCATCCATCGCTCCCCATATTTCTATATTAACAATTACACAGTATGTACAGTTAGATCCGAAGGTCAGTGAAGATAAGTAAATACAGTTTCTAATTCCAGATGACAGTATCAGTTCTGTTAAATTACTGCAACACTTGAGCTAGATGGACTTGATAAAGACATTAAACATGATAATCAGTTTTATCGGTCGGTTAGCTTAGAACTTAGTTTTATATCTTCTCTTTGAACAAGATAGAAATTTAGGAGTAACATGGTCTTACAAACCCAACAGTGAGATCTTAAGAGTTCCTGCCTACGGCTCTTCAATGGGGTGTCACAGGGTCCCCAGAAAAAAAAATTGTAAATGTGAAATAATAAAATAAATATTCTTCTGTAGCAATAACAAAGTATAACATAAATTATTCTGTAGCAATTACACAAGAATATCCAGTAATGTCCCTGCCTACAATTAAACACTTACCGAAAATCGGGGGCATCTGCTGTGGCAAATGGGTGCAAGCCTTTGACCACAAACTGAGTCACTGCTCGGTGACATTTGTCTATCCTGGCCTGAAAGGAGACGCTACCGGTAGACTGCAGGGAGAACTGCCAGCATCTGAGCCAGACTCTGTCTCATCACGGTCACCTAAATGCACAGTAATGGCAGGGTTTGTAATAAGGCAGATCACGCTAACATAATATGCACTGTTAGTTGATTATTTACCTGCCGCATTAACGGGAGAGGACGTGCAAACGTTACCGCTGCTGCTGGGTTGAGATTCACGAGTCCGGAGCGGAATTAAAAACACGACATTCATTAAAGGTCATCGTGTGTTTTGTGAGCAAATGCTTTTGCATATTCGTAGTGTTTCCCCCCTTAAATGAAATATCTACTTTGCAAGTATTGCAAGTTGCCCTGTTGTCAGCCGTTCTCGTAAAGTATAACCAAACTTTTGAGCGTTTGAGCCGCCATGTTTCCTGCCAGGTGAATGACGCTCCGCAACGCGGTGACGTCATTCGGGGCGACTGGAATCGATAAGAGAATCATTTGCAAAAATGGCAAAAAATTCCAAGGAATTGAAACACCGGTTCTCAACAAGAACCAGGTTTTGATACCCATCCCTACTGCTGAAAGTGTTTGGCTTTGCAAATGTTCCATAAATGGTAAATGGAGTTGAGGTCAGATTTCTGAATTCAATAAACATTAGTCTCTTTAAAGATGCTAACAAAAATTGTGTGTCCTCAAAGAATGGAGTGCCACTTCTCCTTTATCAAGAAGGTAGCTTGGTGAAGCAGCACTTCACATCACAGAATAATAACACAAAAGGATAAATTTAGTTAAACACATTACGTTATATCACTACATATTATTATTTATGTTATTATAGAATTATATATATATATATATATATATATATATATATATATATATATATTATTACTATATATATATTTGTGTATGTTATTTTTTTTTAATCAGAGTCAGATGGCCACAACAACAGTAAGGCAGTATTTAAAACTGTTAGATTGGCGTATAGGGAAAAGGCCTGCACAATGCCATTTTACACAAAATATCAGTATTTGTAGAAATCTATAAAGCTCCACAAACATAAACAAAAGTAATTCACCATAATATTCTTTGATACTCTGGAATTTGCTATAAGCCCTGAACAAATGTTGTTGTTGTTTTTCCCTCTGGCAGTAAACATAGCTCACAGGCAACTGGATGAGGAACAACCTACTGCTCATTAAACCACTATATAAAAAAACAAAACAACCCCAAACAAAACTATAGCAGTTGCCCAGCTGGGCTGCAAATTTTGACTTGGACCCAAAATCATAGTAGATCACCTCACTGAACTATAACGCAGGTACCCACACAGTGATTATTGCAGAATTACATATACTCATCATGGGCATAACTGTTATTTGTAATTTAGGGTTTTTAATAATTTCTTTAAACTGCTGTTTTAGTTCCAGTGAAAGGAACTCTTAATGCTTCAGCACACCGAGGCATTTTGGATAATTTCATGCTCCCAACTTTGTGGGAACAGTTTGGTAATGGTCTCCTTCTGTTCCAACATGACTGTGCACCAGTGCACAAAGCAATGTCCCAGAAAGTCTATTCTGTTCATCTGGAGTTAGCGTTGTCAGTGGAAGAAACTAGAGATGGACCGATCCGATATTACGTATCGGTATCGGTCCGATACTGACGTAAATTACTGGATCGGATATCGGAGAAAAATAAAAAATGTAATCCGATCCATTAAATATCAAAAAAGCACCTCACAAAACTTGCGACACGGCGTAACTTGGCTCATAACCGTAGCACGTCGGAGCAGTATGCATCACGTGATAGAGCGGCTGTGTGTGTTTGTAGCCTCGCTACCAAACCAGCATTTCATCTCCGAGGAAGTTATCCCAGAGAGAAGTGAAGCAAGTGTGTAAGTTCATCTCTGAATGTTTGTAAAGCATTCCCGCGTTAAGCTTAACAACCGATATATGGAGCGACTGCCTCTCTCCCTCCCTCTCCTGCTGCTACTTCAATCATGAACCTGATCAATGATCAGCTGATCGGCTTTTCTGTCGCGAGTCCGTCTCTCTTGTTTGTTTTTGGCCCACTTTGGACCAGAAAGAGGAAACCAGCGGCTGAACAACAGCAGCACGTTTAAGCTTGATCAGCTGTTGTTAGAATTTATTTAATATTACTTTCTACACCAGGATCTTTTTCTACGTAGCTGACGGCTGGTAACTGCCAGATCAGGGGCGGATCTGGCAAAGTTTAGCCAGGGGGGCCGATAGGGCATGAACAGGGAAAAGGGGGCACAAAGACATACTTTTCTTTCTTATTCTCATTTAAAATGTCTAGCTTTTAATAAATAATTATCTGAATCTTACACCCAAAGTTTTAATCTGATGTAAAATGTATAGAAGTCCATTACTGTATATAGTAACTGTTAAGTCTAATATACCCTAGTAAGCTATAGTACTTTTTCCTTTGGGAAGGTACCATCTGTGCAGTCTGCCATTCTGTAGAAGAAAGATGTTGAATCTATTTAATTATTCTTGAAAAATAATTTATTGCTGTGCATTTTTTTCACACTGCATCAAATTAAAGTTGATTAAGTCGATTAAGCATCATGAGGTGGAGGGTGGTTCCCTATTTTTTTTGCTGGGAGTTTGCAACCCTATTAGTTAGGTTGCTTAATATTTCTGCTAAGTGCTCTTTAAAATACCAGAATAGGGAGGATGGAGCAGGTTTAAGTTCATTAGATTGATCAGTATTGCTGAACTATGACATATTTTGGGTGCAGTGTATTTTTTACATACAGGTATAACAGAATAGCTTTAGTGTTGTTGTTTATTTAAACTTGAGTATGAACTTATACAAAATGCAGCAAGATATTAAAAAAACAGTTTTATTGATTAAAAAACACTATATCGGATTCATATCAGTATCGGCAGATATCCAAATTTATGATATCGGTATCAGACATAAAAAAGTGGTATCGTGCCATCTCTAGAAGAAACATTTAGTCAATCCACCAAGTGACTTCTTCAGTCTCAGCTGGCTGCAGGTTTACCCTTCATTATAAAGAGTACATTTGATTAATGACTAAAACTAGCCCAACTGACAAACGATGGGCTGTGAGGTCAGTTTCTTTATCATTAATATGCAAATTGTTGCTTTGAACAGCTTTTTTCCTTGAACACATGAAGTCATCATTTTAAAAAGTGCTACATTTACAAAAGTTTACACAAATAAACTACATTTATTTCTAATTACTCTGGTTATCTTTTTCTAATATTAAAATTAGAGCAACCTGGTCTCAAACACAAACCCGTATCCAACCAGGTCGAATGCCACCCATATTTCAGACAACCAAAACTTCTAGAGTACTGTCGTCAGAATGACATCATGATTGTTAGCTATTGCCAAACTGGCTCCTCTAGAGATGCATCTTGGGTGAATTTGAAATGTCCTCCTCTGCTGGGCGATGAGGTGCTTGTATCCATTGGGGAAAAAGTACAACCAAAGTAGTGCCCAGGTGGCCCTGCGCCTCAACATACAGAGAGGAGTTGTAATGATCCCAAAGAGCTTCAAAGCTGAGTGGATCAAACACAACTTCCAGATATTTGATTTTTCACTGACTGAGGAAGAAATAAAAGCCATTGAAGCACTGAATAAAAATATTCGGTTTGTTGAGTTGCTGATGTGGATTGATCATCCGGAGTACCCCTTTCGTGATGAATACTGAACTCTGTAACTTTTATGTGATGTACTTGATTTTTAAGAATAAATGACAGATCATGGGAAAAAAATTAAAAAAATTAGAGCAAATAGTTTTTAACAGCACTTTACTTGAACTTGAACTATTAACTTCAGAGAGTTAATAATGTGAGAAAATAAAGGAGAGAGCCAGTATATGTGACACTCTTCTAACTCTACTTGTCCTTCTGCAGGTGTTCTTCAGAGCAGGGATTCTGTCCAGACTGGAGGAGCAGCGAGATTTCCAGACGAGGAGGAACATTTCTCTCTTCCAGGCTGCTTGCAGGGGATACTTAGCCAGACAGGCGTTCAAGAAGAGAAAGGTAGGACTACTTTATCATTTGGCATTTAAAAAGTTAGGAATTACGTGTTGAAATCTGACCAACACAGCACTGATGACTTGCAAAAAAGATATGTCGTATATTTGCCATTTGTAAATATACTGGCTTTCCCCCTGCTGCTCGGATGATTTTTGTGATCATGCATCTCCAGTGAGCAACTGCCAAAGAAACAGCTCTCAGTCAGCTACTCTTTCCCACTGTGACTTCATCATAGTGTCTTCTTTAACCATTCCAGTATCGATTACTGACTGTGTGACGTCATTCTCATACCTTTTATCACCTTTCCCCCCTCCATTTTCATTTTTCATTTTAGATTGTGTTTCGTTTTGTTCTGCATTTGCATTTACATACCTTTGAGGTGACTGTTGTTGGGATTTGGCATTATATTCCTTATAGGTGACTTCTGTCAGGTAGATAGATGATAGGTTAGGAGGAAAACTTTAAGGAAAGGAACTGAAGAAACTGGAGATGCAGAATACCCCTTTAATCTGTCTGTACCTTTTATGCCTCATTGGTATGACCTTATTATTTTACTTCACTATAACCACAAAAAGCTTGATTCCTGACATTGACTTTGAATCCAGAATGAGTAGAACTATTAGGACATTACAGGCAATAAAAAACACATAATCAATCATAATCTTGAGCAGCCATGTGTTAACATCCTTCTGGAAATGCCCTCCTGGTAATCCTCTTAAAAAACAAACACTGGATGTCATCAGTCCCCGAGGAGACATCAGGGCCAACCAGTAAGGAGCCACAAGTGCAGCCATGGCTATTATTGCCTCAAGGCCTCGGTTTGAGCCCCAGCTTTTATGGCAAACAGTTATCTCGTATAATTGATGTAGACTGGAACTGGGTTAATTTCTTTCATGCCATTGTAAATAGCTAGTTGCTGATGTGCTGTTTATAGGCATTGGACAGAGTCTCAGACTTAGTTGTGTCAGAAGTTGGTGTTGAAGGCAAAGAGTAGCAGTGACTCTTGAGGTAAGGGACAGAACATGTCTGACAGATAAAACCCAATTTTGGGGTTAAAAACATGCATAAAAGCGTTAACCCAACTGACTAAAAGACAAACCAAGGCAATGTCTATACAACAAAAGTATGATTTTGCATTTTTTATACATATATATTTATTTTAAATGGTACAATACTAGTACCTTAAAAATTCATTGTCCAGAAGCAGGTGTGATAATATTAAAATACAAATATTAAAAAACAAAAAAGTCTATTTAGAAAACTAGAGTTTTCTAAATGGTAAATTATACTAGTATTTGTAGTGCCTTGCTACTTCACTTGAGCACTCAAAGTGTTTTCTACTAAAAATCGTATTTACTCGATCACATTCAGACAGCACTGTTATCAGAATCAGAATCAGAATCAGAATACTTTATTGATCCCTGGGGGAAATTATTTTTTGTTACAGTGCTCCATTTTAAACCAACATTAAGACAAGACAGACAATACACTAACTAAGAATAGTACAATATATACATATATATACATACATACATACATAAGTCACTTATAAATAAATAGTTGGAAAAGAAACATGTGTAGTTGTAGCAGCAAACAGTGTGTTAAGTGGATGCGTTGTACAGGGAGATGGCCACAGGCAGGAATGATTTCCTGTGTCGTTCAGTGGTGCTTTTCGGTAATCTCAGTCTCTCACCGAACGAGCTCCTGTGACTGACCAACATGTCATGGAGTGGGTGGGAGGTGTTATCCAACATTGTCTTTATCTTGGACAGCATCCGCCTCTCCGACACCACCTTGAGGGAGTCCAGCTCCATCCCCACAACATTGCAGTTTATTAAGTCTGTTGGCATCTGCGACCCTCAGCCTGCTCCCCCAGCATGCAACAGCATAGAGGATCGCACTGGCCACAACAGACTCATAGAAAATCCTCAGCATTTTCTGGCAGATGTTGAAGGACCTCAGTCGCCTCAAAAAATAGAGACGACTCTGGCCCTTCCTGTAAAGTGCTGTGGTGTTTTTAGCCCAGTCCAGTTTATTGTCAATGTGTACTCCAAGGTATTTATAGTCCTCCACAATGTCAACACTGACCCCCTGGATTGAAACAGGGGTCAAGTGTTTCCTGGTCTTCCTGAAGTCCACGATCAGTTCCTTGGTCTTTGCCACGTTGAGCTGCAGATGATTCTGCTCACACCACGTGACAAAGGAGTCGACCACAGCCCGGTACTCTGTCTCATCATCCCTGCTGATGCATCCAACCACCGCACCGTTATCTACGCCTAAATGCTGTATCTAACATTCACACACACAATTTGATGGGTGCATCGGGGGAGTGCGTCTGGGAATAAGTATCCTGATCAAGGATCCGAGGATACTTCAGCACTTGGACTGGATGAGCCGGAGATTGTTGCACCTACCTTATAATCAGTAGACTGCCTGCTCTACTGCCTGAGCTACAGTTGCCCCTGTTTCAATTAAAAGACCGTCATGGGATTTCATTATTATTTGACAGTTCCCCTGAAATAAAAGTGAGTTCGAGTTTAGATGTGTTTAGGTTGCTACAAAGAAGCTTTAAGGATGTGTTACAAGTTACCTGTTTGGATGATTGTGCTTTAGTCATTTTCTTCTCTGCATGCGTGCGCGCGCTTGCGCGTGCATGTGTGTAAAATAATAACCTGACAAGTGGGAAACATTGGTGCTGTCTCGCAAAATACACGTGGGGATCTGTTGACTTCATGTGTAGCTTTACAGAAGTGATCATGCTGCTTGTGAAACTTTTCTCATGTGTACTCAAAGTTAATTTGGTACACAGTGTTTGTATTTGTGGTAAGTGTATATGTGTGTGTGGAGATTAAGCTTTCATTACCATTTCATTTTATCCTGTCTTGCAGCACTGGTCTCAGGGCTGCCAACAAAAATGACTTTTCAAGGGCGTTTGGCTTTCATGTTATCCCCCAAAGAACTCAGTTTGAGCCTCATCTCTTGTGGCAAACAGTAATCTCATGTAATTGATGTAGAACTGGGCACATTTCTTTTACGCCGTCGTAAATAGTTTGTTTCTAGTGCGCTGTTCATAGGCATCCTGGAGAGTCTCAGACTTGGTTGAAATCTTAAAGCAGATAAGAGGAAATGGCTCACACTGTAGTTTGTCTTCTAATGCAACTTAGGATGCCTTGACAAGTTCATATCATCACAATCACATATGTCTAAATTATCTTCTCAATAAGTTACCCAGCATTTCATCACTTCAGTGCTTGTATTGTAAAGGAGCAGTAAGAAATGCTGGATTTGCACTAGAGTTCTAAAAATTACAAGAATGAAAAGTGAAAGTGATAGACATCAGTCAAATCCAGCATCACAGCCCTGTGAATAAACTTTAAAGACACATTAAATCCAATCTGCTTACCCATAAAACATACATTGAATGGATATTGTTAACAAAATGAATGCCGGTGGGAGCTTTAAAGATGTAGGAGTTGATTGAACTCTGCAGTTACTGAGTCAGCTGGGTGCTGGCGGCTTTTATGTAATGCTGCTCTGTAACTTTACAGACTCCGTATACTGAGTGTTCAACATTAGCCAAAAAGCTAATGAAACTAAAAATCAAAGATTTATCCAAGTCCGTCCTTTTTCATTCTTACAGATGGACTTAGTTTAGAATGTGAATTTGTGCTGTAATTTGTATAACAATCAGGTTTGCTTTTTTTGTCACAAGACACAACCGGTTAGTTTGTTTACCCATCTAACCCACTTCCCTGCTCTAGGGAACCTCCTTGTTGTCTTCCACATTCCTCATATCCTACCCCCTCTCTCCCTGAGGGAGCTGCATTCAAAGCACTCCAGGAGATAAGTGAGATGGAGAAGGATGATGGGGAAATAGGAAAAAAGGAAAGAAAGATGAAGACTCCACTTCGCCATGGGGGAACAGACAAATAGAAGAGATCTGCTGACTGCTTTGAAGCCCTGCAGTCTGTCTCCACTCTCTCTCTTTTTGACATTCATAGGAACAGTTGAGAGTAGAGGAGCACGGGGGATTCCACTGCCAGCCAACGCTGAGCCTAATTAAACAGTTGCCTAAAGAAAGAATCCCCACTTTCCCCACCCTGACAGGAAACAGGTGTATTGAGAAAGATGCTACTGCTTGTATTCAGACCAGGGTTTTAATAGTTTTGCAATTTTCATTAGTTTTTATTTTTATTTAGTTTTGACTTCAGATTTTCAATTTTATATCAGTTTTAATTAGTTTTTACCAATTGTTTGCTAGTTTAGTTTAGTTTTTATTTTTTTGAAAATCCTTAGTTTCAGTTTAGTTTTGATTAGTTTCAGTTATAGTTTTAGTTTTGTTTGCAATAATTAAGTGCAACAAATTCCCATTTTCATCACATCAGTCATTCTCTTCTGCTTATCCTTGGGTATGTTGCTATTCCAGCTACCATACCCTGCACCCTGGACAGGTCGCCTGTCTGTCGCAGGGCTAACACGCAGAGACAGACAACTCACATTTCCACCTATGGGTTCTTTAAATAAATAAATAAAGGCAGATGAACAACCATTGATACCAGGCAACTATAAAATTTATATCTTGGCCCCAATGAGACTATTAACTCTTGCAGCACCGGGTGTTCGTAATTTTGGTTCAAGTGAATTGATAAACCTTTTGAAGGCAATTGACTCACACAGTTATGTAGATATCCCCGTCCTGTTGTCTCGGGATGCATCACGCTGCCTTGCCTGGGGTTAGCTTCTGTTTTCTGGGGATGAGGTTTGAGTGTGCTCCCTTACCTTCTCAAGGTAAGCTAGGTTAGCCTTCTTGTGCGAGCTTTTCAAGTGCACTTTAAGGTTTGTGGGATTTTTTTCCCCTTTAGAAATGTCCCTCATAATTTGTCTCTTTCCACTACAAGACACTTGTAAAAACACAGTCATATTCAAAGTAATCCCAAATTGGGATAATGAGACAGCAAGAAAAAAATCTGGAAACTAAACTTCATTTTCACCCTTGACTATTGTATGACACGCACACATCTACGAAAACTAAACACATTTTTGCTATAAATTCAGTTAATTTTAGTTAGTTTTGTGAACACTCATTACAGTTTTAGTTAGTTTTCCTTTTTTTGTTTTTATTTTTATTTCCGTTAACGAAAATGTTTTTTCACTTCTAGTTTTCGTTATTTCGTTAGTTTATCTGAAATAAAGCCGTGTGTTGAAAGCATTTGAAACAAAATGTATAAGAACGTTGGATCTAAACTTTTAATGAAGTAAAATCATACAGTTTGGTGAAAAATATCTTGAGCCAGTCCTCTTTTCTCTTTGCTAGGAAAATAGGAAGCTAAATAAGACTTGAAGCTTGAAAGTCAGTATTTGTTATTTTGACTGTCTTTACTCTCCAACATAGCCATAACTCTCTTAGGCTCACTATGGAAAACTGTGGTTGGGGTCCATGTCCTGACCAAAATTATGGAGAAATATTGGTGATCTTTGAAGTTGTCATTTCAAAGATAGGGACCAGGTCTGAGGCTACTAACTACTGTCTTCAAAGGATTTCAAAAGGTCCATCAAGATGAGAATAAAATAGCACCAAGACAGAGTCTGTCTGCGATCAGTTTTCCATTGAACAGGTTCAAGTTAGCACGTATATGCAATCTGTTTGCAATAATACCACAATTAACTCTAGTAAATCTAAAATCTGTTGCCATCTGCACCAGATGACCACTGATGAGCAACCACTGATCAAAAACCACTGATCAATGGCCATGAGTACAATTCAGAGAGCTGGGGAATGGCTGCAGTCACAGCATTGTAAGATGGTGAAAGATGTAACACCGGTACCAGAACCATGACACAGAACTTCTCACAAATCTTCAATCATACCTCCCATAATCATAAGTTATGTTTCAAGTATTATAAGCAGTAACACTTTAACACAAGACCTGCCAGAATGGGCCATTTTGATCGTGACCTGTTTTTGAAGTTAAGTTGTTCATTTTCATGTTATTTCTTTTCTAGTTTTAAGCAAAGGTTGGTAAAATAAGTATTTAAAATGACTTTTGATAGGTTTGTGTAGCACAGGCCTATTGCTGGAACACCAAGACAACTCTACTACAATGGCAAGAGCAAGGCGCAAGTCACCAGAGCTCTTTGTTTTGCTCGTGCACGAGGGAAAGAACTGTGACGAGCGCCGTTCCTTCCGCTCGAACCTCAGTCGCTCTCAGTTAGCTCCCTTGCAGCACTGTTCTTTATTGTGGTTACATGAATATGCATAGTCTCATTAACATATGACGTCTTACATAGGCATACATGTGAACAAAGAGTACCGTCTGTGTGTATGTGTAGGTATGCGTGTGTGTGTGTGTGTGTGTGTCCCAAGATGTGACCCTGTGAACGACTCCCCAAAGCTGGTGCCAGGAGCCCAGCGGTCCACCTAAACAAAGGGCTTTTATACTAAAACAGATACAGAGTAGGTGTCCTCCTATCCCATAAATCAGTAAGAGAAGGTACGACCTCTCTCATGACCCTAGGACAGTGGTCCCCAACCCCCGGGCCTCGGACCAGCACCGGTCCGTGAGTCGTTTGGTACCGGGCCGCGAGAGTTGAGGCTCAGGTGTGAAATGTCTGGTTTTCAGGGTTTTTATCGTTTTTCAGAGTTATTTTGTTATCGTTTTTACCGTTAACTCTGTTTTCCTGGGTCTTTTCACGTGTGTTATGAATAAATCTTCTTTTTTTCGGTACCGGTACTGGTTTTATTTTGTTGTATTTATCCGCGACACCTTAAAGGCCGGTCCGTGAAAATAATGTCGGGCATAAACCGGTCCGTGGCACAAAAAAGGTTGGAGACCGCTGCCCTAGGATGTGTGTGTATGCCAGAACCCTCTGGGAGGCACACATAGTCTTTGCAGACTGCTAAGGATCAGACATCCTATCACTATGCAATCGACTATATACCTCTAAGCATATATAAGTATATATTTCTAAGCATAAATGACAATCCAACAATATAAACCTAACAACTTTCTAGGGTTTTTGTTAGATTTATAGATTATTTAGATAATTTCATTACTGATCATACATTTAAGATATGCATTATAATAAACTAATAAACATAGGGAACAACAAATTACACAGCAGCTGGCACATGTAAATATTTAATTGTTATAGAGGAAGAACTTTATGAAAAGGTCAAAATGAATTATTACATATTATATACATATTACATATAAAAGAATTATTGTAACATTAGAAAAGTTCATATTTATCTTCCACATCTTCCTCTGATCACCTGCAGCCTCTCATCAGTGAAACACCTCCTCCGCTCTTCTTCCCTGAAACCTGTCCAATTTCACTGTTTATTTCCACAGACTCTTTGCTCAGTTTAACTCTGTTCTGCTGCTTCTCTGCAAAACCAGCAACACATCCAGTTCTGCATGCACTCTGTCACACAGTGCCCACTCTGATCTGCTATTGTGCCAAAAAGTTGTCTCCAAAAAAGTGATTTCCGATGTTTTTGAGTGTTTTTAATGTCAATATCTTTGCTTATACGTGTCATGCCTGTAGAAGTGACATAACATTAAGTGGTTAACCTATATATACATTTTGAAAAAGGACCTGTTTTGCAAGTATCTTTATGACTCTGCCTTTATAGTACCCACTATGTGTTCTACATTATAATCAATGCAGTCCTTTTTGGCCACTTCACATATCTTTATGGAACTGTTATCTTATTATATTTGTTGTACTTTCTGCTGCCCTCTTGCCCAGATGCCTCAGTGAGTGTTTATACCTGGATAAGTGAAGGATATATAAAAGTCACTTTGCCAACAGCTGATTGCAGCTTCTACCTGGTGACAGGAATGTTCTTTTGCCTCAAAATGACTTCATATCATTTGAGAGATCACTTTTTTGCACAACCCGTTCAGGCCTGCAGTAGCCTAATTGTTCATCTGTTATTTAACTACAGTCCCTTATATGTTTGCTTATCACATTTAGCTCACTCACGTTATTACAGCATCTTTCATGACAAAATGGGGTCAACAGGACCCCCTTGGTGGTTTTACTGTTAAACATTTTATAGTAAACTGACATTTCAAAATGTTGTGACACTTTCATGTGTGGGTGATAATCCTTAGAATGAATTCTTGCCTTTGGCTTGGAACTGGAGTTGAAAGTTTGTGGCCACTATAATTACAGCTGACCAGTAGATGTTACTGGTAGGATATGTCTTTGAGGCTTTGAAGCTTTAAATCTTCAAATCTCTTTTTGGTACAATCAAGAAGAAACCTCAAACTCTCCCCACATAGTACTTTTCTGGTTATCCTGCACTTTGTATCTGTTAATATCATTGTCCAGCTTTGTGGTCTTTTTCTTAATGTTGTTGTATTTGTGTGACAGATTCAGGATCTGGCAATCCGCTGCATCCAGAAGAACATAAAGAAGAATCGTGGTGTCAAAGGCTGGCCATGGTGGAAGCTGTTCACCACTGTCAGACCTCTGATAGAGGTGCAGCTCACTGAGGAACAGATCCGTGGCAAGGATGTAAGTTTAAGCACATACACTGGTGGTACATTCCTGGTATGTATCTGAAATAAAGCCGTGTGGTGATTTAATGCACAAAAATCAGTCGCCATTTTTGTGGTGGGATGTAATATTGGTGGTTATATAAACTTTGAATAATTACTTTATTTTGTATTTTACATTCAACAGTTTTAGAAATGCCTTCTCCTTACTTCTACATGACAAATCCTGAAATTAAGACCAACCTGTGTAATGAAGGGTTTGTATCAAGTGTCACAGCTGTAATTTCTTCCGTGATATTACAGATAGCCCTGCATGTTTGATTTTGGAGTTTTAAACTGGATACCCTTCTTGCCGCAGCCCCAAAGGGGATATTCTTCTTCTTATTGTTGTTATGTTGGATTAAAACACATGGTTCAATTCAGTAAAACTGAGAAAAGCATTATTATTAAGTATATTTACACAGTGCACTAACATGTATGTGACAGGCTACTGTAAAATGCCATGTCGCGGTTTGAATTCGGACAGTCAGCATTTTCTATGAAGGCTACTCATCTATGGAAAACAGTTCCCACTCAAATCAAATCAATTACAGATCCTAAATCCTTTACAGGTCAAAGGTTACTTAAGGGTAAATCAGTGCTGTAGTCATTTTCATTAGTCATTTTATAATTTTACAAGTATCCATACTTTTCAAATTTTATTTTTCCCCCAGGTTTTCTGCTTTTTGGGGTTGTTTTTTAAAAGCTGTGTTTCACACTGAAGTCTATAGTTTTTTAATAATAGCGCAATATGGTTTTAAGTAATGCGTTTTGTAATTTGTTTGTGTATTGTGAATGTAAAAGCTCGACAAGGATTGAAAATGAGCAACTATGGGCTCTATGTGCAGCACATCAGTTTCGTGCTCCATATTGAGCTGTATTAAACTGCATTGTCTCTTTTAAATACATAAATAACTAAAACCATCTTTTGATCTTTTGCATGTTCCCTCTCAGGAAGAGATCCAGCAACTCAAGCAGAAGCTAGAGAAGGTAGAGAAAGAGAGGAATGAGCTGAGACTCAACAGTGACCGTCTCGAGAGCCGGGTAAAAATACACACACACGCACACGCACACACACACGCACACGCACGCACACACACACGCACGCACGCACGCACACACACACGCGCACGCACACACACACACTGGGAGATTTGAGTTACTCCTAAACATAATCAATAGAATTCTTTAAATTTGGGATTAATACATTTAAAATTGTTAGCGGGTCGGGGATGAGTTCTTGCCCCAAGTGGAGGAGTTCAACTATCTCGGGGTCTTGTTCGCGAGTGATGGGAGAAGGGAGCCGGAGATCGACAGACGGATTGGGGCTGCAGCTGCAGTGATGCGGACGCTGCACCGGTCCGTCGTGGTGAAGAGGGAGCTGAGTGTAAAAGCGAAGCTCTCAATTTACCGGTCGATCTACGTCCCTACCCTCACCTATGGCCACGAGCTGTGGGTAGTGACCGAAAGAACGAGATCGCGGATACAAGCGGCAGAAATGAGCTTCCTCCGAAGGGTGGCTGGCCTCTCCCTTAGAGATAGGGTGAGAAGTTCGGCCATCCGGGAGGGGCTCAGAGTAGAGCAGCTGCTGCTCCACATCGAAAGGAGCCAGCTGAGGTGGTTCGGGCATCTGACAAGGATGCCCCCTGGGCGCCTCCTGGGTGAGGTGTTCCAGGCATGTCCCACCGGGAGGAGGCCCCGGGGCAGACCCAGGACACGCTGGAGAGATTATATCTCTCGGCTGGCCTGGGAACGCCTTGGTATTCCCCCGGATAAGCTGGAGGAGGTGGCTGGGGAGAGGGAGGTCTGGGCTTAGGCTGCTGCCCCCGCGACCCGGCCTCGGACAAAGCGGATGAAGATGGATGGATGAAAATTGTTAGCATATTTCTCAAGTGTCAGCAGACAGCTAATCTGGAGTGATGTTTGCTAACATTGGTCATCTGCATCCCTGCAGAGATATAGATTTAACTACTGAATATCATTTCAATGATTTATGATGAGTGATGATGAGAATTGTTAACTGTGTTTTAACAGGGTTATGATCCATTTCTGCTCAGTGAAAACAGTGAAGTCTTTTTCTTGAGAAACAATCACATTTTTAAGTGACCCAAACTTTTGAGCTGTTCGGCATGGTTCTTCCTTTGTCCCTCTGAAATTCTTAACATTTGGCCTTGTTGTTCTTATATCATCCTGCTATGACATAAAGACAAATGACAACTGAAATATAAATTCTTTCTTTAGCAAGGCTTAGTTAGCATTAGTTAATTAGTTCTCATGTTTTACTTATCGGGTCCCAGATGATACCCTGTCTATTAGCTCCTAACAACAAATTTTACAATCACGAACTGACCCTAAAATAAAATCTCACAATTTTTGAGAGTTCTTCCAAGCTATACATTAATACAAGATTTGTCAATATTCACACTTCAGATCACAGAGCTGTCAGCAGAGCTGGCTGATGAGCGCAACACTGGGGAATCTGCCTCCCAGTTGCTGGAGACAGAAACTTCTGAGAGACTGCGTCTGGAGAAGGACATGAAGGACCTGCAGGTAAAGATGGAAACATACACACATGCATGTACACTGGAGAAAAGTCTTGTCACCAGCTACTATAATGCTGTATTTCCGGGCTACCTCATTTTGACTTTTACTTTGAGGTGAGCGTATTATTCATCCAGCTCAGAAAACTTGATATTTGGGCTTGTGAATGCACTTCATATTCAGGAGAGGAACACTCCTGAAATTGCACTGCTTACCTGCAGTTTGTGGTTTGCAGCGTGGGCCCCTTGAGCCAGGTAACAAAATTGTAATTCCACGTTGCTGTGTGTGCAGGACACCCTGGCTCAGGGTGTCTGTCCCATTATTCTCGTACTGTTGCTTTGACCGTGTAATGAAATTGGACATTTTTGCTTATGCATTGCAACATATACTGAATGTTGTGGTAGCAGTATTTTTGACTGTTATTTGTATTTCAAGACTGCCATTTTTGCAATAATAAATCAGATGACGAAAGAACACCAGCGTCATTTTCGCACATGAGTAGTAATGTTAAACAGTCATGACATTTACTGCTGAATTGGTTCACTGTTTATTCAGTAAAAGAGTCTAGATACCTGAAATGATCATCAAATAAGAAACAAACTACCCAGTTTTAAGAAAATGAGACTTTCAACTTTAAATATTTACACAACTAAAAACTTTGCTGTGTGTGGCAGGACCTGCAGAATTTGTTTGACTCAAAGGGGCTTTGGTAATGCTCCTTTGTCAATGACCAACAGACAGAGATAGAATGTTGAAATCAGTTTGGGTATAAGCAGTAGGAGAGAAAGAGCGAGGAAGGTAAGGCTAACTTAGTTTCGTCAGGGATGGTGGATATGCTGGACAAAGGATGCTGAACTACCAACAGGAGGAAGAGACGATGATCACAGAGAAGACTCAAGGATGTGCAGACGATTGATGTAAAAGAAGATGATAGAATGAAATTGAAGTAGATGATACCTAAAGGGAGAAGCATAACGAAGAAAATAAATAAGAACATGTGTTATATTTTAATGTAGCCAAAGTCCAAGCACTGTTCATTTCACTAAGTGATATATTTCACCCAGACCCAGTTCTGACCTCTGAGCTGTGAGCAAAATCATGTTAAGGGGACCCTTCACCTGACCCATGACCCATGTAAACTTTTGCACACAGTTAAAAATGCTACTCAAGTCTTAACACTGTAATGGACCTTTTCAAAACCACATTCTTGATTAATCTTCGTAGAGTTTTGTTGCCATTGTTATAGAAGCTGCTTGTTATCCCTAATCCACCAGGCCAAATTTGACAGCACGAAGAAAGAGATGGAGTCTATGGAGATGGAGGTGATGGAGGCTCGACTCATCCGTGCTTCCGAACTCAGTGGAGAGGTGGATGATGATGAGACAGGTTAGACACGACCTCCCAAGCACAACAGTACTGACCAATCAGGACATAGTGATACTGATCACTCCTGGGTGTCAAGCTTCTTGTCACTAAATCAAATGAGTATAACTTATTCATAACTCTACACATTTCCAAATCCTGTTTGTACTTCCATAGATTTATAATTGCATGCAATAATTCACTTCCTCTCATTTTTATTGGTCGAGCCCCCTCAATACTAAGAGCTACATTCTAGTAAACCTATACAGTTGTTTTTGTAACTATTTTAAGGTCTATGAGGGTGTACTCCTGCAGCATCATTATATCGTGTATGTAATGTAACAAAGGGGGAAAAAACAACAAGGAACGTTAGTGGTTGCTACAGTTTCTCTTTCAGCAATTCTATCTTTCACTTGAGGCTTTCTAAATACCTAAAACGAAATTAACACTTGACAATCTCTGCACAAGCTCACATCATCAAATCATTCTTGTGGTTTGTGTTATGTTTTCTGTTCCCTAAATGGACTCTACTTCACATAGCCCTGCACAGCTGTTACAGTACCAGTTATTCCAGACTGTTAGAAAAACCCAGTGTGTGTTCTTTAGTGGGGGTGCAGGAACCGCAGGGGTAATGTCCAATCGATGCTTTGACAAAAGCCAAGAAAAATCCAATGTGAAGAAGTACATTAGAGATGGATTGGTTCAATGCAAGAAAGGAAGCAAGGACTCAGTTCATGACGCCCTGCAGGCCTGCTGCCAGCCGTCTTTGTTTGGCCTGCAGACTTTGTGAAAGAAGAATTGATTCCTCAGTGTCTCCATCTTGCAACAGCTTTTCACTTTTGTACTACAGTAAAGCAAAAATGATGTAGCACCACACTCATGGAGGGGTATTTATGCAGGACTGAAGTACATTCAGTACCTGTAGGTTGCTCCTCGTGGCTATAACTGACAATTGTATAGGTCTTACTAAAGTGCAGTTCAGAGTATTGAGGTTTGTTGGTAAAATAAGAGAATGTTGAATTAATGGACACTCGACAATTCCCTGAAGACGCTCTATAGGGTTTAGTCAGGTAACTTAGCTGGTCATTCAAGCACAGTAATAACACTGACACTGTGGGCATTTGCTAAGTCCTGTTGGAAAATGAAATCTGCATTTCAATTAAGCTTTACAATAGATGTATGAATCGCTTTAAGATATCCTTGGAGATGTTTTGCCTTGGACTAAGCAAGGTTGACTTTAGTTCGTAGCATCTAAATGTTTTTATTCTCAGCCTTTCAGAATGTCTTTTATGGCTGGATACAGTAAATACATGTGTGGTATTGAGTACATGGGGTAGCACAAGTGACAGAGCACATGATGTAGACAATAAAAGTACGAAATATCACAGGAGGAGAGTGGAAGCTGAAGTATGAGCGAGCAATCAGGGAGATCGAGTTCACCAAGAAGAGACTGCAGCAGGAGCTTGATGACAAACTGGAGGTGGAGCAGCAGAACAAGCGGCAGCTGGAGAGGAGGGTGAGTGGACACTGATACATATTTATGAACAGAATTCAAGTTTTTCTTTACAGTAAAATCTTGGGCTTTATCTTAATTATATGACTCTGATTTCCTTATTTTATTACAAAAACAGTTATTCAGTATATATATATTCTGACAATATAATGTGTCATACCAAAACATGCAACACATACTTTCATGGCTCCCAGATAACGAAGGTATAACAACATAGCTGGTTAGTTTTAAACACATTAAGAAGGGAATTAATTATTTCAGGTGATGATGTCATGAAGCTGTTTAAGTTCTTACCAGACGTGTGCATAGCTGTCATCAATGCAAACTGTGACTACTTTAAGGAATTGACAGCAAGAAAGATGATTTGCTTTGTTCACACTTTGCTAAATGGCCTTAACTGTTGTCTCTTCTGAGACTTTGATGATAGGGTGAATCTGGGTTAAATCACAAGTGACATCCTCACTTATCTGATTAGAAATTATAATTTGATTTGAGCATCTATTGCAGTAAGAGTGCTCAGCAAGTGGTAATAGTATCCTTAAGCAAAACAAACACTTGCACTCAAAGCAAGCACATTTATGACTATATAACTGAAAGCACATTGGAATAAATCCAGTTTTCTTCTTTTAATTTGAAAACTAATCTCATTCCCCACGTGGTTTTTAAGCTACAATGGTCTTAATAAGCTGTTTTAAAAACAATAAATTGCTTGCGTACTGCTTGACTGTATTTTTTATGCATTCATCAAACAGGCTTCTTAACATATTGAGGATACTTTTTGTGCAGATCAGTGACCTGGAGGCTGATTATGAGGAGTCTCAGCGAAATATCCAGCAGCTGAAGAAGAAAGCCCAGCGACTGACAGCCGAGCTGCAGGACACTAAACTTCACCTGGAGGGTCAGCAGAGTCGCAACCATGATTTGGAGAAGAAGCAGAGGAAGTCAGTACACAAACACACGCAGTCAAGTTTTACCTGTCATGTCATCACACAGTTCTATTACTTTACCTACCTCTGCCTGGTTCCTGGAAGGCCCATTAGTAATGGTGTAATAACAACAGTAATTGTAAATAAATTACAGTGTTTTATGTGTGTGTGTGTGTGTGTATTTTTGAAAGGTTTGACAGTGAGCTGAGTGCAGCCCAGGATGAGGTGCAGAGGGAGAGAAGCCTGAGGGAGAAACTGGCTCGAGAGAAAGACGTGCTGACCGGAGAGGTCTTCGGCCTCCGGCAGCAGCTGGAGGTCTGTGTCTCTGTGGGCTACACTGTGGCACGTTGCTTTAGTGAAGGGGTTTTTCTTTTCTTGGGACTTGGTGCGTTATTTGTGAATTATTTAGTGTCAGATACCCCAGCATTTTAAAGTTTTCAGCATCCTACTCATATTTAGATTTTGTATTTACTCGGTCACTTATTGTCTTTGAGCAGTAAAGACAATCAGTATGTTTAGATGAGCATGTATGATCATTGTGAGTTTAAGTTTAAAGCTGCAAGAAGAAATTGTTGTTTGGGCCTCCTTTGTAGTTACCAGGATGGCTGCACAATATGATCCAAGATTATGAGGGGCCGTGCAAGCCAAAATTCATTCTTTCACTCTCACACACATACATTCTTCTTTCACACACATATACTTTCACTCTCACATAGTTTTTTTATTTTAATTTTTATATTTAGATATTTTTATTTTTATGTTTACACATATTTAACACACACATTGCAATATTTCAAGTGTCTGACAGCATGGAGGGGGGAGAAGAAACTCGAGTTCTTCAGCAAGCTATCTATGGCGTTATTTTTGTGCCACTATTCTGAGCGCAAGTTTGCAGGTGCAAGTGTTGCATTTTGAGGAGAAATTTATTTTGAGTGAAGAAAAGCTGAATTTGAGTGAACAAAATTCATTGCTGCGTGCAAAAAATGTATTTCAGTGTTTGCTATTATCCACACACACACACACACACACACACACACAACAGCAGCCCCTCTCGCTCAGTTTTTGCATTTGCGCTCGCTCGCAATGTGTTGCTCGCACTCTCAACATTTCTGCCCGTGCGCGCTCAACTCTTTGTGTTACATTTGTGCCACAAAACCAGCCAATCACAGACTTGGATGCAAAAATATCTGATTGGCTGTTCTGGTCTCCAATCAGCTCGAGATGACGAAATGCAATATCCCAGAATCCATTTTGTCCAAAACTCAAACGAGGCAGTGGCGGAGGAACCGAGTGGCGGAGTTTGAAACATTACTCTGTCTGGGTCACAAAATAAACTTTTAAGATATTTTCATGCGAGAATGGTGCTGTGTAAACTTCTAATATCTGCTCGATTCATCAAGACATCACATATTTGCATAAGTGCTCTGACGTTTTTAGAGATGCCTGTTACCCACCAGCTGACCGGGTGGTCGCTCGGGTTAAACATAATATATAAGGCTCAACTGACAAAAAAATCACCGACTACACCACCAGGTATTATAGGAAAAACCATAAAGCCTTTGAACTAAAACAAACGCTGTTGTGACAGTGACGTACACGGTCTTGTTGGTATATATGTATGATTTGTATCACCTTCATGTTTCCAAACCAATATCATGAGCAGCAGCTTTTACAGCTGTGGCTCCAGCAAACATCAGCTGATACTAGAAATTAATTTTAAATAAATTCTAACAACAGCTGATCAAGCTTGAACGTGCTGCTGTTGTTGTTTAGCGCAACATCCGCTGGTTTCCTGTTTCTGGCGCAAAGTGGGCGATAAACAAACAAGAGAGATTGAAGTAGCAACAGGAGAGGGAGGGAGAGAGATTGAGGGGAGAAGAGGCAGCTGTGCAACGTAAAGACAGAATAACTCCAGCTTTGTCTTTTTTTCATTCTAGCTGAAGTATGGGACCAATCGCGTTAAGCACGAGCAACACATTGCTCTCTTCTCTTCACTCAAAATAAATATCTCCTCAAAATGCAACACTTGCACCTGCAAACTTTTTTTTACTTGCGCTCAGAATAGTGGCACAAAAATAACGCCATAGATAGCTTGCTGAAGAACTCGAGTTTCTTCTCCCCCCTCCATGCTGTCAGACACTTGAAAGTGACCTGCGCGTGCTTCCAGCCAATCACAGCGGTACAGACACCCAGCCTTCCGTTTCCACTACACTCTTTCATTCACATACATTATTCTCTTCATACATATATTTTCTTCAGACATGTAAGCATTCTCTTCTTACATATATATATTATTTGGGAGATTAAAGGCATATTGAATGCATGTAAATGAGAGCAAAATGTAGGAATGCATAAATGAAAATGCATGTATGTTAGAGTGAAAATTTGTGAATATGTACATTAAAATACATGTATAAGAGAACACAATATTGTAATGTGTGTGTTAAATATGTGTAAACATAAGAATAAAAATATCTAAATATAAAAATTAAAATAAAACTATGTGAGAGTGAAAGTATGAATTTTGGCTTGTACGGCCCCTCATACAAGACTGTACATTTTTATTCTAATTGCGTGTCTAACTCATGCCAAGTCTACAATTTTTATCCACGGAAACTTGTAGCTCTTGATTGCAGTTGTAATATATTGTAAAGACCTCCAGCTTCATACTGTGCTTGTTACAGAGAACAAGCTTGTCATTTTAACTTGTAATTGTAACTTCCCTTTTGTGTGTTTCCACTTTGTGGCTATGTGTAGAGCAGAGTATCTCAACTTTTCCCCATCGTGCACATGTGGCAGTTCCCTTTTCTGTGTTCTGACTCTAATCACCTGTCCTGCAGGACAAAGACCTGGAAGCTTGTGCAGTCAACCTGAAGCTGGAGCAGCTGGAGGCCGAGCTGCAGGATCTCAACTCCCAAGAATCAAAGGATGAGGCATCACTGGCCAAGGTCTGTCCTATTCCTCTTTTAGTTAGTCAAACCATCCACTCCATCTGTTTGTGCCAGTCCACACCCACAAAAAATCAAAACTGTTCTTTGTCTGTTCAACTAAAATAGATATATGATGGTGCATTCATTTATTAATTGAATATCAGGTATTCATTTTGGAACATCATTTTTTTTCTATGCAGGTGAAGAAGCAGCTTCGTGACCTAGAGGCAAAGGTGAAAGACCAAGAAGAAGAACTTGATGAGCAGGCTGGTACCATCCAGATGTTGGAGCAGGTACACACGAAAAAGGAAAAAACTAAAAAAAACTCCAATTAAAGCTGTATTTTTGCTTAGTAGATTTTTTTTATTTATATTCCCAAAAAGCTGGTCCTGTTCATCTGGACGTAGCGTCTTCAGTGGGAGAAACGTTTCATCACTCATTCAAGTGACCAATTCACTTTCTCGGATCATGAAGTCATCCAAGTGATGTCATTTGTGACGAAACGTTTCTCCCACTGAAAACACTACGTCCAGATGAACAGGACCAGCTTTTTGGGATTTCCTTAACTGGATGATATTTTAAGGCTGTTTTTAGACGAGTATTAAGGATGGTAGTCATGCTTTTTAGATTACAAAGATGACAGTTTGGAACAAAAAGGACATTAAGTGTGCATCCACATCCAAGTCCAGTATCCTGCAACTTTAAAGAAAGTTTTCAAAATCTGCACCAAAATGTAATGATTCTTGTTTTTGTACACATTCAACTCCTTCTGAAAGTCATGCTAGTATATTGCTAGTATATTTTGTGAAATATGAATGGCATTGGACACATACCTCCATCAAGGCAAAGACGGAACATTAACATTATGCTTCTTTAAGCCACAGTGAGTCCAGAGCATCTGGTCTGTGTTTCTTTCAGGGTAAGCTACGTCTTGAGATGGAGATGGAGCGCTTGCGTCAAACCCATTCCAAGGAGATTGAGAGCAAAGATGAGGAAGTGGAGGAGATCAGGCAGTCATGTAGCAAAAAGGTGAGAAAGTGCTTTTTCACATTTTGTAACACTTGTCAGCAAGTGTTTAGGAGAAGCAGGATTAAAATTTGTGGTTTTAGGCACAGCTAGAGACTAGATCCAGAGACACTGATGGAGAAATTAGCTGTAAGGGCATGCACAGCAAAGGATAAATGAAATGATGACAACAATATGACAAAATCCAATCAAGCTGCTATCAATTCAGTGTTGTTTATGGGAGGTTTCTAGACACCACAGAAAACCGTTGAACTAACATGTACCCTGTTTTAAATGTTTTTCCTTGATGCTTGACTTTGTGTGCATATTTCTTTTAGGTGCACAGCACTTCAGAGAACAGCTATTGTTTTTAAATGTGCAATAGAATTAAAAATGGTGGATTTGACTTGACTCACAGGGTAGGATCAATGTGTAATTAATCAAACCCTTACTAATAGCCTTCACTTCTTGAAATACTCTGAAAGGTTTGAGAAAAAAAGTCCTTTCTTTTTTGAGATTATAAACTTAACTCACCAAGAATCCAGAAACTACCAAGATGAATTAAATGACACAAGATGTTAAATGGACTGGTGCTAGTACCTGCCTCAGTCACCCATTCGCACTCATTCATATAACCAACGTGCACCTAAATGCTGTTGTATCTTGTCCAAGGATGTTTTGGCATATGACACATTTCCATGTACACATGGGTGACAATGGGGGAAAAAGGTGTTCATACGGTGTTGGGCTATTACATGTTACATGTCACAAGAACATGTAACATCTGCATCTCATGGGTCTCTGCGGGCCTAATGAGGCACCGTTTTCCCAAAAGTAATTCCCTCATTTGTCGTTTCAGTGATGGTGGTGGAGAGCGCCGTCAATCTTGTCCACAATTCTTCAATAAATGTTCAGTTGGCAGTCTAATAGCTGAAGGCCATAGCACACGATTCCCACTGTTGGCATACTCAAACTGTTCAATGACAGGGCATTATGATCCCAGTTTCACTTTGTATTGATTTGCAGTGACCTCTCTTTCTAAGTGAACAAATTGAGCCAAACCAGCTTTTATTGACTATTGCTGGCATGTGAAAATAATATGTTAATATGGTGACTGTGTAAAAGGTTCTTGAACAGTTGCATTACGACTGTGTGTGTGTCTGTTTGTGTAGCTAAAACAAATGGAAGTCCAGCTTGAAGAGGAGTATGATGAGAAGCAGAAGGTGCTGAAAGAGAAGAGAGAGCTGGAGTCGAACTTTCTGTCTGTACAGGACCAGGTAAATACAATGAACACAGTGCAATGCAACCGGAGCAGCATCTGTAAAAAAAAGAAATAAAACTGTAAGCAAATATCTGACATGACCTGAGGTTTTAGCAAAATTTGGCCTTGTGGACATAGCAGAAGAAAATTTACATATCTGATTGCAGATCCAATTTTATATGAGTATGGGCAAATAAATTAAACTTAACAAGTTGTGTGAGGTGTTTATGTTTAAAATGAGCTGTGTTATCAAGGGATGTAAGCATCACTCATTTCGTTTCATGATATTCTTTTAGACTACATTTTTTAGACATTTTTTAGACATTTTTGCAAATGTATGCTAAGGTAATAATTCATTTGTTTATTCAAACATACTTAAAACATTTGTAATGCAAAGAATATTGTCTTTAGTAAGTAAGAAACTACTAAAGTTTATCTAGTAGTTAAAATTGTTACTTTCTTCGTATGTAGTGTTTCACTGTAGCCAAATTTAATTTATCAATTCAGAAATTTCAGTTTTTTCAGAAAGTTCTATGTATGCTAGATAATCTAAGGATTCTTCCTTTAATGATAAAACACACTGTGTATTACTATAACTACTATAACTACCATAACTTGTCCCACTCAGTCAGTTGAGTCACACTTTGGTCATCTTGGTTCCCAGGTGAGAGGTGGTGACATAGAGGTTGAAAAGCGCTTGAGGAAGGACTTGAAGAGAACCAAGGCTTTGCTAGCAGATGCCCAGATCATGTTGGACCACATAAAGAATAACGCACCCAGCAAGAGGGAGATCGCCCAACTCAAGAATCAGGTACAGCCACAACTTCATAAATTACTGACAGCAGCAGTTTCAAAAACATGCTATCATCTGTGGCTTGTGGGAAAATGGAAAGACCCCTAATCTAAGTAGATAGTAGTATTTATTTATTTATTGTCATTGTCAAGAACAATGAAATTGCGTTTGGGGCTTCCATACAACCCAAAAAAAAAAGAAAATAATAAATACCCCTTAAAACCCAAGTGTACATATTTAACCCAGTGTGACTCCAATGCAATGAGACAATCCTTAGCAATAATGTTCGTAGAAATTCAGACAAAGACCTGAGAAACATGACAAAATACAACAATGCAACCCATTCAATATTATTGTACTGTGAGATATGATATCAGATATGATAGTTATCTATTTAAGAAAGAGGGGGAAGAGAATAAAGATATGATGCACCAATGCAGACCAGTGCATCATATCTAGATAGAAAAACACCAAAGAATGAAAGAAGTCAAATACTGACACCAGCACATTTACATGTCAACACATTTTATGCTCCTGTTATGGTAATTAGCATAATCTTGGATTATTTTTTGTGACAGTTTTTCAGGCTTTAAGCTGTAAAACACCCCCTGATGTGATTGAGTTATGACTCAAAGCATTCATGTCTGTGGCCTCACTTCAACTCCCCTGTGCCTTCTTACGGGACTGAACCGTCTGAAAACCTCTGATCCAAAGCAGAAGATTTTCCAAATAAAGCCCAGCCACCTGGATTCTTGACTGGGACCAGAATCCATTAAAAAACTGTAATATATCTACTGGGATACTAACTGTGAAGTCGTCCTGAGCTCATTCTTTTCCTCAATGTCTGTGTGTTTCAGTTAGAGGAGTCGGAGTTCACCTGTGCAGCTGCAGTTAAAGCTAAAAAGTCCATGGAGGTGGAGATTGAAGACCTACATGTTCAGATGGAGGACATTTCCAAAACGAAACAGGCGGTCAGTACAGCTCACTGGATTTCCTTCTCAGCCTTTAGAAGGAGAATTTTCAGCATGCAGTCTTAGGTGAAGGTTAGGATTCTTCCTAAGAAAAAGCTAAAGCTGTCTCAACCATGTAGGGCATTTTCTTTAAGATGTCATCTGTGGTGGTAGAGGGGTATCAGTAGATATGTTGAATCTCTACTTTTAGCCAGAGATTAGTGAGAGATTGAAGACATACCTGTTTCCTGTGAGACCCCTCTGAGCTCATCTTACTCTTTCTGGTCCTCTTTTTTTAATTTTTTTTAATATATTTACATATAAAGACAATATAATTTTCATGAAGAGATTTTTCTTAGTCACTGCAAAATACAACTCTCTTCTTCTTCTAAGAAGCCATTTTTAGCTCCTTAGTTTTTTTCTTAGTTTGCTCCTGTCAGAAACGCTCATAATCTGTTTTGACCTTTATATTTTCTGTCCTTTTCGGAATGACTTATCTTACGTTAAGCCCGGTTCCCATGATAATCTGGTTTTCACACATCGGTCAGAGTGTGTTTTCTCCTTTCTCCAATGTTTCTCTTGCCTGTCATTTACTCTACTCTTACTCTCTGTCTCTGTGAAGTTTAATCTCCTTCTGGTTCTTCTCCTGCCTGTTGAAAAGAAACGACTGTCTATCACACAATGGTTGTTCACGTATTGCTAAAACCAATTTAAATAACAAAAAGATTAACTTTAATTTTAGGTGAATATTATGCCATTATAGTCAGTCAAATCGTGGAAGGATGGATGGAATTAATGAACGGATGGCTTTACATATCAATACTTAATCATATAATTATATAATAAAATGTTCCTTTGGTTTTCTATTAATCTGCCAAACTTGTGAAGCCTGCTGCACACTTCTAGTCTTTTATTGATTTCATTGCACACTGTACTTGAAGCCAGATGTAGAGAGGTGCAAGGTCAGGAATTTGTTTGTACTGAAGGTGGTTTGAAGAGTTTTAGCTTCTGGTAGTTTCTGCATTTTCACATAATCACTATAGAGTGTTGAGTGTAGAGTGTATGTATTATGTAGAAGAAGCTTAACTTCTACATAATTCTTTATAGTCAATGAGCAAAAAAATGAAATGAAAAAAGTAAAGAAATCAGTATAAATATATATTAATTACACTGCGTTACAGAAACAGCTGATCAGTTGTAAGAAGAGAAAAGTGTCATATAAATACCAGTTAATTCTAATACACCTGTGTTCAGCTGTTTTTATTCTTTTATTCATGCTGCACTCTGTGTGGGTATTTTTAGCTTTCTGCAGTCCTTCCTGGCTGGACGTGTAATATATTATTACTTCCAGTGCCCAACGTACCCTTTCCCCAGAGCAGTGGTGGAAAACGTTTTACTGCTCCCATGTTTGCTTATGGGTCCAAAAAAAAGGTTTTACCTTTTATATTTTTAAATATTAATATAAAGGTTTATTATTTACAATCTTCATCATCTAAATCTGCAAGATAATAAGCTAGTAAACCAGACGACAAGAAAAAAGCATAATTAATTTAGTGTTTCTAGTTCCCAGGTGAACTCGTAACTGGGCTTGGTGAAAATAGCCACTGGCACGAACAGGCCAGCAGGTGGCTACAAAACTGGCCCCACACGTTTTTTTCTTATTTTATTTCGACGTCACCATGAAAATAATAGAAATTAGATTCTGGTGACTCTTTGTTCAGCTAGCCAACTGTGACCACCAGATGGCAGTAAATTACAGGATGAGTTCAAAGAAGCAACATGAGATCATTTGTGGAGCAGTACAGTTTAATCGATACCTATTTTTAGATTTCACTGGGCAGGCAGTGCTTGCCTTGCTTGTCCTGATGTATAAACTGGAAGAAATGGCACTGAACATTCACTTCAGTTGCTAATTATTTCTAATTAGTGTCATCGTGAATGCAGGTTAATGAAGAGCTTCGCTGAGAATTCAGCTGCATGAGCATTTAGATTGAGCCAACACAGTTAAATCTGGACAAGATAAAAGGTTTTTGTATTAACTGAATTGGCAGAGAAACCCAGGTCATAGTTTGGAAAACGTCAGAGTACCCTATGTACACCGAAACACCACATTTCATATTCACACACTCTTTCAAAAATACTTTTGAATGAACAGCCGACTGGCAAAAAGGAGAGAAGATACAGTGTAATCAAAAGGCGATTTCTTAGTCTTTAGTTTATTTTGTCACACTTGTATGTTTCAGATCAACAAAGAGCATTTTGTATTTGATAAAGGGAACTTGTGTAAATACAGTACATGTATTTTCTTACTTTTCATTTTATTTATTATTACTATTACTTGAAAAAGGTTCTCCAAACCTACCTGACCCTGTGTGAAAAAGTAATTATTACCAACCTAATAACCAGTTGTCTGAATCTTTGCAGCAAGGACTGCGATCAAGTGTTTGATATTGGTGGCAATGAGCCAGTCATAGTACAGCGGAGGAATTTTGGCCCACTCTTCTTTAATTCAGTGACATTGGAGAGTTCTTGAACATGAAAGGCCTCTTTAAGGTTATGCACAGCCATATCAATCTGATTTAATTCTAAATTTTCTTTAGACAACTCCAAAACCTTTATTTTGCTTTTTGTTGAGCCATTCAGAGGTGGACTTCTTGTCGTATTTTGGATCATTGTACTGCTGCATAGCCCAAGGGTGCTTGTGCTTTAGGGCACAGACAAATGGCCACCATTCTCCTTCAGGATTTTGAGGTAGAGAGCAGAATTTATGGTTAAATCAATTACGGCAAGTGGTCCGTCACACTATCCCACCATATTTGCCTCTTGAAGTCTGTTTCTTCATGAATCATGAACTCCTGACCTTAAATGAGACAGGTGAGGCCTGCAGTTCCTTAGCTGTTGTTCTGGGTTCGTTTGTGACCTCCTGGATGATTTGTTGGTGCGCTCTTGGAGTAACTTTAGTCGGCTGGCCACCCTTGGAAAGGTTTATTATTTTTCCAGGTTTTCCCTATTTGTGGATAATGGTGCTCGAAGTGGTTTGCAATCATTTCCGGAGTGATAGATGTCAGTTACTTTCTCTGTGGCATGGTGGTTATCACTGTTGTCTTGAATAAGAATAACCAGAAGAGAATGAGTGGATTATTTTAATAGGTTAATGCATAATGTTCTTCCTCTTCAGACTTACTCACAGTATGTGTTAAATTAGAATGTGTTATGGCCTCTGTCCCTCTACCCTGGATGTCTTAGCCGTCATTTGTTCTTTCTCAGGATGTTTGGCGAACGTTGAGAAGTGTTGTACTGCAGAAAATATTCATCTTGGGATATTAATACTGCTTAACTGTTTTGACAGAATGTGTAATCTATTCAGTAAAATGTGAAGGAGGAGTATATAAGATGAGATAAGGAATCAAGATCACTGTGCCAGCAGCTGTTTGTTTTTGAAATGGTATCTTTGAGAATGACCTCTTCATGCACCCAGCATGCTGGAAAAGTAAAAGGCTGTGAGAACCGATAACACAAACTGTAATTACATAAATGGAGGATTTTTTATGCAGCCCTAACTACATGACACACTGCAATTCAGTAGAAATAAAATCATGCAAATGACATTTCTTTTAGATGGCTGCCGCTTGCATGCTTCTCCCATTGTAATTGCAGTGTTTTGAGAAAATTGTCACACATGTTTTCAACAGCTTTATTTTTCCACAAAGAGCTTCTAGCAATCTGAGAGGGAAAATAAAAGAGAGAAAAAAACAAAGAGCCCGGCCATGTAATTGGGCTGAAATTACACTAACAGTCTATTGTTAAATGAGAGTTTGATGCTGGTTACTGGCACTTTTTTCAAGTATCCATCACATGCTCCAGAGATGGAGATGCATTCGCAGCTTTTATCAGCACTCAGCACTGATAAAAGCACTCAACAGTGGATTAAAAAAAGAAAGTGTGATATGTAAATGAATTTGCCCCAGATTCCGCATGGATATTTTTAGTGCATCAAGTGCATCTTGGTACACCTAAGCACTCGGTGCTTTCAATAAAAATAAATATAAAAATAAAATGAAATCTTAGTTTTATGATCTAAACCCCGATTTTGAAGCTATGGATGTTTGGATCATTCTCTATCCCATTAGACTGTTTTTCACTAAGCGCTGAGTGTCACTAGCTCTTTGCGTTAACTCTGTGCCTAAATTGATTTGTTAACATTTTCACATAGTCACATTAGTCATGATTTATTGATCCATTGCCCTGCACCAACAACCTCTCCTCTTATTTTGTATATTATCCCAGTTATTACAAAAATAGGATTATTTCAGCACAGTTCCCAGGCTGCCAGTCTCTTAATTAGGTATGTTGGTTATATCAGGGAGCTTGGATAACCTCTGCTGAGTTCTGTGATTAGAGCAGCATATGTAGGCTCTATGTCAGCCACATCATCGGGACTGCATTGTGGCCATTCACAGATTTAGCCAGTCACGCAGTCCATTGGAACAACTGTTGCAGATGACGTGTGGAGCCCAAGATTTATCCTGGTCATCCAGCAGACAGCCAAAGCACAATTTGTAGGTCTTCTTAAGGTTTGTGGTAATTGGGTGACGCTGTGCTTCAGTCATGAATGAACCACACACGTAACAGAAACTGTCTGGATGATTAATACAATCTCTAGACATGGTAACAACTAAAATCAATCACAATTAATGCCGTCTATAACAAACACGGGGAACTGTTGTTAAATCTGGTAATACTAATTATTTTACACTAATTATCTCAGTCTGAATGGATCCAGTCTTTTGGAGAGGGCTGGACTCTGTTCCAGTCTGGAGGCAGCTGGCAGGGATGAGCATTTTCGTATCCCCCTGAGTGTGCTTCCTGTACATTGGGAATTTTGCGAGCAGATCAGAGGATTGTTTCCCTGCAACTTCAGATGTCCTACTGTCTTACTGGGAGACCCCAGTGCTCATGTGAGCAATCACAGCGAGACCTGAAGGACAGTGTGAGGAAAAGCCTGTAAGATGGTGTTATTAGACCTGTGCACATAACAGTTTGTCTGTAATGAACACCGTCTTTGAAGGATGTCCATAAGATCATGTGGCATCAGGACATGTGTTCTCGGTGCAGGTCAATTTTGTATGATTGTGACGATAAGATTTGTAATCTTATCGTCCACTCTGTCATATGTTCTGGACACTTGGGTGAAGAGAGGACCTGATCACCGCCCAGTGATGAGTTGGATGAGGTGACGAGGGATGATGTCGGACAGACTTTGCACACCAGAAAGTTATTGTGATGGTGTATTGTGAGCAGTGTCTCTGGATCAGGGAGAAGTGACTGCCCCAAGTGGAGGAGTTTAAGTATCTTGGAGTCTTCTTTATGAATGACAGGAGAAAGGAGCAGGAGATTGACCGATGAACTGGGCCTCTGCTACTTTGATGCTGACAACCTCACTTATGGTCATGAACTCTGGCTAATGACTAAAGAATTAGATTGTGGATATAAACTGCAGAAATGAGCTTTCTGCAAAGGGTCACTGGTCTCTCCTGTAGATTTAGGGTGTCTACACACATTTTATGTTAAAGATGGTACATCTGGTGCGAAAGATGCATAAGAAAGTTTACTTGCTCATTTAAAAAGATCTTAAAAAGCTCTGAATTTTAGAAACCACTCTTGTTACTTATCCAGTTCCAGATGCCCGTTAATGGGATTCATCATAATGCAGAAATACTGCACAGTGAGTAATGTTAATGTGTAATCAGTATTGTGAGCCATTTTATCTCCACTCGCTTTCCAACATTCTTTTATATTTTCATTCATTTTTACTTTGAAATATATTCTGCAACATCTTAAATTTCTCTTTTGGTAGTGTTGTTTTACAACATAGTAACTGATAATAATAGATTAATAGATGTTACTTTGAGTAATTGGACATGCAATATTGTGAAAAGGTATTTATGCCCTCCCCGATTTCTTTCTTTCTTTTTGCAAATTTTAATATTAGAAAAAGTTAATCTGAGTAAATGCACAATGAAAATGTTAGATAATGATTTAATTTATTAAGGATATAAAGTTTTCAATCCTACCTGCTGTTGTGTGTAAATTTACTTTAATGATCTGAAACATTTACGTGCAAGAAATATACAACTAACTAAAAAAAAAAATCAAGAAGTGTGCAGATATTTTTCATGGCATTGAATAGGACAGAGAATTGTATAGGATCTCCTACCTCATCTAAATCTTGTGAAGACAGTTAAATTTTTTATTTCTGGGGAAGCAGTTGCCTTCTTGCTCTGTAGATCTTTGGCATATCTTTTTTTTTTTCAGCTGGAGGAGCAGCTGAGTCGTCTGCAGAGAGAGAAGAATGACCTGCAGTCAAGAATGGAGGAGGACCAAGAGGACTTCAATGAGCTGATGAAGAAACACAAGGCTGCTGTGGCCCAGGTATGATTTCTTTCTTGTTTAATGTACACTGGCAATAAAAAGTTTGTGATCCATTTCAAATGATCATTAAATCCAATAAAATGTTGCTTCATGCCTTGTTTTCCATTTTTGGGGGTTTCAGTCAGCTCAGAACCTGGCTCAGATCAGTGACCTTCAAGCCCAGCTTGAGGACGCCCTAAAGGAGAAGCAGGAAATTCAAGAGAAGGTAGATGATGACTTTTGTTCTTGGCATAAAAATGGAGAAGTGGCATGGTCAGCCAGGCTTTACTCTGTCTAAGAACAGAAAATGGGAATAATAATAATAATAATAATAATAATAATAATAATAAATGGTAGAGATGCAAGCAGTATGTTTTTGCTCTATTTGAGCACTCAAGTTCTCCAAACGTGTGAAAAGATGGGAAAGGAGTAGCATAATTAAAAAAACAAAACAAAACAGGAGGATAGAGTAAGTGAACAGAAATTCAGTCCTTTCATCATCAAAACATAAAAATAAAAATTTTGAATTAGAGACTCTTTAAAAGTCAAATGTGAACAATTTAGGTGGATCTGTTTTGGGGATATTTCATCTTCCAGAGGACTCCATTAGGTCTTTATGGTTAGTCAAGTTTTGCAGCGCTCACTTAAATATGGATAGCTTAATTCAAACAGTGGGTTGGTTTACCTTTTATGTTTGGTAGTACAACCAGTGTAAAACTAGGAAAATCTTGACACCCAATAATTTTTCTGTATCATATTGTATGCCAGGGGTCGGCAACCTTTCTGATGATGAGTGCCATCTAAAATTTCCTCAGAAGTCAATGTGCCATATAATTGCATTAGCAATAAATTTAATAACGCTCTATACTAACAGTTACACACTATATAGAACAACTTTATAGAAATATATTTGTTCGCAGATGTTGGCAGCTATCAGCGAATAGTTATCAGCTATTTTGAAACAAAAAAAAAAAGAGACTTCTTATCCATAACAAGAACTCCATAACAGCAAATGAACTGTACAACAGAAAATGCAAATTCTATTTATAGTATCCTCACAACAATGATAAGAAAAATAAACTGTGCCAATATGGCATGTTTGTTAATACAGGGATACACATGTTAATGTGATCTCTGGTCTCCCACTCAGAGACACAGGTCTCCGAGTGCCCAGCATTCAGACGGCTACCTGAGGACTCTCTTCGTGTGAGAGAAAATCTGCTCACACAGATATTAGAGCCAAATACTGTCAATAATGCCTCTGCAATGTTCTGAGGACAGTTAAACTAGTCAGGTAGTGATGTCCAGCAGGTGAAAATGCAGCTCCATGAACACGCACAGCTGTGGATTCCAGCTGAGTTCGTAGTTCTGCAAACTTTGACCCCTACAGAGTCTAGCTTTTCAGTTCAATCAGCTGCATTTCGATGTCCTCTGTGTCCAGCCAGTTGATGTGAGACAAATCCAGCTGCTCATTAAAGCTTTCTGGTTTGATCAGAAAAAAACCATTGGTCCATACACCTGCATTGTGAATTCTGTCTCGAGTCTACGGATTTCCGTGGTGCTGATGCTGCGCTGAGCGGACAGCTCCTGAAGCATTTGAAGTAGGGCTGCTCAATTAATCGAATTTTAATCACGATTACGATCTGGGCTTTCAACGATCATTAAAAATGACTGAGCCGATTATTGGCCCCTCCCTCATTTATCCGCGACACCTTAAAGGCCGGTCCGTGAAAATATTTTCGGGCATAAACCGTCTGTGGCGCAAAAAAGGTTGGAGACCGCTGATTAAGAGGACCCGAGGGAAGCTCGGAAAGCTAAGCAGAAGTTATTTGGAGAGGAGAGTGACTGCTGTTGGTTGAAAAGAGTTTAAAAAGAAAAAAAACTTCAGTGGTGTTGCACACTATTTTATATTATTTTTTAAAGTCATTGTTAACCCTTTAGATCCGGTCAGAGCAGCACGCTCCGTGTTGTGTAACTATTTTTAAATCCCTGTAGAACCTGAACCGTGTAAGCTAGCGCAATAATTTGTTTTGCATATGAAACCGGAGGAGTTGTACTTACATCTGATGCCATCAGCTTGTCCTCGGTCACGGTTTCCTTCCACATAAAGCTTTGCAAAAACTGCATAAAAAGCGCTTGCAGGAACAAAAACATAATATTCCAGAAACAGGCTTTGCCGATCCAATCAGCTGTTCGTAACACTTCCCACAGTTAAACAGACGTCAGCGCGAACTGTCACATGTCCGCCATTTCCTGCCCGAAACCGGAAGTGACGTCATTTTCGCGGAAATTGTAGTTTTTTTACTTGTAGGCCTTAAAAGCCTATACTGGTCATGTTTGACCTTTCTGAATAGTTTCTGGGATGCTTAGAACTCGAATTGCACAGCTGGAAATAGTTTATTTTGATGCACCTTCTGTTTTCTTTGCAAATTTGCATCATAGGATTGTTTTTTCGTTTTTCCTGCAGTATATAAAAATTGATGTATCTCCAAAATAAAACTATGAAGACACTCAAAATAAATTTCCTGTTGTTGTAAACTATTTTTTGCAACTTTTTTGTATTTAAAGTTTTGAAGGATAAGCCTCTTAAATTTCTCCAAGTAGAAATATATGCAAAAAAAACAAAAATGATTTTCAAATTTTTTTTGTAGTTTATTGCACTTTTTTGCAATTAATGTAGTTACTATGGACTTAATGCATACATATTATTAAAATATGGGCTATAATAGTTGTATAGCAACTTGAAATGCTCCCACAAATGGCACTACAACATGTAAAAATATAATATAAGCTCTGGCGGACTTGGTTCTATGGTAGGTCTTAAAGGGTTAAATAAATATCGTCAAATAATCGAGATCTCAATTTCAGTGAAAATAATCGTGATTATCATTTTTGCCATAATCGAGCAGCCCTAATTTGAAGTGTTGGAATGTGGAAATTTCAACATCGCTCGAAAAAACTGCCAGCTAGCAACGTCCCTCTCACCGGTTATGTTTTTTTTAGCCAATTACAAGTAGAATCTGGTAGTTGGGGTTGTTAGCTAAGATACCGTCATTAAGAAGAGGCACGACTAATGTATCTATGCAAGCTAATTTGCGATGTGCACCGCTGGTGTGGCCATTTATTTTTTAATACATCTGCTCAAATTAATTAACTGCGTGTCGTGCACAGGGCTGGACTGGGACAAAAAATCGTCCCGGGCATTTTGACTAGAGATCGGCCCACCAGGTATTAAAGCCATAAAGCCTTTGAATGAAAACAAACGCTGTTGTGACAGTGATGCACAGTCTTGTTGGTATATATGTATGATTTCTATACATTTTACGTCAGATAAAAACTTTGGTTGTAAGCTTCAGATAATTATTTAATAACAGCCAGACATTTTAAATGAAAATAAGAAAGTATTTCTTTGTGCCCCCCTCTCCTTGTTAATGCCCCACCTGGCCCCTGGCAAAACTTTGCTAGATCCGCCCCTGCACAGTTACCAGCTGTCAGCTACTTAGAAAATGATATTGGTGTTATTTGTCTCTCAGAAACAGTTCATAACTTCCCTTCAACTCATTCATGTCACCTAAAAGGTAAACCTGTTTCTCCATCACCTGTTCAGCTCTGATGATCCAGTAAGGACATCTCCTGGTTTCATCTTCATGTTTCACTCTCACCACATATACAAACCGATATCATGACCAGCAGCTTTACAGCTGTGGCTCCAGAAAACATCAGCTGATACTAGAAATTAATATTAAAGAAATTCTAACAACAGCTGATCAAGCTTAAACGTGCTGCTGTTGTTTAGCTCGACATCTGCCGGTTTCCTCTTTCTGGCGCAAAGTGAGCGATAAACAAACAAGAGAGAAAAGCCGATCAGCTGATCATTGATCAGTTTCATGATTGAAGTAGCAACAGGAGAGGGAGGGGAGAGAATGAAAGGAGAAGAGGCAGCTGTGCAGCAAAGACACAGAATAACTCCAGCTTTGTGTCTTTTTCATTCTAGCTGAAGTCCGGGACAAACTGTGTTCCCTCTCAGCTCAACACCAAACGCATAATATTTTCTCTGAATGCGGGAGGATTCCGTCTTTTTACTGGACGGTTGGCAACTCTACTAACTAACCTTATGAATAAAATAAAGTTCACTATCAGTAACATCATAGCACCGACCCAGCTGTATAGAAACTCCGTCATGCTAGCTAGTACGCAGTACGAGTTATTGTAACTGACTGTAAAAAGTCAGCACAACAAAAATAAACTCCACCTAAACTTGGTTTATATCTGACCCAGATAGACTGCAGGTCATAACTTCTTACCTGAAGTTCAGTTCACCTGACACTCAGGTCTCTCCTCCTCCTGCCTCCCCTTCCCTCATCCACCTGCTGGCCTCTGTGGAAGCTCCGCCATAGCCACTACCAAACAACAGAGTTATTTTTACACATCGGCCAGCATCTGGCCAGCCCACCACTTCCCATTGTCCATGCCGTTCCAAAAAAAAAAAAAAAAAACCCAGCCAAAAAAAAAAACCATTGGCCCATAAAGACGAAAAATCACCATCGGGCAAATGCCGAATGTCAGTGTGGATGCCAGTCCAGCTATGGCCGTGCCATCAGTTTACGGCACGCGTGCCCAGGGTTGCCGACCCCTGTTGTATGCTTTGATGCAGCCATGAGAGCATTCTCTTTCTAAATGAAGCCATGTTCCTGCCACGTTGCGGTTGCCACCAATTTTCCTGACATTCAGCAGTAATTAGACCATTTACTGCTGCCTAAGAGCTCAGAATAGAAACTGTGAGTACTATATGGTCCTGTGACTATCTATAGTTTCATACTGTAGACCAGCGGTCTCCAACCTTTTTTGCGCCACGGACCGGTTTATGCCCGACAATATTGTCACGGACCGGCCTTTAAGGTGTCGTGGATAAATACAACAAAATAAAACTAGTACTGGTACCCAAAAAAAGAAGATTTATTCATAACACACGTGAAAAGACCCAGGAAAACAGAATTAACGATAAAAACGATAACAAAATAACGCTAAAAACCGATAAAAACCCTGAAAACTATACATTTCACACCGGAGCCTCAACTCTCGCGGCCCGGTACCAAACGACTCACGGACCAGTACCGGTCCGAGGCCCGGGGGTTGGGGACCGCTGCTGTAGACCCTCTGCTTTCCTCACACTGAAAGTTTCTAGAGTTTCTGCTACTGCAGTTCAGTGAAAAATCTCATTTACAGAATATGATTAATGTGTACCTCTCCTCAGCCTGTTTCCTTTGCTTTTGACAAACACAATCCTCAACATAACTAGCAAAAATACGACCTACGACCCTACAGGAAGTTTTTGCCAGGCCTACAGAATTTATTTGCTTTGTTCGTGTATAGAAATACAGAGGTGCATGTTCATTTATCATGTTATTTTTTTTTTATGGCAAAAACAGGTGTTGATAAACACCAAACAAATAGTACATAAATGTGTTTATTGTTAGTTTTTGCAAGCTACATATTCTTTGACAAAGTAATCAGTTACTAATCAATAATAATTAGACTTTTTCACATATATAAATGAGAACACAAAGTTGCACTGCACTAAAAATAGTTTAACAAAATGTATTTAGAAACATACATGTAACGTAACAACATACATGTAACACATAGCATTGCCATTTATTTTGACATTACACCAAACATAACATGTAGAATATATAAGAGGACAATTCACAGTCGCACTAGAGCGTAATGGTGTTCATTTTTAGATCGTCTACAACAGCTCATATATATATATATAATTGCAAGCAGTTAAGTGTTATAAAAACAATTCTCAAAAGTTATATAAATGTTGATATTCCTTGTAGCCTAAGCAGTTTATATAGCACGTTTCATCCAAACTAGTTAAGGAGCAGAGATATATGCATACACTGTGATCATTATAAGAAGATGCATGTGTCATTCACGCAACATTGACACTGACAATATGGGACACAGATGGCCAGCTTGGTTTCCATACTCAGGCAAGCGCTACTGTCATCCTTGTAATGACTGCAGCTGCATGATCTTTTATTCTTCATCAAACACATTAGTTGAACCCAAATAAAAGGAGAGGGAAATACGTGAACTTGTACACATTGTTTGGTTCATGTGTAAAGAGGGAGAAAAGTGAAAATGGCACAATGGCTGTTTTTCATTGAAGCTAAATCAGGTGATTTCAGTGTTGGTGTTAGTGTGTTTGTGTTTACTGTATCATAGAAAGCATTCATCAGAGATCATATTTAAGGAGTTTGGAACAGCTATTATAAAATGAACACTTGGTGACTTATTGACACACTGAGACATTCTCGGTTCCAAGTACCAAGCATCCTCAAGATGCTTTTGGGTTTTGTAAAAAGGAAAAAAAAGAACAAACTGACAAGATGAACAAGAAGGCATCTTCTGTACATTTTCTGTTAAGTTAATCGTTTATTATTAAGTGCTTTCACTTGCAGTTTCTTCTTGAAGATCAGTAATTTTAATTTTAGGTAGATTCTGTTTTAAATGGGAAACATTTTAGGACTTAAAAAAAAATAGATGCTTGAGGTGCAGTTTTACCAGGATGGTAAAGGCAGTGTTGAGGATGTGTAAATACCCAGTGCTAGGTGTGCCAACAAAATTCTAAATGAAAATAGCTGTTAAACTTTTGGAATGAATTGAACTTGATTAGGAAAGCTCAGCGTTAGACAGTGTGTCGCACTAAATAGTAACATCAGCATATCTACATTTGTGTCTTAGATGCAAGCCCTCCAGAGCCAGATCGAGTTCCAGGAGCAGTCCATGGTGGAGAAATCCCTTGTCAGCCGGCAGGAAGCCAAGTGTCGTGAGCTTGAGACCAAGCTGGAGTTTGAGAAGACCCAAGTCAAACGCCTAGAGGTAAGAGCTAAACACAGGTTGGGTGCTGCTGGCATTGGTAGACATTTTTGAGAGGCTGGTGGGAGCATGAAAGATCCTAATAACGTCAGAAAGAAACTGTAGAAACAGAAAAAGGTCACCTTATAAACGTATTGCACTTCAAAAACATATCCATCAGTGTTGCTAAATCATATAATCTGTGATAATACTTATATATAAAAATGTAATGAGCAGCATGATGGTGCTTATATAGCATTGTTGCTTCACATCAAGAAGATCATGAGTTTGAATCGACTAATAAACAGCACCGTTCTGTGTGGAGTTTGCATGTTCTCTGCTTGTCTACATGGGTTTGATTTGAGTATGCCAGCTTCCTCCGACAGTCCATGCAGTTAGTGGTTAGCTTAATTGATGATTCTAAATTGACTGTAGGTGTGAATGTTTGTCTGTTTCTCTGTGTTAATCTTGCAACAGATTAGTAACCTGTTAAGGGTATAACCTGCTACTTGCAATGAACTCCCCCACTCATCAACCCCGAATTTGATAAGTGGAAGAATCAGTGTATTTTTGCTATAGCGACCCCATGTGTTTAAGTTCCCTGGTCCATGCTACTAGGCAAGGCATGTCTGAGGACAAGAGCTACTTGACAGCCCTTCACTACCTAAAAGCATCAGCATATGCTGATCCCGCAACGGTCAGCCTGTCAGTCAGCTGCCTGGTTTCCAGCAGTCAGTCATTTGGTCAGCTTTTGTCTCAATCTGCATGTATGCAAATAGCTCAAGAGGGGGCACATACTAATCATACACATTGAACAGGGCCCAATAGAGGATGTTGGACCCTGATACTACCCTCTTGTTTGGTTCACCCACAGATTCTTTGTTTCGCTGTTTGGTCAGAGGCATTCATACCAGGGGCCTGTTCAAGGTCATTTTGCAGGGCTCTAGCAGTCCTCATCCTGTTCCTTCCTGCACAAAGGAGCAGATACCTTTATTGATGATGGTTTAACAACCATCTACAGACCTGTCCAATTCTCCAAGAGTATGCCCGTCTCCTGGAATCTCCTCTTTGCTCTTGAGACTGTGCTGGGACTTTACAGTAATACAAAACTCCAACAATCAGACAAGTCCCTATGAGAAAGCACTTGGCAACAGTGGGAAGGAAAAACACTCTTTTAACAGGAAGAAATCTCCAGCAGAACCAGGTTTAGGGAGAGGCAGTGATCTGCTGTGACCACTTGGGGGTGAGAATAGACAAGGGTGGACAAAAAAAATGATTAATTACAAAGTTGTGTAAACCTTTTGGAAATGGACATGTACCATCCTGGTGGAATTAAATTTCCAGCTAACACTGTGTCGAACTATCAGTAGTGACACTAAACCTAATCATACCATCAGCTGCGTCTAGGGATGCTGGTCAGTCAGAACATCGCCTTGGCTACAAATTTGGCCAGCAGTGTTTTGCTATATACTTTAATACAGATTTTCAACCACACAATTAATGTGTAGGTCCACCTCATTCCATAAAACAACATTGCCCTATAAAAACAGAAACTTCACAGGACCCCTGAAGGCATCCTGTTGTATCAGGAACCGAGATATGAGCAGCAGGTACTTGAATTCAAGAGGTTGGGCCTCCGTGGATAAGATGTTTGGGGTTTTTTTTTTGGGGGGGGGGGGTTTGCACATCAGTGAGATACCTGATTGGTACAGTTTCTCTTAAATGTTACTTTCACCACCATTACTATACACACATTTTACATGCCATATCTATATATTTATAGTTTCAGTCTCTGTCTCTAACCACCTCCCTTTGTTGCTGACAGAGCCATTTAGCTCGGCTTAAGGAGAACTTGGAGAAGCTGACGGAGGAACGAGATCAGCGCAGCAGCAGTGAGATTCGAGAGAAGGAACAAAACAAACGTCTCCAGAGACAGATCCGTGACATCAAAGAAGAAATGGCTGAGCTGGCCAAAAAAGAAGCAGAGGCCAGCCGCAAGAAGCATGAGCTGGTAAGACAGCAATGAGAATGATATCAGTAAACTAAGCAGTGCAGTCACATGCTACTAACATGTTAGGACACCCTGCACAGCATCCACAAGCAATATATCAGCAACACTGAACTCATCAGCCTTTGGTCCAGACTAGCTGAAAGGTTCATTTTATCTCTTGCTTCATTAACAGGAAATGGACATTGAGAGCTTGGAGGCTGCAAATCAGAGCCTGCAGGCAGACCTTAAGTTGGCTTTCAAAAGGATTGGTGACCTCCAGGCAGCCATTGAGGATGAGATGGAGAGTGATGACAACGAAGACCTTATTAACAGGTATGGGGCCACTTATATGTGTAACTGAAGCTGAGGTTTAAAATCACTCTTTTCTGTAGTGGTCACAAAACGAGTTCTCAAGATTAAATCTGGAGAACATTAGCAATATTTTAATGTGACAATCTAACTGTTTTCACTGGTGCCTGCCTTTTTTTATATCTAACTGAAAGACGGTTTTCATCAAGTTGGTTATAGTTTGACAAGGTATCCAAGAAGAAAAATTTCACGTTTAAAATGATGTCAACAAACCAATCATTGTCTGTCAGCCAGGACAGCTGTCATGTTGAGCTCTCATTGACCATTGAACATCAGCTCCACTGACAGCTCCAATGAAAATTGTTAAACAGTATACAATAGCTGTATCCTTTTTTGACAGAGTGAGATTTGATCTCAAATCACACTGCAGATTTTCATTCATATAAATTTAGCATGAATATGATATGCTTGTCTTTATAGACGATGCATTTCTTTTCTTCTGTGCTGCACCAAAGATTTCTCTAACTGTGACCCAAAAGCTGAAATGCATATCATGCTATTGAACCGAAATATACATGCTATATTATGGAGGTGCAATAATTTGTTTGCAGGGGAAACTCTTACATCCACGTTGTAAAGACATTGTAAAGAAAGTTTAAACCGCTGGGAATTAAAGTCAAAGTTAATGGGCAGAGCGTATAAAACAGTAAGGGACAGGGTTAGATACACTAAAGTGATCTTTGAATAATGAACTATTTCAAAGAATGAAAGAAAAAAGATTTCTATTCATTCTGCAAGGTCAGATTGAAGTAGTCTGCTCTTTGTCCCTTAAAAAGGTTCAGAGAGTTCGCTGAAGAGAAAAAAAAGGGGTCGTCACATTAATTCCTGAAATAATTTGAATATCATTCACGTTTCATTTGTGTCATAATTTTTATTCAATTTTTTTCTATTTGTTTCTTTGTTGTTGTTGTTTTTTTTATTTCTCCTGCCCCCCCCCCCCCTTCATCATCACCATCATCATCACCACGGCCAGTTTGCAAGACATGGTAACAAAGTATCAGAAACGAAAGAACAGAATGTGAGGAACCTGTTCTCCTTATGCACACACACATACACATATTTATTTATTTTATTTTCACCACTGGAAATGATGCATTCTAGTCTTTGAACATTTAGATGGATTTGGTTTACATCTAGTTAGTTTTTCAGTTTTGAAAAGACTAGAAGAGGTGATATTACAGATTGAAATAATATAGAACATGGATTTTGAATGAATGTATGAATAGACAAATTTTAGGTGTTGGTAGTTTAGAGTAATTGCTCCATTCCAAATGCACTGATTTTCTGCAGTTTTTACAAACAGGAATGAAAGCGTCATGTAAGGAGAGATAAATGCATCATCAACAGTGCTCAGAGATTCCCTTATTAACCATGTTTATTTCACATTTTATTGCATGCCATGAAGATGCATGAATAACACTTACAATACATTATGAACCCTCAGCATGAAAGTTTTCTATTTTTTGCACATTTGATTATCGTTAAGTCTGCAGTGGCTTAGTCTGCCAGCCTTGTTGTGCTCCACATCACCACTTAAAGTGAGCATTCTTAGAATAAAAACAGGAGGCAGACATTTGTGAGCTGAGTTGAAGAGAAAAACATAGTGTGCAGATTATTGATTGGAATTTTATGCTAGAAGATGGATTTTTAGCCAGGTTGGCCACAACTTATAACAACAAAGTTATATACTTGACCAGCTTGTATGTTAATGTACATCCAGTGTCCCAGACACTGGAACAGTCTTTTGGTAGGATTAGATAGCACAGAATCCTAAAAGCACAGTCAATAATGATGGCTTTCTTGACTTTGTGAAGTGGTATCTGATTACCCATGATCCCAGGTACCTGCTGACTTAAAGAGATGCTGATTTTTATGACTCACATTTCTGCTTCTAGGTGATAGCATCAACACAATACATCATTTATTCTACTGTATATACCCTCTTTAAGCCTGGAAGCTGTTCAACACTGAAATATGTGAAAACCCGACAGACTTTACAAAAAGCTTATTTTAGTTCTGTTTCAGTCAGTTTATAAACTTACTTTTTGGTTAACCACAAGTGTCGGGATCTCTTTGGTCATCCCTCTTGAGGAGATCGTTCTCACAGTTCTTGTGGTCTCTCACACTGTGTTTATGTTCTGGTTTACCTGGAAAGTGTCAGTTCCTCTGTGTTGCGTTTAAATATCACTTGGTGATGCCTAGCCTCTCGCTCCCTGGGCCCTCTTAATATTTTATTGCCCTGCTCTAGGGCTGGATGTGACTGTGACTCAGCAGTGACTGCCCTCCTGACAGGAGAAAGGGATCGTGTGTTTCTCATCAATCTTTAAATTGCACTTGCTTAATAATGCAGAACCCTCAAATGTCTTACAAAAAGCTGTCTTGCTCAACACTCGAACAGTTAACCTCTGGTTCTCAGCTATTCCACTACCTTGTCAGATTACTAATCAAAGCAGGGAAGTGTAGACTTCTGGCTTTCATGCCTGACTTATCATTTTATATAATATCAGATACAGTTTATTCTTCATATGGTTCACATACTTCGTTTAAATAGTCATTTGCAAAGACCTGCACATCTTGTCCTACACCATGAGTTGTTAAATTAGGTACCAACAGTCACTAAGATATATATTTGATTTGATTTATGATATATAAATATATATATATGTATATATATATATATATATATATATATATATATATATATATATATATATATTGTTATTATTATATATTTATATTTGATTTAATTTAGAATTGCACACTACTGCTCCCAAACTACACACACTGCCCCAGTGGTGTGCAGTGGTTTTTACAGAAGTACTTCTCCCACCCCCTCAATAAATAAATACATGAGAATAAAACAAAATAAAAATGAAGTGAGGAAGAAATAAAGGGGAAAATGTAGTCTTTAACCAGACAAACACACCGCTCTGACAACCCCTTACTTTACCCTTCCTCAACACTACATCTCTGGCTTAGAATTTTCTTACTACTAAAGTGTTTACTATTAGTTGCATCAAATTCTTTCAATTCATGTTTGCAACAGCTGTCCTGCGAGGGCCGCGACAGCTTTGCATCAGGTCAGAAACACAAGGCAATACATTGGTTTGAAAAGCATTTTAAATTATTAAAACTTTTTTTTTTTTTTAAATCAGAGCTAAATTTAAATGTTTGAAACGCTGTGTGATGTGGTTAACTGCGAATATATCTAGAGTGGGATTAAATAATTAATGAAAAATGAAGGTTGTGTATTAGTAAAATCAGTAGTTAAACTCTGTATATGTAGTCAATCAAGGGATTTTGTACACAGGCCCAGGTAGATTTGGATAGCCTTTTTTTCCTCCATGTAGAGCAGATGACTAACGTTTAGCTAGTCTTGTTAATCTAGCTGAGTGGGTTCAGGCCAATGCAGAACAGCACCAGGGACAGAGAATTTCCTTGGTCAATCCCGCACTGCAATTGGCTTGAAGCGGGCCTGTAAGCTTGTTCTGAATTCCTGATTAAGGCACTCGGGATCCTGTTGATCTTGTATAGTTGTACACATTCCAGAATCCATGTATTAGGCATTGAGTCATTGTTGTAGTCAATCCAGACATCGCCCTGGTTGATTAGTCTGGTGTTATAGTCTTGAGCGAGTGCTCTGTCTACCAGTATCTCGTTTTTGGTTCTGCCCCTCCTTTCTGGACCCTGCTCGTTCATGCCATGTGCCCACACACACACACACACACACACACACACACACACACACACGTATATAAAGATAAATCCAGGGTGTAGCTCCGCCTCTCGCCCTATGACTCTATCCAACATAGATTTCACTTGCCCAGCCTTTTCACATAAGGCAGGCAAAAATAATAGATTCTGTAAGACTCAGGGACACACAGAGAATCTATACACGCTAATGATGAATATAACAGAGATGTACAACCAGTGGCGAAAGAATGTCAAGGACAATTTATGTCTCCACAGCACGAGATGTGGAGAGATGAAAGATAAAAACAAAGAAAACGAATGGTCTTTTGTGGCAAGTCCACAGAGCAAAAGATGAGGACATACAGTGGGTAGAAGCAAATCCCACAGATTATTTAATAGCCGAGACGTGTGCTGCAAAGCTTTTTATAGCTTAATAGTCTGTCGCTCTGTCCTTCCACCAATCCCTTCTGCATCATCTTTGCTGGGGCTGGGACTCAATGCAATGCAGCTCCAGTATTACTATTTAAGGTATTGTATTCCATAAGAGCCGGATCTCATAGGGCAAAGCATACTGTTAAAAATCCCTTTTGAAATCTTCAGTTTTAGTTTCTGATTGCAAATGATTTTAATTTTCAGTGGTTCTAGGCCTTTCTGTGCTCCACATGATGGTAAGTTTTCTGAAACAGATGCAGAGATGTTGAGCCACACTCTGATGTCTCTATAGGACAATTAGGCTGTAGCAACTTTATTTCATAGCACCACACAACCTTTGATGGCACTTTATCAGTGTTGCAGGGCCACCCTCACCAAGTCTAGTTTGGTCAGAGACATTTATACTAGACATCATTTTGTAGGTCTCTGGCAGCGCACATCCATGCCAAACACCTTTAGGCAGGATACTAACTCCAAATTGCTCTCAGATGCATCCACTGAAATATGAACGTGTGAATGTTAGATAGAAAGCATAGTGCTTGTGTACATAGGTGTGAATAGATGGATGTGAGTGAGGCATACTGTATAAAACGCTTTGAGTGCCCAGAGTAGAAATATGTTTATATAACCGGTCCATTTACCATTTATACCGGTCCTGCTGATGGGTTAAAGACCTGCCTGTCTTCTGCAATTTCCTCCATGCTCTTTAAACTGTGTTGGGAGACACAGTAAAATAATAATAATTTTGTCCATATCTCTCTAGTATGCGCAAAACTTGAAAACCCACAAAACAACTGTGTGATGGAGATGTTTACTTCTTATACAATTTAAAAAGAACAAAAAAACCCACAAAATGCTAAATTGCTAAAATAACCGGATCTCCAGTTCCTTTGAATGATGATGATAATAATAATAATAATGTATACTTTATTTATCCCCATGGGGAAATTACTCTCTGCATTTGACCCATTCACTCAGTGAAGCAATGGGCAGCCACTAATCAGGCCCCCAGGGAGCAGTGTGTAGGGATGGTACCTTGCTCAAGGGTACCTCAGGGTAAGCCATTCAGTGGACTCGAGCCCCTTCCGATCATGGGGCGACCACGCTATCTACTGAGCTATCCCTCCCTCCCTGTTGAACTGTATAAATCAAAGCTGTTGTGCCTTGCATTATAGCTCTTTCATGTTGTTTCTTTGTCACTGAAGTAGAGAAGTTTAATGTTTGCCAGCATTGGTAGCGCTCATTTAACCCCTTAACGCCTGGTGGATCCTATTTCAGACACAGTTTTTGTGATTTGTGCATCATCAGTGTGATCCCCCCCCCCCCCCCGCCTCCCCAAAAATACCAAATGTAACAAATACAGTAGAAATTAAAATTCATATACACAATTTCTATTCCTTTTTGTACAACTGCCAGAAGGTTCAATAAACACTGAAAAACGTGTGAAATTTCTGGCATTGATTTCATGGTTTGATAACCATAAGTGAAGTCTTAAGGTGTTGACATCTCTGCAACCTTGACTTGACATGCATGTGTTTTTTTCCCCCTAGAATAAATGCTACAGCCACCCTTCGCTGCCACACTAACACCACACACGAACATTACTACCTGTGCTAACTGCCATTTCACATTCATATTCCATCACCCTATTCTCCCACTGAATGGCAATATTTGACTTTTCTCTTTATCCTATTCTTTGCTCTCTCCTCTCCTTTGCTTTCGCTGACCTGTTTTCCTGTATCTGGCCTGCACCAGTCAAGGGGATTCAAACACAGATTCTGAGGTGGAGGATCATGTGGAAGGGGTGAAGTCATGGCTGTCCAAGAACAAAGGTTCCACCAAAAATCTCTCTGATGACGGCAGTCTCAAAAGCTTCAGGTCAGTACAAAGGTAGTGTAACACACCATACTTTGTTAGGATCTTGGGCTTATGTTCTCTAGGAATCGACTAAGGAACGAATGACACACAGCTAAAAGAACAGTCAACATTTATTCAAAAACTAAACCAAAAACAGTCATTCAACAGTTCCAATAGTCCATATTTGTCAGTCTGTGTATTCAGTTTTAGAGTTCAGAGTTCTTTTCAGTTCAGGTGTGTGAATAGTGTTAATGTTAGTAGTACTACCCGGGTAGTGTATTGTTCTGAGATCTCATAAGCTTATTTGTCAAGAAGTAACGCAGTTGTCACTTCTAAGTAGGCTGGAAACCTTTCCTGCATCGCAGCTGGGGATCCGGAATCCTGGCTCGCAACTTTAGACTCCAACAAAAAAACCAACCTGCACAGGGCAGGAACATATTTTACATGAATATCATGTAACAACTTAATCAACACTAGTGACCAAATGCCTCTCACTCTTTGTATATAACGACTTAATGCAATCAATAATAAAAATAAATCAAAGAACCTTAAAACAATTTCCACATCATACAAATTTAACTCAAATCTCATATTTTGTGAACAGCAGTCACATCAATCCAATGAATTGAGAGAAAGCACATTACTGATGCACGAGGAAAGTGCAAAACGTGGTCGCAGTACTATTTAGCCAAAGACTGCTCATATTTATCATCTCATTACAATAAATAAAACTTACCTACTAGCTTCCAAAGAAATATTTCCGATTGGTTTAAAACATTCACAAGTGAAGAAATAAAAACATAATACAGCACTTAAAAGGAACACATGAAATTTACATTATACTAAGCTAATGATTAGCTAACGATTAGCTTGCTATGCTAGCGCAGTCACCGGAAATGAACAAAAACAGAGGTACATCGGCATCAACAAAAAGTGTCCGTGTTTCCCAGCAAGCGGAAGAGTAAAATCCAATTTGTGTCTTCACACATAACCTTTTTCTTGAACAAGGATTAAAGAAAAACTTGGTGAGTAGCTCCGACCAGCATACGTAGCCTTAGCACTATTCTCTATATCAACTCAAGTTCACAAGCACTAAACAATCTCACAGTGCCACCTACTGGCATTCTTTGGGAACAGCAGTTCATTTTCATGAGGCAAATTTTAGGTGGGTTACAGTAGCAACTCTCACCGTCTCTTCAGCAGCAGTTGGGAAACAGTCTGCCAAGACATTTGTTTTTCCTGAACTTAGCATATTTAAGCATATCTGCTTAAAAAGGTTAACATGTTGTGGCCTGAGGAAATAAAGCCATCAACACAGAGAATTTAACTGAAAAGAAGGGACTGCTATTAACTGTATTTTGCAAACTGTTCTGTCTTCATTGTCATCCACTTGGTGAAGCAGGGCTTTTTTTCCCTTTAGTAAAAGGAGGGGACCTTGGTGGTGGATTTATCGATATGCCCATAGGCCAGCTGGCACAGTCTACCTGAGCCGCTTGCTGAGATTAATGTCTGCGAGCTGACGGTTTTGACTGGGCCAGATTTATCTCCTTACCACATTTGACTTTCCTCCCTCAGCTGAGCTGAGCTGAGTCATTCCCAACTTTAAATACTTGGTGTTTTTAAATTTCTCTCAGCAGCTTCACCCTATGGACACACACTTTCAAGTTCAGTGACTAACTGCCAGTACACAGGTACAGATACTTTAGAGTTCCTGTTGGGTTTTTTAACTCATTATAAAACAGCTCAAAAGAAAGGAAAAGGGGGAGAAAGGACTATGTTTTAAGGGAGAATTTACGCTGTGGTGAAGTTCATTTTTCTGTGAGTTTCAGCCACATTATGTGAGTGAAATGCATACAAGTGCACTTTTATGTGCTCGTGAAAAAAATTATTAAAAGTCACACATTTTTATAGGACTGTATAGATGGGTAGACAAATTAGCCCTGAACCAAACCTGAGTGGTATTGTGTTACATTGCTTTCCTTGCTTTCATCTCATTTTGCTAAATTTCAGCACTTGCATTTCTTCTCTCATTTCAGTTTTTATGATTTTTGTCACATTTCATTCATTCATTTCATTCTCTTCTTTCACTCACCCTTGCTTTTGCCTAATATCTCGTCTTTGTCATTTTCTCTCCCACTGTCTTTATTTCTTTTGTCTCTTCCTGTTTTTCTTTGTAGAAGTGCTGTAAATGTAGAAGCAAAGGAAGGAAAGGAATTGAAAGAGGGTAAGGAATGGAAAGAGGTGAATAAAGAAGGTAGAGAGGTAGAAACAAGCAGGCCAGTTTCAGTGATGAGCTCCCTAAGCTACAGAAAACGATCCAACCTCAGTAGCAAAGGAGATGCCCTCTTCAGTCAGAATGCTGAGTCAGAGGATACGCTATCCTTTCGTAAACCGAAACCCAAAGCTTCTGATTTTCAGAATGATGCATACTTAGCCAGCTCAAGGAGAAAGTCTCAGGTATTGGATGGCATGAATGACAGACAGTCAGTCATCTCCCAAGCCTATTCAGAAGCCAACAGCCAGGCTAGAAAAGGCTTGGACAGCCGCTGGAGCAACTTTAACGAAGAATCAACCATTTCATTTACTGCACCAAGTCGGGCCTCCACATTTCTTGGGTTAAACCCAGAGAATGATGCCAAGTCTAACGTCAGCTTAGGTCTGTCAAGCCCACTTGGACGCCATCAAAGCACCTCAAGATTAGACAAGGGTAGAGGGAGCCGTTCACAGTATAGCAGTGGTCCCAGTAGCCCTTGCTATAGCAGACGTTTTGGAGGTTGTAGTCCCGGAAGTGTTAGTCGGCCAGACTCAGTGGCTTACAGCTGCCGTCTTAGTGAGTTTGATGTTGATATTGATGATAGTAGAAGTGTGGCCTTCACTGAGAGGTCAGCATACAGTCCACACTCTTCAACTGGACGCAGCATCTCCATGCCACCACCACAAGTCAGATCAAATTTTGAAAATGACGCAGTTGATAACTTGGATGTCAAAACAGTCAGCCATCGCAACTACCTTGACCCTGACCTGGAGAAAGCCATCAATGAAGTCCTGAGTTTTAAACCTATCAAATTCAAGCGCAGGACTTTGGAAGACTCTGACTGTGAAGAAGAAAAGTTCAACAATAATGAAGCTGACAGAAAAGATACTCACCCTGTCAACAGCCTCAGACGCTCTGCATCTGCCGCGGACTGCATGAGACCAGCCAGTAGCCGCAGTAGCCGCCATGGCCACAGTAGTAAAGGAAAGAGCAAGAAAAAGAAGAGAAGCCACAGCTCTGACTCTGACAGCTCAGAAGATGGCCATCGTCACAGAAGCAGCTCCAAGAGGAGATCCAAAAAATCTCAGAAAAAATCCAAAAGGAAGGATGAGTCTTTGTCTTCTTCCTCATCTTCCTCATCTTCAGAATCAGAATCCAGCTCTGATGCCTCCACTATTTCCTACCGAAGTTCCAGCAGTGTGAAAAGGGCACCAGCTCGAAAGGCTTCAAGTCCAGAAGTGGATGAAGAAGCTGGGTCTCAGAGCAAGACTCAGCCCCTTAATAAAAAGGATGAGAAGAAGAGAAAGAAGAAGGTCGACAGCCTGATGATGAAGTATTTATACCGGCCGGAGAGTGACTGATGCAAGCAGTACGTAGACTTACCTTGGAAAGAGTTGTTTGAAGCATGATGTCACCTATCCAAACAAAGGCCTTTCACTTCTATTAACCAGCACATTAACTATTTCTCATACAGTCTGACTTGAATAGTTTTAAATTCTAATAAGGGGATTGCCTTTTTCACGTGTGACATTAGTGATGCTAACAGTTTGTGCTGTACACTTTAGTGACAGTAGTCTGTGTGGTGGTCTCTTCACATTGATTGCTTTTATCCAGGAGTCCTTTAGACCAGAACCGCCTCCTGGTTTGGTGAAATGTTATCATAAAAGGAGACACAGTCGATAAGAAGGTATTATTTGTGGATATCTAGCTCAGCTACTCAATACTCCTGAGATATTCCTTTGATTTACAAAGGAATAAAAATTACATTACAAGTCAATTAGCAAATTTATGTGTGATGCACATTTCACTGTAATTAACTCCAGCAGTTTACAATATTTAAATATCAATATGAAAAATTTCTATGTTTATTTTTAGTAGGTTTCTTGTTTTTCTTGCTTTTTCGGCTAATTGAGGTGTAAACAATTCTCAAAATGGGTTAGAAAATGGCCTATATTCAGTATAGCTGTGTGACAGTGTGAAGCCACTATGCTGGGTAAACAATATCATGACCCTAGAATAAATCATTGTCTCCTGCTTTTCCACATTTTTCTCCCTCTAAATTTTCATATTCAGTTCAGTGTTATTCATAATGGGCCGTTGCCTCAAGGCGCCTGAAACAGTATCAGACAGCATATGCTCCGAGACCAAAATATCTCTCACAGGCCATTGACAAATATTATTGTAACATTTTGAGATTGTAATCTCACCTGTCACTTTGAAATCCTTGTCTTTAATAACAACATTAATATGATGTGTTTTGGATGGTAGCATGTTCCCACATTGCTTGAGATTGCAAGTTTTTGTGCCCACTAGATGCTAGAGCAATGGCTGACATGAATAAAATACTGCAGCTCTCTGATTAGAAGAATATAACATATACACACATGCATGTAGTCAGAATAATGAAGGCTAATGAAGAAAATCTAGTCACCATATGGACATAATACATCCAAAAATCAGTGAAATATATAAGACCTGAACTGTGAACTGTGGCAAAGTGTCTTTTACAGTATATTAGCCTTTTTTGATCCGACCAGAACTTTTCACAGCATATCACAGAGTGTTTTGTGTACATGTTGTTTGTACAGCTGCCAGAAAAAGTTTGTAAATTCTGATATTTTCTGTACAAATGTTATTGGATTTTGACTCAAGTACTAAAAGCAGATAAAGAACTAATTTAAAACAATGAAATCATGCCAAACCTTTTTATCTATTTATTGAGAAAATGTATCTGGTATTACAAAATTCTGAAAGGAAAAAGTGTGAACTTTTGGTGACTTTAGAAGAAGGCATGTTTATGGTTAGCAGGCTGCAAAAGGCACTGAAACTGCTAGGAGTTTAAACTACACCAATCCACAGTCAGGTGGATAAGTCAGCCGTGTTTTGTTGTGTGTGGAGGAAAGGGGGTAAAATTGTTTCAACCAAGTCAGTTCATTTGGTTCCACTTGTTTTATTTGATTTATCTAATTTTATCACTTGTGTAAAAACGTGATGCCTGTTTTCATATTTCTACAAAAATACAGAAAATGTCATCAGATTCACAAGCTTTTTTTGCCCCAAATGAGCAAATGAAATAATAACTGAGAAACATTCGAGGACATTTCTCAGATTTCAGCCTCCATACTGTTCTCTATTCGCTTTCTAAATAATAATTTTAAAAATCTGTTTGTTCTTCCTTGCTCCAGCCCGCCTAGCCAAAGACGCTACCTTTTCGATAGATCTGATGAAGAGGAAGAAGAAGAAGAAAAAGAAGAAGGCGGGGCGTCCCTACACTATCCTCGATACAGATACAACACCAGTGTGAAAGGTCGAGATGGCGAGGACAAGCCTTACGAGACTGCATCATAGCCTTATGAGACTGTGACAGCTGTGACATTTTGTCTTGCATGCAGAGATCAGCACATTTGTGGTCATATGGACACAACCACACACCCAAACACTCCTACCCCTGCAGGAGAACACAAACACTTAGAATCAATGCTTCCTGTGGCAGACCCTCACAGGACATAATTGAACAGATACTATGGTCTGTTTTTGACCGTGCACTTATCAGTCTGACCTCACTGCACAAACAGCAGCTCCATTATTTACGGCTCGACTGTGCTCATTGCATGCAAGCAGCAGTTGCTTTGCTTGAACAGCCATCTGGTATAAAACTCATCATGGCTGCAACTGAGCCAAAGAACTTGAGCTTGCAATAATAATGGATCCTTTTTCTCTTTGTCTCTCTTCTGGATTTACATGTAATATACCACAGTAATATATATTGCCATACTACAGTGTATTGCCAAAAAAGCCTTTGTTCCAAGTATGTGAGCACACTGCTTTTCTTATTACCAGTCTTTTTCCTTCCTTCCTTCCTTCCCGTTTGGGAGAAGTGCCATTTGATTTAAGTGGGCTCCTCTACAGCTGGCTTCTCTGCAGCTGGGGTGCTTCATGAACTGCTGCATGGTACACTTAAGACGCTTTCATTATCATCTGCTCGCTTTTTGTTTGCCTGAATTCTCTTTTCTCTGCCTTTTACTGGCAAATTAGTTCTTCCTTCCAGGAGAGCTATATCACTATGAAACCCAAACATTTTTCTCACGTTTAATCTTTTATTTCTAATGTACGACAGATGTGTTTTTCAGAGGATTACTGTCGAGCACATTCATTTACTTTCATCTTACTTCTGTGAAATGGTTTGAGCCATTTTGATTTGATTTGACAAAGCATTTCCCAGGCTTTGTTAGTGAGGAAGACTCTATGGCTTTCTCCTGTGTGTCATGCTTACATGCGCTCTTGTTTCCGTTAGTTTTGAGGTTGATGTGTTTTCCTTTTTTTAAACGGAATAGACTTTGGACAACAGTCATTTGTTGGGTTCTTATAAAAACTGATCCTCAGCCAGCATATAAAAAAAGAAAAAGTCTAGTGTTATGCTTTTTCTTATCACCAAATTACATGGAAAGATCAAAACTGACAATGGTTTTGGAACAAAATATGAAGTGCAAAAGTTCGCACGTGCAGTAGTGACCTGAGGGTGGTATTGAGGCTCCTCCCAACAGGTCCTTGACACTAAGCTAAGAGTGAAACCACTTAATAGGTAGCTGCAGTTATAATCCACAACAGTCTAAGGCAGTTAAGATTTCAATGGCTTGTTCAATTAAATGATATAAAACTGTATTTATACAGCGCCAATTCACAACAGCAGTCTCCTCAAAGCGCTTCATATTGTAAGGTGAAGATCTTCTAATAATACAGAGAAACCCCAACAATCAGATGATGAGCGAACACTTTGGCGACAGTGGGAAGGAAAAACTCCCTTTTAACAGGAAGAAACCTCTGGCAGAACCAGGCTCAGAGAGGGGCGGGGCCACATTTTGTCTGGTCAGCAGGGAGGACCTTTATGTTACCCACAGTCACAGCTGCTACTTCATTTTTGTACAGTGAGAGGAAGCGGTGACACATTATAACAATCATTATAGACAGTCTGTTTGATGCCATCAAAGCTCTTAAACTTCCTACTGAAAGCAGAAATCTAAAAAAGAAGCTTTAAAATATATAGTTTTCCTTTTAGAGCTAATTTTATTCTGAAAGGTCAGCTGTGTGACATTTGCTTCTATCCAAACGCTAGTTGATATCTTTATTTTTTTCTGATGTAGGTGGGGTTCTCCTGTGTAACATGAAGCTGATCATAAACATGCAAGAAGCTTTGTTTCACAAACTGCAGTAAAACTCTGGGATATGCATTCTGAATGCACAGTACTAATACTTCTAAAATGGACTATTGGCTTAGTAGACATCTCTTCATTGGAATGAGAGATCCATTTCAGTAAAGCTAGTGCTAAGTTAAAGTATCTAAATGGATTTTACCTCTGTCAAATTAGGAATGTTGTCTCATTCAGACAAATAGCGAACTACCCGCGTAAACATAAACACACTTGGTGATTTCACACATGGACCAGATGTTTCAGTCCACAGAAGTAAATGAATCTTAATTTGGATGTCTTTCAGTGAGTTTTAATAATGAGAGTGTAAAACATCACCAAGGTTCATTTAACTGTAATGTCTTTAACTGGATACATTATAGCCTGTATGAGCAATACTGTGAAATCATGTTCAGTGTCATTCAAGCCTGTTCTGTTTTCAGTTTGGTGTTTCCTGAACAGCAAAAGAAAAAAAAAGAACAACCTGCATTTTATTTTTTTGACTGAAGTGCTACATCACACCCTTTGGTCTTGTCTGGTATTTGCTGAGTGGCATTAGACATGTTTGGAAGCAGTTTAAACTTCAGAAAAGCTTCACATTACAGGGGCTGAAAGAATCAGTGGGTGTTCTTCGTGGGAGGATTTAGGTGTGAGTCTTGCTTTTTAAGAAATGTTTTTTTTTTCTTCTCTATGCAGTCTGCACGAGTGTGGAAATGTGTTTTCTGACCTGATTGACCTGATAACTTGTTTTGTTTAAAGACACACACACACACACACACACACACACACACACACACACACACACACACACACACACACACACACACACACACACAAAATAAAAGAAAGTAAAAAGGTTGACCCAGCACTGACTGCACACACACAAACACAGTATTTATATATAAATATGTTTATGATTCATGCTAGCTTTGAGAATAGTTCCTATTTTCATTACTATACAAATTGACCACTTGTTACAAATTTTGCATTACTTTTTAATATATTGTAAATAAATGATGGGGATTGTTTGGAATGGCTTCTAGAATGGTTGACTTGAAGTGTTTTGCTGCTGTGGGAGTGTCTGATGCACCTACTTTTGTATCTTCGTGTGTTGTGAGATAGCAGTATGGATGCTATGGGTGGCTGCTTTTAATATTTATTTCACTGTGTGTAATTTAAGGGAACATCAGCCCGTTTCTTCTGCTGCTTCTTTTGGCTACTCCCTTTAGGGTTCGCCACAGTGGAGCATCTGCTACCATCTAACTGTATCCCTAGCATCCTTCTGGCCAGTCCCAATGAACATCTTAACATCTCAACTTCTAGTTTGACCTGTATTTTGGTAGTTCCACTGTCTCCATATGTCTATACATCATAGCAAGTCTCACTACCATCATGTAAACCTTCCTTGTCACTCTCACTGCTATCCTTCTGTCACAAATCAACACAGAAACTCGTCGCACTCACTTCACCGTGCCTGCACTCTCTTCTTGACCTCTCTTGTGCACTCTGTTGCTTTGGATGATTGACCCCAGGTATTTTAACTCCTCTATTTTATACTATCTCTCTCATTCACACACGTATTATGTCTTGCTTCTGTGGATCAGTCTCTGACTGGCCATTCAGATGGGTGACAAATAAAAGAAAACATTTGGAACTTTAACTACTAAAGGCATCTGTTGACTCTGTTATGTTGTGGGAGGCATACCGCTGGCAATATTTGGGTCTACTTGTCTTTGTAGAGGTAAAGCACTTCCTAGTTTATCCTTTACCATGTGAAACATTTCTCTTCTGCAGCTTTTACTTGACAGACAAGCACAACACAAAGTGAAACACAAAACTAAACTATAAGGGCAATAAAATAAAATACAATAGGAAAACCAGATAAAATCAATGGATCTCCACCAGGGGTCACTTAAAAATACTGACATGCATGAAAATGTTGTACACATATGCTGTGGTTTTCCTAACAATGAGATCTCAACCCAGCTGAACACAATTTGTCATGTTCAGCAGCATTATAGAAGGGTTTAATATTTTCTCATTTGAATGTTGCTGTAGTTTTAATGCAAAAGTAAATTGAGGATGCAGTGAAACAAAGTCAATTTGCAGAAGTTGAGGAACCTCTACTCTGTAACATCATTGAGCCAGAGACTGATGCAGGACCAATAAACATCCTGCAGTCTGTTACAATTCTTTGCATGCCATTTTTTGTGTTCTGGTGCCTCAATCAAATTTAGAGTATACGTCTATACAAGTCTTAAAACAGGTTTCTGTTAGTTTTAAAGTGATGTTGCTGCTGGACTTTAACATCTTTCCGTCATGAACTGACACCAGCTTGAAGTCTTTCGTCTGCTGCGTTCGGTTTGGCAGAGCATGTCCTTTGTCTTTGTTTCTTTGTGCTTCTCCAGAAAAGTTTAGACAGCAAAATTGGGAACAACTGTCTGCTTTGAAATGATTGTAGTAATTCTTGTTATTGTTGTGTTTTGTTTGTTTGTTTGAAAAGTGGTTTCTTTCTTTCTTTATAGAAATTCAAGATTCAAGGAATATTGCAGTATGTCCAAAATGGGAATACTTGGATATCTAAAATATGTTCTTGTTACCCACTGTTCCTTAAACAAATGTATTTTGCACTGCAGTCAGCAGATTTTATATAAATAACTCTCTCACTGAGCTAACACAGCCAATCCCTCAGCATGTTTGTACTCTCTGCTCATATTGCCTTCATATTAAATCATTTTTCTTTTTAAAGAACTTATTTTAACATTGCAGTCAACAACAAACAAATCCTCCCTAACAAAAAAAAGTAACTTCAAGGCCAAATTGCATTTTAGTTCTTCACGCCAATAGACGGAATTTGAAGGTAGTGACACATCTAAAAAAAAAGAGGTTTGGAAGAACAAAAGGCGTTCAGTTTGAAATGGTAAATGGTACTAAAAAGAAACCACTGGAGGAAGTTTCTGCAACTAATTCGATGGTCATAGAGTGAAAAGGTATTTGATCCCCAAGCAAAATATAATTTAGTACTTTGTGGAGAAATCCTTGTTGGCAAGTGCAACACTAAGACATTTCTTGTTGTTGTCACCAGGTTTACACACATTTGCACAGGAGAGATTTTGGCCCACTGCTATTTGCCTAAACTCTAAATTCTTTAGCTTTTTCTGGTTGCTAATTGGCAGCTTGAAGCTTCAGCTGGCTTAAATAGGACTGATGTCTGGGAACTGATGAGGCCTCTTGATTTCTCTTCTTTAGCCACTCCTTGTTACCTCGGCATTATGTTTTGGATCATGCCTCAAGACCCACCAATGACCCATCTTAAGTCTTCTGGCAGAGGAAAGGAGGTTCTCATCTAATATTCGACCATATTTGGCCCCATCTCTTGGCCCTTCAGTGTAGTCATCCTGTACCCTTAGCAGAAAAACAGCCCCACAGAATAATCCCTGCTTGTCTGTGCGGATGGTTTTCTTTAGGTCATCCTCCAAATACAGCCGGTCAAGTTGTCAGAGCGCTCGGTTTTGGATTCATCTGACCACTTTTTTTTCTGAATCTTTTAGATCTCCACTGCCAAACATAAGATGGGCCTGTACATGCGCCTTCTTGAGCAGTGGGGACCTTGCTGTTGGTGACAAGAATTAATGCAAAAAATTCATAAGCAACTAAGAAAACTGAGACATTAATTAGAAATGAGCTATATTCTCCTCTAACATTTCATATTTATTGCATGTTTGGGAGAATGTGTAAAGGTTGGCCTCATGCAGTTTCCCTTCACAGGTCAAATGTGATTCGCCCTTCGTCAGTGGCTCCCCACATGCAGCGTAGTGCCACTGACAAGCAAAAGCCAGCAGGAAGCAACTGGAGGTGAGGTCAGATCATCTGTGGAGCTGGAAACTGAAATGGAGGCTTTTTTTAATAGGGAACATTCCCAAGCTGCAAACAGGCTGTTCAGCTTCACCTCTCATAACACATCAGATCGGCAGCTTGCTGCATCAGCACTTCCTGGTTGGGGAACTGTCAATTTCAGGCACTTCTCTCGGGTGTTAATAGCTTGTAGTTCTCTTCTGTCTGGAGTGAAATGAAAAGCTTACTGCCTTAAACAGCAACAGCCATTCTCTCTTTGAATTAGTGTAAAAATGAAGCATGAATTATTCCAATCCATCTTAGTCCTTCCTCTGGCTCATTGTCCTAGAAATCCTTCAAGTGGATTACAGATTACTGTCAGCAACCTTTGTCCTTCCTTAATCAAAATTACTTGAGCCCATTCAGTATTCAGGAACTGAATGATGAGATTCGGCCTTTCAAACACTGTAGCACATCTCTGCGGGCTCGGGGGGAGGGGACTGAGGTGGACTCGGATGACAGAGGGAGCGATAGTGGAAAGGCAAGCATGCCTTTTCCCTGGAGAGAGACGGTGACAAGAAGGTGCCATAAAAACATGCAATGCTTTCAGTGTTTTCTCCTGGATGCCTTGCCAGCTCATTACCCTTTCAAATGTAGCTGCTGTTTCTGTCTTTCCCCTTGGGCTCCTTGGCTGACAGTCCATCTTGTTTTCTGGCTGACTTGTAGTCGTTGCCTCTGACCTTGTGTCAAGCATACCAC